GGCTACCCATTTCCTACCTTTCTTCAGATGCTCCAGAGGTATGAGTTCCAAGTTACGTGTGAAAGTGGTGACAAATGGGTGTATATAAATTATAATTACCACAGCTTTATATATGGAAAAATCTTTCCTCCTATTTACTATCTTGAGATGATTTCGGGGCTTTAGTGTCCCCACAGCCCGGTCCTCAACCAGGCCTCCACCCCCAGGAAGCAGCCCGTGACAGCTGACTAACACCCAGGTACCTATTTTACTGCTAGGTAACAGGGGCATAGGGTGAAAGAAACTCTGCCCATTGTTTCTCGCCGGCGCCTGGGATCGAACCCAGGACCACAGGATCACAAGTCCAGCATGCTGTCCGCTCGGCCGACCGGCTCCCTTAGGTAGCACCAGAAAAATTCCTGAAGTTTGAATGTTAGACAAGGTCAAACTCCAGGATAAAGTCTGAAGCAGTAACCCTGTTGTGTCAGTCATGCATTCATCAATCCCCGTCTAAAATGACTGAGAAGACGAATGGTAGCCACAGACTAAATTAAAACGTGTAACTTTCACACCACCTAGCTGAAGGCTGGTAAAATGGAACTGCTGCCCAAACCAAGGTCAGACACAGTCCCTAAAAGGCACTGATAAGGTAGTGGTCTAACTTGAGAGAAACCAGGCTGTGCTGAAGGCTACACCGGACCGGACACTTGCAGAGAATATAACTGAAGGCTACACTGGACCGGACACTTGCAGAGAATATAACTGAAGGCTACACTGGACCGGACACTTGCAGAGAATATAACTGAAGGTTACACCGGACCGGACACTTGCAGAGAATATAACTGAAGGCTACACTGGACCGGACACTTGCAGAGAATATAACTGAAGGCTACACTGGACCGAACACTTGCAGAGAATATAACTGAAGGCTACACCAGACCGAACACTTGCAGAGAATATAACTGAAGGCTACACTGGACCGGACACTTGCAGAGAGTATAACTGAAGGCTACACTGGACCGGACACTTGCAGAGAATATAACTGAAAGCTACACCAGACCGGACACTTGCAGAGAATATAACTGAAGGCTACACTGGACCGGACACTTGCAGAGAATATAACTGAAAGCTACACCAGACCGGACACTTGCAGAGAATATAACTGAAGGCTACACCAGACCGGACACTTGCAGAGAATATAACTGAAAGCTACACCAGACCGGACACTTGCAGAGAGTATAACTGAAGGCTGTCAGTTATCAACAATCAATGCCAAAGAAAGCCCTGAAAAGATGATGATATACTAGTGTTGCCATCTTGTGGCAGTTAGTGTACTGGTAACTAACCAGGAATATCATTCTTGGTTGCTCTAAAAGGATCAAAACACCGAGTTCTATGCAATATCTGGTAAGGAATTCAGATTAAAGTATAACTGGAGTGAGCTGCTCTTCACTTCTGCCTGATGTGTTGCCAAAATGTACTAAATGTTAGAGAAGATCCATGGGTTCATTTTCATCCTAATTGACTTTGCTCTTTGAATGGCTGTCACAAATGTAGACAATTCCAAAATTAACTGTTCCAAATGCTCAAAATGTTTGCAATTTAGCCTATTGTATTTTCCAAGATTAAAATCATGTCCAGTAGGAATATTGTACTGTATTTTCATTGTCAAAATCAATTTTAGACATGCGATTACTGCTTATTTATCTTGTAAATTTATTATGGCCAGGTTTACATATGCAAGTAATGTTTTCATTTAGTAAATAGCAATGTTCTGTAATTTACTGAATTTGTGTTTCTTTATAGGATGACTTTCACACCACAGAAGGAGCCAGTCATGCAAGGTTGGTTCATTGTTCTTATTTAACTGACAATGAGTCTCTTTAGACTACTGTACATGTTTAATGCCAATAATCATAACATATCAAGATGTTAACATCCCTGATTTATCAATATTTACCAGTCTCCGTGGTGTAGTGGTAAGACACTCGCCTGGCGTTCCGCGAGCGCTTTGTCATGGGTTCGTATCCTGGCCGGGGAGGATTTACTGGGCGCAAATCCTCAACTGTAGCCTCTGTTTAACGCAACAGTAAAATGTGTACTTGGATGAAAAAACGATTCTTCGCGGCAGGGATCGTATTCCAGGGACCTGCCCGAAGCGCTACGCGTACTAGTGGCTCTACAACAATGTAACAACTCTTGTATATATCGAGAGAGAAAAAAAAAATCAATATGCCTAATTTATGAACATGTTAATAACAGCCTCAAACACTACAGTTATACTTTATTTTTATAACTGTTTTAAAGTATTAAAAATCTTCTATGCATTTTTTGCATAAATATTTAGTTCTTTCATAAGAAAAGCACATCTAGGTCAAATCTTTATTGAAGTGAAAATAACTGAATTGCTAAGTATTGTGGGCTGTGTACGAGACTGTCAAGCATTGAAATAGAGGGATGGTGTAGTTGAGGCAGACGACGGGTGTCTTGGAAGGGTAGAGTGGAATGATGTATAAAAAGGCTAAATTGCAAAAATAAAGTTTGTGTGACGAGTGCCCTAGAGAAGCTGCTGCTGCGGTCACTCCTTGATGGAGCGCTGATGGCAGGAAGACATCGAGGCTGGTGACATAACTGTACCTCAGAGGGCTGTCAAATTCCAGTACAGAGTAGGTTAATGTCAAATGCTGTACTTTGCACAAGGAATATTTTGTGTAATGTGGGAGGAGGGTAGGGGGGGGGGATATGTTGATAGCTACTGTAATTGAACCTTTATGTATTCTAATTTCCAGTTCCAAGAAAGAGCCCGGAGAGGGTGCGTGCCCGCTGTTCCAAGATGCAGAGGAAGAAGCAGACACCATGGAGCTGGAGCCGGGGGATCCCTACTATGAAGTCAAGAAAGAGAAGCTCATGAAAAAGGCAAGTATATTTTTCCAGGGCCTTTACTTTACTGTATCCAACTTACACAACTTAATAATATAACAAACAGTACTAGCATTATTTTAATGTTTTGTCAGTGTCCATTTGACTGAGAAAATTAACTTTTGTCCAAAAGGCTATTTTTCTTCATTCCAAACAAACATGAAGCACATTATTGGAGACATTAATGAATTGGCATTTCATTAACTTTGTTTTTTTACCCACAGTTGGAGATGCTTCAGCAGGAATCTGCTAAAAGACTCCAGTTTGTGCCTGGAGTAAATCCCTTGGAGTTGCCCATCAACTTGCTGATGAAGTCAACGGTGACCCCTTCATGTCTTACCTTTGGCACGCACGCCCACGAAAATTGAGTTTGCTTTGTGTATCAGAAATGTCGAGATATTGCTTTTCTTTCATGAAATTAATATTTTTGTTTTAAGCTATGTTCATATACCAAATTCTGGTTGTTTAATTATAAAGTATGAATGGTGAAGTATTGTTTAAATATCCAATTTCAGTATTATTGTCAGCCTCAACATGTGTGATCAGGTGCTGTCTTTTGGCTTAATTACTTACAACACTGTCTTCCTGGCTTGGTACCATCTTTTGACTATCAGTGTCACTGGATATTCAAAAGGTGCTAAACATCACTTGGGATGTCAGTAAGAGAACAAAAGCACACAAGTGATATCAAAGGTATTGCATTTGCCAAGGATTCTGTTGTGGGACAAGTGGCCCTGAACAACATTAGGAAAGCAAAACAATTGCAGTTTAAACAATAAAACACAGCTTTTCTGCCTATTAAGTGCCCACGAGTTAAGAGTGTAAGGCAGATATTCAACCTATGGTGATGCCAATCCCCCTTTTTTTTCCCCACATGCATGCACTATAAATTTCAACATATTGGCCCTACACACTTGAGCATTTAGTAAGGCACAGGTCTGTTCCATTGCCAGAAGTGTATTCACCTAGTTGTGTTTGCAGGGGTCGAGCTCTGGCTCTTTTGGCCTGCCTCTCAACTGTTACTATTTTTTTTTCTACACACACGCACCCAGAAAGCAGCCCGTGACGGCTAACTAACTCCCAGGTACCTATTTACTGCTAGGTAACGGGCATCAGGGTGAAAGAAACCCGTCGTTTCTCGCCGGTGCCGGGAATTGAAGCCGGGCCACAGGATCACGTGTCTAGCGTGCTATCCACACAGCCACCGGCGCCCTGTTCTGCTAATGTTGCACACCATTTAAAATGTCCCAATTATCAGGAAAACCTGAAGTCATGTCTTTATAAAATCCTCTGAAAATTTTGTCTAACCGTGCATCTCATTCCTCTTGTTGGCACTGTGAATGATATATAGGAACTCTTGAATATTCTGCATCACAGCTGGTGCTATATAGCTTTCCTACACACTTAGCACTTTTTGATAGTTACTTGTTCATTCTGACTTGGACAGAGTTTGTGGCTTCTGGTTACATCTGGAAGATCTGCCCCCAGGGAAAGTTTCTTGCTGAGTGGCCAAGCTAGGATTCCTATATAGGACTGGTACAAAGTATTCAAAAGTTTCTAGGTATCGTTCACAATGTCAATACTAGAACAAAGACGATAATTTTGTTTAATACACTTCTTAAGGGGGACAGTCAAGAGGAATAATGGGAAAGCAAAACGTTTGATCATTCTGACATTCCACAAGGGTGCAAGTGACAATTTCAGAGTATGGGGAGGGGGGGGGGGTGTCTGCTCCATTGCTTACAGGGGGTATCATCATATGGCAGTTCATGGGGGTAATTGTGTCTTTATATGTAGGGTATGATACAAATAAGGATATAATAGCTTTATGTGGATGTAATGGAGTTTAACTTGACCCACAAAAATCAGATGGTAACATGGCCGTGAAACTGTGTGACTGCAGCCATCGTCATTGTACAAAATTTTCCGTCATAACACCAGGTATACCAGTGATCATAAGGTTCTCATCAGGTGATGAGTAATGATTTAGCCTAGAGGACAACTTTATTACAATGTAATTTAATAAATATTTTCGTCTTAAATATAAATCGTCCTCATTAAATATTTAAGATTCTTTCCTAAAAGGAAGAGAAAGCACACCATTACACTTAATTTTTATTAACTTGGTTATAATAAAAAGTAATACCTTTCATGGCTATTTAACAAAACATTATGCTGCATCTTACAATTACATGGTTACATGTAGAGTTTTAAAGTGAACTTTTTAATAAAGTTGTGGTAGTATAGTAGTATCAAGAGAGGTCTAGAACCCCTACGTAAGCCAGCAGGGCAGCTCGTGCAGTGTTGTGTTGGGTAGCGAGCACCGCGAGCCGCCTTCCTTACCACTCTCATCCATTATTCAACCTCACTATTTATCAGGCAAAAAAAGAATCCAGTAATGGAACACTATTAATGTGTGGGCTACTGCCCAACACTGGCAACGTGACGCATCACTTTACCTTTATAAACAAACCTTTGGTCATAAACAATACTTGTGCAAGGAGGCTGGGCATGGCTCCCAACATTCACCTTCACCACAAACTGAACTAATCACAACAAAACTATAAACTAAATCATGGAAAACGGATAACATTTTTCCTCTCTATTGAATGTGACTTAACCTGACTAGACTACACCGTTGCAAAAATTCTGTATTACAAAGACATACATCCGTGAAAAAGCTGGCAAGCTAGACAAATAATATATACATCCGCAACTATAAATATTGCATTATTCACATATCTGTAGAATTTAATTTGAGAGTTGCCATCACCCATCCACCACGTAACAGCATTATTCATCGAGTTGTCTTGAAAGTCTGTGGAGAGAACTTGCATTAATTACCTGGAGAAAACTGGCTCAGTATTAATGCCTTTACCATGAAAAAAATATAATAAACTTCCCAACTTCATTCTATCTTAAGAAATAATAAGATTTACGTATAATTTGGTTTCCCTTAGTCAGGAAGAGAAAGTCGATAAGCCTAGGCCAATTACTGTTCTTGTCAGGTTCCAACCCACAACAGTTCCAACTCCAAGATGAAAGGTAATTATCAAAAGGCGGCACCAAACCGGGAAGGCTATGTATCCAAGATGAAAACTTTGCCCAAATGCTTCTCTCCACCTGCAGGCACTGAACCTGGAACCTAATGGCTCTCATGCCACAGTCAACATGAACAACTATTTAACCAATATAACTCGCCACTTCCATCACGAACATTCCGCCAACACATTTCATGGAGCATTAAAGTCATCAAGTAATAATGACGACATTGCAAAATGCCACACTATAGCACTTAACTAGTAAACTTGTCAGCAACACCCCCCCCCTCCTACTCACGGAGTGGGGCCATCAGCACAGAAACAGGATAATATAGTAAAAAGGTTACAGGTAGCAGAAGGAAAAAGTTTTATTCATTGCATCATTCACACTATGTAGCAGTACCTGGAGCAGTACCTTTCCTCCAAGACCAGACACACAAGCTTCCCCATGAATTAGTCACTATGTAGCAGCACCACTCCTGGAGCAGTACCTTGCCTCCAAGACCAGACACAGACACACACACAGGCTTCCCCATGAACTACAGTCACTTCCTTACAACCAACTTCCACGCGACCATTAGTACGCCTCGGCACTCAATCCCAGCTGCAGTTTGTGCTCTCTACAGGCTTACTGTGTTTATGGAGACTTGGGGCTATGAAGTACTGTCAATACATTAGAGTTCAATGTAGATAAATTGTTTAAAAGAAATAATCCAAGGCCAGTCAGTGATCAAATTAGCCCAACTCTAGAGGGCTCTTAAATTATACAAAATTGTTACATGCAAGGATTAAATTATTACCTTAAATTTGATGGAAGCAAAACCAAGATTAGAAAGAGCTGTAGATAATAATTTTCCAACCTAGACACCACTAACGAAATTTTGATGTCCAAAATGATGGTCACAAAGGGAAGAGAGAAAAATGGAACGAAATCCTTTACCCAAGTAACCAGATAAAATTAAAAATTATTCTGGAAATCACAAATTGCAATGTCCAGACTGCAATTGGACAATAATTAGTCCAACATTACGCAACTGTCGGCTGGGGTCGTGTGATGCCATCCTGGTTATTCAATATTTATTGTATATGTATATTAGGCAAGGATGTAAAAGCTAGTATTTAATAGGGGTACTGTAATTTGTATAGGACAATTTATGTATACCAATGTAGGTATTGCCCAAAATGCTATGCGTGCTAGTGGCTTTACAAGAATGTAAATCAACTTAATTTCTCTGTTAACCCCCCCAATGTACCTTCTTGTATATAAATAAATAAAAATAAATAAAGGTGTATATAATAATGCCAAAAACTTTTGTACATTAAGGTACAAAAAGTAATGAGAATTTTAAGAATTGGTAAATAGATTTAAACTGAATTTGGGAAAATTATTTGAACTTTGAGAAAGATGGAAGAAGGTGGAATGTCATTAAAAGTGAAACAAGGAACTAGTCATCTGGGATGCCTTATAAGCCAAAAGCAGCCTTGAGGCTCAGTTGTGAGTACAGAACACTTACATTATTAAGTCACTTTGTATTCCTCGGTTTGATAGTAATGATTCTAATAATGTGAAAAATTCTTTTAGAACTATAATTTGCATTTCCAAACTGTATACTAATGATAAAGATTAGGAAAAAACCCAGAATGGCAACATTTTTATCAAGACAATTACTAGGTGTGCACCAATTTTTCCGAATGATGCCTATTAATTTAAGCAAAATTTAAATAACTCCGTGCAACTATAAAATTCACTAGGCAAATATAAACATTATTCCCATCATCAAACTGTGAACTCTATGGAACGACCGGTCACAGTTACCTTAATCCTTCTTCACTGCATCGGCAGCAACCTTGGTGGCAGTGTCGGCCAGCTCACTGATCTTATCCTGAACCTTTGACATGGCACTGTCAATTTCCCGTTCGTGTTTGATGAAGACTGGACGAACCACACGATGGTAGATCAGGTCCGAACCATTCCAAGACACTGGGAGGAAGCACCACACCAGGAACATGCACTGTAACAACAATTACAAGGAATACAATATCTGGTTAAAATAGCTATAGTACACATACAATTATTGTAGCACCAAGCCAAGTACAGTGGGCCACTGGTGGCAGCCGCCTGCGTCTGGCATAACATCCACACTACAGCAGCTCAAGCTCAATGTTTAGCAAACAAAATGTTGCAATTTGAATATTAAAGTTTTTTGCAAGTGTATAATTAAAAATGTACAATAGTTTGTGTGTTGCATTATAAAACGTGTGTAATCAAACTGAAAACTTTGATAACAATTTGACTTTAAATGCAGTATTTTGGACAAGTGTAAAGGGATTTGTTTCTAGCAGCTCAATTGCACAAGATTCCTTAGTGATCGTTCTACTGGTTGAGTACACGAGATATACTAAGGTAATACTTATGGCCTGGTATAGTGTTACTTTGACTAATTTTTCCTGTTAGAAAATTAATTAATAAGGACTTACTAGTTCATTTTTTTAAATCTCCTGAACTTTATCCGTAGTAGATGGAAAACGACTATGTGTTGCTTTGTAACCCATTCGTGCTTTTCTATAACGTCCCTCCTTTAACCACTTAACTGCGCCAACCGAGTTTTCTCGGTCGGCGGGAAACTGCGCCAAACGAGAAAACTCGTTTTGATTTTTCGTAACCAATTCTAAATGTGTACGAGGTTGGTTGTGTACGAAATGGACTCTTAGGACCTCCAGTGAGAGGCAGCCATCTTGGAAAAAAAATCCCAGAATGCCCTAGGGCTGCTGGCTGGGTTAGTACTGAATGAGCAACCATGGGTGGTGCACACGTCTCTGGCTCCCAAACACCTGTCCGACGCGGTGTTGAAAGATAATGCTCTGTCGGTGAAATTCAAAACTTATTGTTTAAAGAACATAAGGGTCATAATATTGGGGAAGCCAGGCGCAATAAGGACCTAACACAAAGGTTGGATGCAAGTGATACAGCACCTATGAGGACAATATAGCGAGCGTATCCAGTTGTAGCTCTGAGCGTCACCCTTGCAATCCTATGCTATTTACTTAGATGATACTTAGATGAATGTTTTTCTGCGTTCAGTGATGATGCATCTGATACAAATAGCATAGATGAACAGTGTTAGCGGCTTCCATGGTGGTGTTTTCCATAAATATTTTCAAGAATACCCGAATCTCTTCCCAACTGACGGACACTCGAGGTAAGCTGAATCTCTTCCTGTGTGGGACCATACAAAGCGATCTTTTCAAGACTACCTTACAAATTGATCTTTTCCTATAATCTTTTCAAGACTACATTATGCTTTACAAGCTTGGTTACATACAATCTACAAGTACTAAAGCCAAGGGTGTACGTGAGTGCGTTATTTGCAAGCACACAGAATGAAGAAACAGGAAGCGAAAATTTATCTGTACCTGGTGCACTGAGAGCGAAGTCGCGCTGTGTACCATGGGCTATTTCGTTGATTATTACTCACTTCCGAAGTACTGTGTAATACAGTGTGTTACTGTGTATATAGTGTGTGAAACTGTACATATTGAAATTTTAGTGATTTTTTAACAGGTAATATTGCAACAATAAACATTTATTGTGGACACATTACTGACACATGTATCACAGTTCCATGGAACATTATGAACGTTCTACTGTATACATATTATAAAGGACACAAATATGCATCATATACAATAAAAAAACAAATAAAACCGCATTGGAAATACATAAAACAAATAATTGAAAATATATTTGTGGCAACACCCGGTGCTTGAATGGTCCGCGCGACCGTGTCTGGGCGAGTCACACACGGGCGACCAGGCCCTGATGACGTCACAGCGCACCTTGTCCACGTCCCTACAGCCAAAGTAAGTGGAATTTGGTACTTATTTTTACATAGACATGTTTAGGGAAGGGAATTTATCATTTTACGAAGAAAAAAAGAATTTTTTGGGAACACTTCATTTCATGCGCACCGGGGGAATTTCTCAATAAACTCCGCACAGCACGGTGGTTAAGAAATGTGCTAAATCATGGCTGAGTATCCCTGCTAGAACTTCTCAGCAAGTGGAGAAAAGTTTACATGCATCAATAAACACACATGAGCTTCCATACTGAAAAATGTTCTTTATTATCTTGATATGCAATTGGTGCCTGGTCTACCTGTTTTATCTGTTATACGTGGGTTTTTGTTTTGACTACAATAACAAAGTTGCTCACCTTGGCCAGCCAGTAGAAGGGGAACCATGAGAGCAGCAGATCGGAGAAGAACTCGCACACTGAGAACAAGGCAAACACAACCCAGTAGGTCAACCAACGGGTGTCATCCTCCTTCTTGAGCGACTCCAGAGCCTGTCGAAATCAGGAGAGAGCTATACAGACATATATATGCAGCTTCCAAAATAAAAATGTGCCAAACGACTATTCCCAAAATGTGCCAATTAACTCCCCGTTCCTCTACACCCTAAACCTTCAAGTCCTAATAAAATCTCTGGTATAAGTGCCAATTAATTTATAAGATGAGGTTTTATAACCACTTTTGGGAATCACACTGGAGCTTTGTGCCACCTGTCTGCCAAATACTTTCCTTTTACCTACAATGTACACTATTTTTACAACACTTTACTGTACAGTTTGAAGACTGTACATCTGCCTAAAAATAATTATGCTTTAAATTTGACTACCACTGATTTGACTTGAGGGAGCCGGTTGGCCAAGCGGACAGCACGCTGGACTTGTGATCCTGTGGTCCCGGGTTCGATCCCAGGCGCCGGCAAGAAACAATGGCCAGAGTTTCTTTCACCCTATGCCCCTGTTACCTAGCAGTAAAATAGGTACCTGGGTGTTAGTCAGCTGTCACGGGCTGCTTCCTGGGGGTGGAGGCCTGGTCGAGGACCGGGCCGCGGGGACACTAAAGCCCCGAAATCATCTCAAGATAACCTCAAAAATATTCTTAATCTTAAAGATTTATGGATACAGGGATAGAAAATGTTCTAACTTGTTCCATCAAAGATATTTACCACTTTAACATTGTGATTTTGAACATGGGGTTTATTAAGAGCGAAGTGTTAACTTGCCTTGATGCTGCAGTAGGCTGGGTACACAAAACCAATCACATTACAGATGAGTTGGGCACCATAACCAAACGCCAGGTACAAGCTCAGAAGGATGATGCCACCTGTGGAGTACGTCACTACTGTCATTTTATCCAATGAACATCTTAACACATTTACTAACCATTCAATAATGGGAACTAAAATAAACCTATAAAGTTAAAGACAACCTAACCTATAATAATCTTCCAACATTCATCCGACATAGCACAAGTACAACTCCATAATATCTATGTAATGTACAGCTTCAGTAATATACAGGCCTGCCATAGAGAAGTTGAGATAACCTCCATATTTAAATGAAAAAAAGTTTTACTGCAGCCTGGACAAACATGCCAGAGCCCCCAACTCTTAAGTCGGCTCTATCTTAAACTAACTAATACTCTAACTCTTAAGTACTAGCTCTATCTATAAATCCATCAATCTTTGTAAAATCTCTTGTATGTATGTACCTTACCTAAATAAACATTTATTTATTTATTTATTTAACACTTTGGACAATATTATCAAGCCAAGTGGAAAACTAACCCATGCCAGAATTGCAATCTAGCTTATTCCAACTAGAACATTTTTATGTACAGGCAACCCATAATTTGTACAGAAGATTACTGTATTTATTATGCAGATGAAGTTGTGGGTAAGCAATTTCATGCCAAATTTTGAAATGCAAACATTCTGATTTACATTTATGCACAGTAATTGTACACATTATGCACTGTGGCCCTCAATTATGCACTGTATGGGTTGGAACTTAGAACACATTAAATATTAGTGTGTGCTACCAAGTAATGATTGACTAATTTTTGAGTTCTAGAATGAATTATATTTCTATACACCTGGTATATATTAAATTGTGTACTCGTTACAGGAATGTATTTTTTTTTTAATTAACAGAATGCAGTGCAACCTTTAGCAATGTTAACAATGGGAGAAAACCCTCACTTTAGGATACAAGTAATGTGCGCGAGGAAATCCAGGAAATTGAGAAATCCAATAATGAAATTTGCTGGAAACCAGTTTCTAAATAGCCATTAAAAATGTACAGTACCTTACCCAGCTAGGGTACTCTACTAGGTGTGCTGCAAGCACAAGTACAATTCATCACAAACTTTTTAATGCTATACACAAGCTGTGAAAGCATAAAGATATGATATACAAGATGCAGTCAAATCTTAGCATGATAAAATTAAGAAACCTTATTTGCTCATACCGTATTTTACGTAAGGCCAATGTTTCTCTTCCTTCAGAACTGACAACCGAGAGTCCCTCAGAATATCCTTCATCATCCACTCTACCACATCAGGAATCTTGAACTCCACCTCCACCTCCTCTTGTGTCTCTTTCTTAGTAGACATTGCCTTTCCTTTTTTGCTCAAAAGAAAGCCTCTATTACCAAAAACCTGAAGACCTTTTCCACTACTAGGCAGCTACTGACTCAAACCGTTTGGACATGTGTTCGCCAGCTCTAGATAAGAGCCAGATAAAGATAACTCCACTCCCAAAGGGCAAATTTTATCTGATATGATATAAAACACCACCTTACCTAGCCATAGAAATGACTGTATATACAGAAAGCATGCCAGACTTACACATGAAAATTTTGAATTTGAACACACACCTGATGTTCATCAACCACCCCCCCCCCTTGCTCCACCCTCACTAGGGTAATATCTCCGTCACCTATGTTACCAGCGCACCCAGTACTGGATTCTTCACAAGATAATCTGGTGCCGACATGGCACCAATTACTACTACTTCACTCTACATATTTACACATTTTAATGTTAAATGTCTCAGTGGAAATACAGTAATGTACATTGCACTAGAGTGACACGCAAACTATAAACATTATAATTGTGCCACCAAACAACAAACAAGCTATCTATTGTTTAGGCTGAAGATCTCTTGTTTACAAGTTCAGGAATCATGTTCACTGCACGGCATTAACCAACACAAATTAACTGAACAATCGGCACACAACAATGTAAAACACACACACACGAACTATCCAATATTCTGTATACTGCTGGTGGCCTGTGTGTCATGCACGCATGAAGAAACTTTTATGACTTGGCAACTAGATAAGCTTCACTACACCTTTTTAAATCTTTTACATACAAATTTTAAAAAGTTACTTATCACAACATGATCAAAAGTTGTTTTATCAGCTGAACCCTGACCATCACATTAATTGCCCGTGGCCAACGACTATACCACGTCGAGAACACTGCTTCTCGTCCGATCAGCGAAGTTAAGCAACATTGGGTTTGGTTAGTACTTGGATGGGCGACTGCCTGGGAACACCAAATGCTGTTGACAATAATGTTAAGCGACCACACGAGTCCTAAATACTCTTACTCCGCCCAAGTAAAACAGAAACAAGGAACATTTAGTGGATCAGCCATAGGCTTAGGCCCATACAGGAATATCCCTAGGAAAACAAAAAAAAATAGCATGTGACACAGCAATGAGAGCTCTTACAACCTGCCTGCCTCAGTGCCTTCGTATACTTCTTTCACATCTCATTAGCAACATTTATATTTCAATGAGTCAACTTCCTGCAAGAAACCAGGAGCCTAATCAGTTTCCACCTTAAGCCAACACATTATTGACTACTCTATACTTTACTCAATACAGACCCCTAAACCATGACACACATTCCTTCATATTTTTACTAATTTTCTCAAGACTGGCAAAATTCAAGAATGCTCAAAACAGCAAAAGTGAATCTTTTCTCCCTGGATACTGTCTACGACGACTACTGCTAAATGTACTTACAGCAGGAGGCTAAGAGGAAAACCCAAAAATTAGTAAAACAAATCAAATTCAAAATATACATGCTCATGAAACTTTTAAAATGCACACGAAAATAAAAGTCAATCTACCTAAAACTGTCTCAGCTATTCAATCATTATATAGGAAGTACCTTAATTATAGCCACTTTATTAGAAAAGTACTCTGTGGTGAAATAACACCAAATATATATTTACATATAAACTTATAAGTTTCCAAACTATTAAAAGGCATTTCTCACAGATCCAGTAACTGCTGTAAAAACATCAACATTCAGAAGCATTAAGTGTTACTTTGAGAGGTTAAGCCACTCAAATGCAGCCTTCCTGACACTTGACATTCACCACACTTCCACGGCAACACAGAATTGCCGCACAATGAGTACACAAGGTCAGCTGGCCGGTTGCCAGGGATGAGGCATCACTATCCCCACCTTACACAATCTTATCATTCTCACAATTAATACAAAATAAACCGACTACACTGACCATGTATCAAATTGCCTCATCTATATTTAACATTTTGTCACAGCCACCACTGTGAACCCTGTATCATTACCACTATTCACTGTATTTAATCACTCGACTGGCAACCCCTTCTGTGATGCTGTAGTTGCCAGGAGGGTGTAGGGGTACTAGTGGGAGTACCTGGGAGGGTGTAGGGGTACTAGTGGGAGTACCTGGGAGGGTGCAGGGGTACTAGTGGTGGTGGGAGTACCTGGGAGGGTGCAGGGGTACTAGTGGTGGTGGGAGTACCTGGGAGGGTGCAGGGGTACTAGTGGTGGTGGGAGTACCTGGGAGGGTGCAGGGGTACTAGTGGTGGTGGGAGTACCTGGGAGGGTGCAGGGGTACTAGTGGTGGTGGGAGTACCTGGGAGGGTGCAGGGGTACTAGTGGTGGTGGTAGTACCTGGGAGGGTGCAGGGGTACTAGTGGTGGTGGGAGTACCTGGGAGGGTGCAGGGGTACTAGTGGTGGTGGTAGTACCTGGGAGGGTGCAGGGGTACTAGTGGTGGTGGGAGTACCTGGGAGGGTGCAGGGGTACTAGTGGCTGCAGTACCTGGGAGGGTGCAGGGGGTACTAGTGGCTGCAGTACCTGGGGAAGAGGGGTTCAAGCTGCTGGTAGGAATGTTGAGGGGGGGGAGACGGTAGTAGTGGTGTACAGAGTGGCAGCAGCTGGAGACTAAAGTCTCCATGTATATATTGCATTACCCCACTATAATTAAACAATGTACAGACTCGCTGAACAGGAAGCACTAGTCGAGCCCCTTATCACCATTATCATACTCAGGATAAGCCGTGTGCGCCACAAAGACTTCCCATTGGAGCCAAGACACCTCAGAGGGCAGCAATAGGAGAGGGGAAAGGTGGAGGATAGTGTGAATAGAGGACTAGGATGATTGAGGTTGGGGTGGGAATTTAATGGGTGTAACTAGGTATTTAACCCTTCCTCCTTCCCTGTTGCGTAGGGTAATGCTATGGGCTCAACTGCCAAGACTTTAAAATTTGTCTTTAAACTTTTGTTATATCCTGTTACCCCAATGGTACTCTGGCAAGTGGGCGAAGGGAGTAGTGTGTTTATAGAATGCATGCCTTTTCTAGCTTTGTCAACTTAGAAAATTATATCTGCAGCACAGGGCATTCTAGTAGGAATTATCTTCAATAATACTGATAAAATACACCATCAGGTCACAACATTAAACCAAGCCACACACGCAAGGCATGTTTGCAGAACTTTACAGCACACAAGTCTATGGTACGGTACTATCACTACCCCAAACCTTTACCCCCCCCCCCACATGAGTAAGTGCTAAAACACACACACGGAAACTAGATTCTTACAAGGACTAGGTTTAAACATTGTAACGTGTCCATTACTTTATCTGGCACCAGATGTACAGTTCCTCCGGGAGGAGGTGGGGAGGGGGAGGAGGGGGGGGGGGGGGGGGGGGGGGAAGAGAGAGAGAACATGCCTGCAGGTTAACCCAATGACGGTGTCTGGCAACAGTCACATGCCACCACCACTTGCACCTCTGCCAAACATTCTTTAAGTGAATTTCGATGCATGGCAATAGAATTAAAAAGAGCCAAGTGTGAATTTATTTAAATATTTCATTATGAGTGCTGTAATGATTAATATAAAAATATAACAAGAACTGGCAAGCAATGTGTATACATACAGTATATATTTTATCATCAACACCTACAGCCTGGTATCTAGTTACTTGAAATTCTAATGAGAAAACTTGTCAAACTAAAATGTCCCACGATCACCATGGATGGAGATTACGACCCAAGATAATACACACAGTTTTTTACCGGTACAGTACTGTACTTCATCTTAAGAAAAACCATTCCAAAGGGCAGGCAAAGGTTCATACTTAACAAAGACAACAGACAAGACAGGGTTTAGCACCACTTATTTATCTGGTACACTGTGTACTTCTCTCCTCTAGCATTGTGACATTTAGATCTTTCATTTAATTCCTGCACAGGAAAGATATTGATAATGTTTTTTTCCCACTTTATGCCTCTGTTCACTTAACTAAATAAGTATCGAGGAGATAGGCAAGTATTGTGGGATGCATCCTGGGAAGGTCAGGCATTAGGGAGAGCTTGATAAGGCAAGATTAATGCCAACCCAGTATTACTATAGCACTTAAACGTGTTACTTTGAGAGTGAAGGAGCCCTGGACAATCACTTGGCTCATTGGGGATGCAAAGATGAACCCTGCAAGAGGAGAGGCTGTCGATGTACCAACCAGGCCAAGTGGATGGTACTCTTGATAAGCCTAACAGTCTTCCTGTCCTTTAATATGATAACCAAACTTATACACATATACACACACACGTGGTGTGTGTGTAATGTGGTGGGGGCTGACTCCATACACAGTTTCAAGTGTAGATATGATAGAGCCCAATAGGCTCAGGAATCTGTACACCTGTTGATTGACGGTTGAGAGGCGGGACCAAAGAGCCAGAGCTCAACCCCCGCAAACACAACTAGGCGAGTACACACACTCTCTCTCTCAGGACAACATCTTAGCCACTTTTTGTAGTTGCTCTCCCCTAATACTATTTCACATCTCTTTATCCTTTGTATCTGTATTGCCTTACCTTTGTTTGGATTTAATTCAAAGCCAGTTAACAGTCCACTTCTGAAGTTAAACTGTCATCCCTCACTTTCTCTACCCCTTGGCTTTAAATCATCTTTAAACCACATACGAGTTCACTCCCTCTGGCATAAATTAAAAGAAACCGAGATGGTAACTTATACAGTACAGTACTTTTCCAGCTTGACGTCCTCTAAACTTTTGTTTCCTGTCAGATACTCAGGTCAGCATTTCCTGTTAGCTCGTCTTGTTTCTTCAGCTTGTTTACTAACCGTGCTGGTGACTGGGGTTTGTAATGATAGAAGTGTTGGTTGTTAATGGTAATGTTACGGTCAGTGGTCTCCGGCCCAAGCACCGGAACATTGGTAATTCATCAATAACGGTGGTTGGAGTTGTAACCGATGAAGGTGGTGGTGGTTGATAATGGAAATGGGTAGTATTGGTAGTAGGGAAGGAAGAGTTACAGATTTAAGGGATGAACCAGCCGAAGGTATGCCAGCAAGTATATAAAACACTACAAGGAAATATTACAAAATCATTTAAAAAAAATTGCAATCGAGGCAGATAAAATTAAGGTTTATTACTTATATGCAAAACCCACAAAGATTTTGAAGCAAGCATCTGCCACTTTAGAAGGCGCGTTAAAAATAAAATTGTATATAGTGTGGGTTCAAAGATATTCCATATAGTGCACTGTTGAATTTGGGCTGGGAAGAAAATTCAGGTACTGTATGTACCGCATGTCATTTATTTACAAAACAATGATGTCACTGGGATGTTATATGTATCTAGTATTTACAATACTGTACTTTTTGGGGAGTACATTGGTCGGCTGCCCCTGCCACACTTACTGTATAGCACTACCAGTATTTAAATTCAATTTGTTTAATACAGTAACTGCCTAGCTTTCTTTCATAAAGTAATTAAACTAAGGTCAAATCCATGCAAAACACCACTCAGACTGACATGCATCTCCCATTTAGGTAATCTTGTGTAAATGATGCGTTATTAACCACGATCGCCATACTGAAACCATTGCCCGAAACGCTATGCGTACTAATGGCTTTAGGTATTGTATGTACCACCTCTATCTTTAAATCTAACAATGTTTGTACTGTAACGCTGCAACTATGTATGTACTGTTCCTAAATAAATTATTATTATTATTATTATTATTATTACTCACCTTGCCAGCCAGTTAACTCAAATTCTTCTGCCAAGGATCTTGCCCGGCGGTACAGTGGCAGCATTATGTGTTTGATCAAGCCCATGGTTGTGCGTGCTCCTACATTATCGCAGAATGCCTGACGCTTTAGTCAGTTTTTAGTTCAGCCGTCCTAATTCTTCACGACACTGGTCAAGACGGATCACCGTGAAACATTTAGTCAAGTTACTAATAACAAGTGAAGTTCAACACAAGTTCTTTATTAATCAAGAACAACGGATTAGAAAAATTGTACGATCAAAGATTCCGTTGCCAAAAAAATGTACGAGCCTCTTTGCATCTAGTCCGCCTCCATCAATAACCAAGTGTTGCCAGAAATTTGTCTCCAGTACAAGTGAGATGGCTTTTTTTGACCCACTTCGTATTTCTACAGAAAGCCGTTCCCAGGAATATTTAACAGCGGCAAGACATTATGACTGTATGGCTGACTCCATACACAGTTTCAAATGTAGATATGACAGAGCCCAGTAGGCTCAGGAACCTGTACACCTGTTGACGGTTGAGAGGCGGGACCAAAGAGCCAGAGCTCAACCCCCACAAACACAACAAGTCGAGTACAACACTAAAATGCTCACCACAGACTTTAACCCAATAGCAGGCAGGCCTACGGAGGTAAAAACAGCCTAACATCCGACATTCGAACAAACTATACAAAAACTGGCTACAACATATGATCAAAATTGTGAAAATCTTGACTAATTATGGTGTCTTGAATGGAATTTAAATTTGTGTTGCAGGACATTGAAAGACAATATGGTGAGCAGCCCGGCAGACACATGCACTGTACAATGTGATAATGTGGGTTATAGTGTCACAGCAGCAACAGTAGCAGCAACAGTAGCAGCAACAGGAGCAGCAACAGCAGCAGTAGTAACAGCAGGAGTAACAGTAGCAGGCCGAGCAGTGTGAGACAAGTGTGGCCTTGGGCCGGGGGGTAGAAGACAGCTCCCCAGACAACACTAAAATAACACACTCCAAATCAGTTTAAAGCCAACATTCCCCTCGTGGCTGACCATGCCCCACCTGCCCCCCATCAACACCCCCCCCCATCAACACCCCCTTCACACCCCCATAAACCCCAAAAATACCCCAAAAAACGCCGGAAATTCGAGCCGATAACGTCATTATGAGGTCCGCCATGCCGGCCCCAGACACCACTAAATTCCTCATAACCTAGCCTCTAGCGCCTCATAACCCCTCATACCTGCAGTATGAGGGGGGTATGAGGCATAGATGATGGGGGATATATGAGGGATGAGGAGGATATATCTAGAGCCACATACTCGCTTTTGGCCTCAAGCTTGCCAGGAGGTCGGGCCCAGACACCACTAATCCCTCATAACCTAGCCTCTAGCGCCTCATAACCCCTCATACCTGCAGTATGAGGGGGTATGAGGCATAGATGACAGGGGAATACACGAGGACATACCTAGAGCCACATACTCGCGCTTGACCTGGGTCTTGGCCTCGAGCTTGGCCAGGAGGTCGGCCAGCTGGTTGTCCTGGTAGAGGATCTTGATGGCCTGCTGCTTGTAGTACTGGAGGTTGGCCGCCATAATGGTGGTAGTGGTGGTAGTGGTGGTACTAGTGGTACTGGTAGTGTGGTGTGTCCCTCACACTGGCCGCCGCTGCTCTGACACTCCTCCTCTCCGCCTCTCACTCACTCTCACACACTCACGCACGCCAACTTGCACTCACTACCACTTATTTTCTCACTTATTTATATATTTGAATGTATATTGGTTTTATTAGGGTACAGAGACTAAGTTTGACATTGTTGTAAAGTCATAAGTACTTAATGTGCTCATACTCACTCACACCCGCCAACTTTGACTTACTCACTCACTCTCACTCATTTACTCGCTCATTTTCTCACTTATTTATATATTAGAATGTATATTGGTTTTATGAGAGTACAGAGACTAAGTTTGGCATTGTTGTACAGTCACAAGTACTCATAGTGTCCTTATATTCACTCACTCTCACTCGCCATAGTGACGTTAGAAACAACTTAGTGTCAGAGGAGTTACTAATGGAATGCATTAGGCAGTGATGTGGCTGACTCCATACACAGTTTATAATGTAGATATAATAGAGCCCAATAGGCTCTGGACCAAAGAGCCACAGCTCAACCCTCACAAGCACAACTAGATGAATACACTCACCGCCTCACATTAATTAAAGGGTAAAATATGAGGCGACGAGTGTAAAAATACATATTATACACTATATATAATGTTTAAATTTGCGAGGTATGTTAAAGCGGGGTGTTGCGGCCCCATTATAGTTACCCATGAAGCGTGAGTTAGAATGTTTGTCATGAGTGGCCACCTCCTCCATGGACCTCCTGAGCCTGCTCATGCCCTTCTCCATGGCCCCTCTTGACCCCAGCTTGACCTGTGAGGCAGCAGCAGGAGGCGCCATGACTGCTTCTTCCTCACTAGTAACCTCTTCCTCCTCCTCCTGGTCCGTCCACACCTCGGGTGCCAGTGTCTCTCCCTCTTGCGCCATTATAGAGGTGTCAGGTGGCTAGGGTCAGCAGTATAAGGTCAGGTGAAGCAAAGGTCACCAGTAATGGCGGGTGCTGCCTGGGTCACCTCTGGTCTCTGACCTCTCACAATACTCTCACCCCATATATCATAAATAATTATCAGTATATAAAATATAACAAAAATGTATCTTGTTTTTCTACCCTCGTTTTTTTCTATTAAAGTATGCATTTTAAATATTAATTTTAAAATGAAGGTATGGAGGGAAGGAAGCAGTAATTATTAGTTTTAAGTGGTTAAACCTCCACTTTAACTGCTAGTTTATGACCTGTAGCCAGTTTATAATCATTATTAGCCATTTTCCTCCCCCCATTACCGGTTATATTTAAATATAAAAACATGAGGCTATATCATTTTGATATCAATATAATTAAGGCTGTACATATACAGTATGAGTTATACAATGATTATAGCAATTATCAAATTTATCCATAATTATTATCATGCTGTAATATATTAATAAATTAACTCCCACAAGAGAATGATTTTTAAATTCTTGTCATCCTATGATAGACTTCTCAAAGATAGCCAACGAAATAATCGTCCATGGACATTTATATGGATTTTAAAGAGTTGAATACCTATTGTCCAAGATCTAGCATGCTGTTGCCTTGCTTAGGTTGTAATATGCTATATTAGCAAGGAGAATCATGTACACGGCCAAGAATTAAATTTCAATTTGCAATGTTAGATTCACTTATTATAAGATCTTGGGGCTTAAACTATTTTCATAATGCAGCTCAATAAATTCCTCTGATATTGTTCTGTCCGCTCTATACTCTACTCCAACTATTAATTTCATAGTTTGCCGCCATTTTGATCATTTATATTGGACCATATAGATTCTCGACAACCCGCATGTTGCTCAACTCCTAATTCAACTTTCTTTATGAAACTATTACACAACCTCAGATTATTTTGTTCTGAAATGTGGATTATACGGCTTCAAGCCCCAATGTGGAAGGAAAAGAAGTTTTTTTTTCACCCATAGGGTTATAAACCAATGGAACCTCATGGACAAAATTAGAAATTTCAGATATTTAAGCTCAGCACAATAAAATCTTAAGGACTAATAGGGGGAGGGGGCTTTCACAAGCCGCTGGCTTCCTGCCCCTCGTTGAAGCCATTAGAGATAGAAAGACCTCAGATAAATATGGAATTTGCTTTGAATTTGCATCAGTTTTGGAGTAGGTAACAGGGACTAGGGTGCTCAACAGTAGGTAACAGGGACTAGGGTGCTCAACAGTAGGTAACAGGGACTAGGGTGCTCAACAGTAGGTAACAGGGACTAGGGTGCTCAACAGTAGGTAACAGGGACTAGGGTGCTCAACAGTAGGTAACAGGGACTAGGGTGCTCAACAGTAGGTAACAGGGACTAGGGTGCTCAACAGTAGGTAACAGGGACTAGGGTGCTCAACAGTAGGTAACAGGGACTAGGGTGCTCAACAGTAGGTAACAGGGACTAGGGTGCTCAACAGTAGGTAACAGGGACTAGGCTGCTCAACAGTAGGTAACAGGGACTAGGCTGCTCAACAGTAGGTAATAGGGACTAGGCTGCTCAACAGTAGGTAACAGGGACTAGGCTGTTCAACAGTAGGTAACAGGGACTAGGCTGTTCAACAGTAGGTAATAGGGACTAGGCTGCTCAACAGTAGGTAACAGGGACTAGGGTGCTCAACAGTAGGTAACAGGGACTAGGCTGCTCAACAGTAGGCAACAGGGACTAGGGTGCTCAACAGTAGGTAACAGGGACTAGGCTGCTCAACAGTAGGCAACAGGGACTAGGGTGCTCAACAGTAGGTAACAGGGACTAGGCTGTTCAACAGTAGGTAATAGGGACTAGGCTGCTCAACAGTAGGTAACAGGGACTAGGCTGTTCAACAGTAGGTAATAGGGACTAGGCTGCTCAACAGTAGGTAACAGGGACTAGGCTGCTCAACAGTAGGTAACAGGGACTAGGCTGCTCAACAGTAGGTAACAGGGACTAGGGTGCTCAACAGTAGGTAATAGGGACTAGGGTGCTCAACAGTAGGTAACAGGGACTAGGCTGTTCAACAGTAGGTAATAGGGACTAGGCTGCTCAACAGTAGGTAACAGGGACTAGGCTGCTCAACAGTAGGTAACAGGGACTAGGGTGCTCAACAGTAGGTAACAGGGACTAGGCTGCTCAACAGTAGGTAATAGGGACTAGGGTGCTCAACAGTAGGTAACAGGGACTAGGCTGTTCAACAGTAGGTAATAGGGACTAGGCTGCTCAACAGTAGGCAACAGGGACTAGGGTGCTCAACAGTAGGTAACAGGGACTAGGCTGTTCAACAGTAGGTAATAGGGACTAGGCTGCTCAACAGTAGGCAACAGGGACAAGGCTGCTCAACAGTAGGTAACAGGGACTACGCTGCTCAACAGGGACTAGGCTGCTCAACAGTAACAGGGACTAGGCTGCTCAACAGTAGGTAACAGGGACTAGGCTGCTCAACAGTAGGTAACAGGGACTAGGCTGCTCAACAGTAGGTAACAGGTACTAGGCTGCTCAACAGTAGGTAACAGGGACTAGGCTGCTCAACAGTAGGTAACAGGGACTAGGCTGCTCAACAGTAACAGGGACTAGGCTGCTCAACAGTAGGTAACAGGGACTAGGCTGCTCAACAGTAGGTAACAGGGTCTAGGCTGCTCAACAGTAGGCAACAGGGACTAGGCTGCTCAACAGTAGGTAACAGGCAAGGTCTGCTCAACAGTAGGTAACAGGCAAGGTCTGCTCAACAGTAGGTAACAGGAACAAGGCTGCTCAACAGTAGGTAACAGGGACTAGGCTGTTCAACAGTAGGTAACAGGGACTAGGCTGCTCAACAGTAGGTAACAGGGACTAGGCTGCTCAACAGTAGGTAACAGGGACTAGGCTGCTCAACAGTAGGTAACAGGGACTAGGCTGCTCAACAGTAGGTAACAGGGACAGGGCTGCTCGACAGTAGGCAACAGGCAAGGGCTGCTCAACAGTAGGTAACAAGGACAAGGCTGCTCAACAGTAGGTAACAGGGACTAGGCTGCTCAACAGTAACAGGGACTAGGCTGCTCAACAGTAGGTAACGGGCAAGGTCTGCTCAACAGTAGGTAACAGGGACTAGGCTGCTCAACAGTAGGTAACAGGGACAAGGCTGCTCAACAGTAGGTAACAGGGACTAGGCTGCTCAACAGTAGGTAACAGGGACTAGGCTGCTCAACAGTAGGTAACAGGGACAAGGCTGCTCAACAGTAGGTAACAGGGACAAGGTCTGCTCAACAGTAGGTAACAGGAACAAGGCTACTCAAGAAAAAAAACAAATAAAACATGCAATGTTTATTATCTTTTTGTTATAAATAAATATCAATGTTTATAAATTGCTTACAAGTAAACTAATTTTTTTATCAAATAAAATTTTTATTAATTAGAAGAAAAAAAGTTTAAAACAAATCATAAAAAAGGGCACATATAATAATTTTCTTTTATTTTTAACTTTTTTTTTGTATCACATTTGAAAGTTGGGAATATTTGAATGCATGAAAGCAGTCTTCAACACTTAATAGTACTGTATTTAGGGATTTTAAGGGTTATAATGTATAGTATTGTGAAACTTATCATATAAAATGTAATCATTTACCGGTAAATAAAGTATCTGGAGGAGCTTAAACTTAAACTCATTATTATTACTGTATCAGTAAACAATATCTCTTTACATATATTAATGATCTCTGCTAATGAAATGTTGATGGGACAAATATTTTAAGAATGTTCTTTGCAAAGTAAAGAATAATCGCCCACAGCGTGGCCATTAGACGTTACAAAGTACTAATTGGGCGAGTCTGCAAACACTGCCAGGTGTATGATAACCTCACACTAGAATAATAAGCAACTAACTAATGTGTCATAACAATAAGTCTTTATATGTTACTTGCAATACATTAATAACTGAAGTTTGAACATTTTCATTAAAATGAGACAAAAATAGAGGTTTTATGCAGTACAATAGTGATACAGCCCCCCCACATCCCCCCGATTCTGTTGTCACAAGCTGCCACTGTAAATGGGAACGGTATTTAGAATGGTTAGAATCTAAAAGTACTCAGGCCAGGTAGATGTGTTTGAATGGGGGCATGTTTTATGAGCTATTACCGAACCATACACGAAGCCAGGTTTTGATCCATAAACCATACATGAAGCTAGGTTTTGATCCACAAACCATACATGAAGCCAGGTTTTGATCCACAAACCATACATGAAGCTAGGTTTTGATCCACAAACCATACATGAAGCCAGGTTTTGATCCACAAACCATACATGAAGCTAGGTTTTGATCCACAAACCATACATGAAGCTAGGTTTTGATCCACAAACCATACATGAAGCCAGGTTTTGATCCACAAACTGCACATGAAACCAAGTTTTGATCCACAAACCATACATGAAGCCAGGTTTTGATCCACAAACTGTACATGAAACCAAGTTTTGATCCACAAACTGCACATGAAACCAAGTTTTGATCCACAAACCATAAATGAAGCCAGGTTTTGATCCACAAACTGTACATGAAACCCGGTTTTGACCCACAAACCATACATGAAGTTAAGTTTTGTTTCACAAACCACAGATGACTACCAGTTGAAGATTCCGAGGATTAGTATCCCTGCAGCCTGGTCCCTTGGTTGTTGGTCTGAACACTCAGTCTATGCGGCTGCTCGCAGCCTGACGTACGGGGCTGTAAAGCTACGTTTTGATCCATAAACCATACATGAAGCCAGGTTTTGATTCACAAACTTAAAAAATGAACAATACAGGTTCATTTACACAGTAATCATGTTTTTTTATTGGGAAAACAAATTTAAGTAAAATATACTTTATGGAGAGGCATAATTACTAATTCTTTTTCTTTTAATTCTGTCTTCTAAAATTTATTTAAATTAGTTCAAGAAATTATCCTGGTCCCATAGTACAGTACAGTAAATTTATCTAAAAATAAATTGTTGAAAGCTAACAACTCGTCCTAAGTTCAAGACTTATTATATACTTAAATATATAAGAGTCCAGTATTTATGCATCAAACTCACTTAACATTACTATGTACGGTATTTGGAAATAAATCTATCAATCAGAAATAAGACAGCATGCAGCACCTTTGTTAATATCCTTAATCATGTTAAATATAGAAGGCGATGAGTCACAATAACGTGGCTAAAGTATGATGACCAGACCACACATTAGAATGTGAAGGGACGACGATGTTTCGGTCCGTCCTGGACCATTCTCAAGTCGATTGTCTTGAGAATGGTCCAGGACGGACTGAAACGTCATCGTCCCTTCACATTCTAGTGTGTGGTCTGGTCATCTTAAATATAGAAGCTCTATACACTATAGGGAAGCACCCAGAGTGTTAGCAAGACAAAAACTACAGCTAGCTGCTTCAATACCTGCAGGCTCGAAAATGACCACACAACTCCCCCAAACTATGTTAATGAATAATTGTGTGTTTGTGCATACTAAATTGAAATAAAAGGGCCCGTGTTTGGAATTGACGTCAGAGGCCTACTCGCCTGTGATTGGTTATGTCTCAACGGACATACAATTTGAGTACTGTATAACACATTCCCCGATGAATTAAATAAAAAATTGTCCAACCCATCCCCTGTTCAAAAATAAAACCAAAAAGTACCTAATTTCAACCTCATAGTTTCCTACCTTGTGCTTTAAACTCACACTGTATCTTGTACTAGCCACTTCCCCAATATTAGTACTTAAGACATGTATCCTTACCAGTGTAATCACCTCTGTCAACTTACATTGTAGTTATTGTTGATACAAAACCTTGCTACAATGTACCTTTTCATCTTACTCGATATGTTAGACCTGCCCGAAGCGCTACACGTGTTAGTGGCTTTACAGGAATGTAAAAATATCAATCTTATGTAACCTCACCAACCCATTGCACCTTCTTGTTTGGGGGGCGGACAGGAGCAGACTTGTCAACTTCCACCTAGCCACAAATAATTCTATATTCAGTGCTGATTAGGATGGGAAGCCACTGCACTACTGTACAAGAAGAGTGCCAGTTGCTGACATGGGGCTTGCTAATAGGTGGTTGCTCACATTAGCAGCTGTCCCTGCTGTGAGGCAAGCAATCCCATGTGATGTTGCAGCAGCTAGACACTGCAGCTGCTTAGTCTACGATAGGGCAGTCCCGGCTGGATTGCTTATGGTCTTAAGATGGAGGTGGGTGGAGTACTGAGACTGGAAAAGAAACCCACTTGGTGGTGGTATATAAAACTGGGGCCGAGTACCCTTACCGACTGACCTAGGTAAGCTAGTAGGAAAATCTATCTACAGGGAGCCGGTCGGCCGAGCGGACAGCACACTGGACTTGTGATCCTGTGGTCCTGGGTTCGATCCCAGGCGCCGGCGAGAAACACTGGGCAGAGTTTCTTTCACCCTATGCCCCTGTTACCTAGCAGTAAAATAGGTACCTGGGTGTTAGTCAGCTGTCACGGGCTGCTTCCTGGGGGTGGAGGCCTGGTTGAGGACCGGGCTGCGGGGACACTAAAAAAAGCCCCGAAATAATCTCAAGATAACAGTGTCTATATACTGTATGTGGATGTGTGTGTGTGTAGTGTATATCTTAGAACTCTATGATTTGTTTGTTTTTGACTGTGAATGTATGAAAAGCCTTTGTAGAGAAGCCCTTGTTCTTGCGGTTGAGTCTCACAGGCACAAGCATAAGTTTGTCCAAAAAGTTGGTGCATGAGCTCAGGGCAGCTACTGGTGGAGTAAACAGTAACAAGATTATTAATGTGGTGTGGAAAACAATTTAAAGTGAATAAATTCAAACTGTGATATTGTAAAGCATGAAATTGTGTATTACAGTATCTATTTTATAAACAATACTGTACAGTGAGGATATTCTTCTTCCAATAATTATTTTTAACAAATTTGTAGTTTCTACAGTGATTTTCCAGCTGTTTCGGGGAGTGTCTCTCCACCTCGTTGAAGGGCAAACGTGGCACTCAAGAGGATATTCGTGGTCGCGAGTCGGGTGAGGAAGTCCGGAAAGATGTCACACGAGCTCCAGAGTGAGCGTCCCCTCATTTCTGCCTCTTAACACACCTCAACTGTGTGATGGGTCACTTTTCTGCTTGTGCTCCTGCAACTGAAAACATTACACTTATTAGTTACTAACGTACCAAAATGCCCACAAACTTATACTGCATTTTGACCATATGCAACCTTAATGTTTAGTGTTAAAAATATGCAAACTAATATATTTTATGCAATAATGTTTATATACAGTAATCTTTTAACAGGATATATGGATACAACTACAGTATATTAAGAACAATAAAGATATTTTACATGTAAAAAGTTACAGGAGGATCTGATTACAAGGATACATAATAGATACTGTATTGTATTTATATATTTTGTAAGTCACTAATTAAGGGCCAATTTTTTTGTTTACCTGTGTATATCTGGGGCCACTATTTAACTAGTGACTTCAATGGGGACAGGAAGCCAGTGGCTTGTCAAAGGTTTGACAAGGTTTGATAAAGGTTTGAGAAAGGTTTGAGAAAGGTTTGACACTGATCCTGAGGATTTTTCCAATTTGATTTTGAGTTGAAATAATGTCTTGGTATTTGTAGTTTTGGTGGATAGTCAGTTTCATGGGGCAGCCCTGAAACCGCCCGAGTCTCGCCAACATCTAAACCCGCCCCGACTCCGAAACCCTCAGATGTTTGGGAGCCGGCAGCAAGAGGGGAAGAACAGACATTTTGGGAGCTGGCAGCTTGAACTTTGAAACCAAAAGTCCAAGCGACTAACGCCCCTAAGTCCGGGTCCCAATAACCAAAGCGGGGCAGCCATGGGGCATCCGGAAAGTTAACCAACCTAGCATGTTGCAGTAACCAAACAACATTGCATGCAATGTCGAAGCTGCTTGCACCCAATTATCAGTATCAGTGGATTGGGTGAATTGGAGCACCAGCAAGGAACACCACTCGCAGGACTCCGGGCAAAGGTGTCTCTGACCCAACAGGCAGCATGAGGGAGGCAAAACCAGTGAATGTCACCCTGAGACAAGGGGACAGAGCAACCTTCGAACTTGCACAAGGCGAGATGAGACCCAGAGGATGCATCCATCGAACCAATGAACCCCAATGGGGTCTTCCAGGGCCCTTAGGCTGACGTGGTCCCAGGTAGGCAAGAACTCTTTTTAGAGTTCTTGAACTCTAAAAAAGAAGAGCTTTTAAAAAAAGTTCAAAAAGAACTTTTTTATGCCCGAAACGCTTTGTGTAATAGTGGCTTTAGGCATTGTATGTACTAGCCCTAACTATAAATCCATCACTCTTTGTAAAATCTCTTCTTTGTATGTACCTTACCTAAATAAACATTTTGATTTTTGATTTGATTTTGAACTCCAATTGAATTGACTGATGCCACGGTCTAATACATACATATGAGCCTGGTAAGCTCCGGGGAGCCAGAGGGCCTCTCCACAGAAAATACTGGTAACACAACAGGCACAACCATACACTGTTGTGATATACTCTGCAAACAATGTGATAAATAGTTGGAACAAGTTAATTGAGAAGGTGGTGGAGGCCAAAACCGTCAGTAGTTGCAAAGCCTTATATGCCAAAGAGTACCTGGAAGACAGGCCACTATGAGTGTAGCTCTCATCCTGTAATTACACTTAGGTAATTACTAGTAACACAACCAACAATGAGGTATACACTAGTAAAACAACCAACAGTGAGATTATACACTGCAGACACAACCAACAGTGAGATTATACACTGCAGACACAACCAACAGTGAGATTATACACTGCAGACACAACCAACAGTGAGATTATACACTGCAGACACAACCAACAGTGAGATTATACACTGCAGACACAACCAACAGTGAGATTATACACTGCAGACACAACCAACAGTGAGATTATACACTGCAGACACAACCAACAGTGAGATTATGCACTGCAGACACAACCAACAGTGAGATTATACACTGCAGACACAACCAACAGTGAGATTATACACTGCAGACACAACCAACAGTGAGATTATACACTGCAGACACAACCAAGTGAGATTATACACTGCAGACACAACCAACAGTGAGATTATACACTGCAGACACAACCAACAGTGAGATTATACACTGCAGACACAACCAAGTGAGATTATACACTGCAGACACAACCAAGTGAGATTATACACTGCAGACACAACCAAGTGAGATTATACACTGCAGACACAACAGTGAGATTATACACTGCAGACACAACCAACAGTGAGATTATACACTGCAGACACAACCAACAGTGAGATTATACACTGCAGACACAACCAACAGTGAGATTATACACTGCAGACACAACCAAGTGAGATTATACACTGCAGACACAACCAACAGTGAGATTATACACTGCAGACACAACCAACAGTGAGATTATACACTGCAGACACAACCAACAGTGAGATTATACACTGCAGACACAACCAAGTGAGATTATACACTGCAGACACAACCAACAGTGAGATTATACACTGCAGACACAACCAACAGTGAGATTATACACTGCAGACACAACCAACAGTGAGATTATACACTGCAGACACAACCAACAGTGAGATTATACACTGCAGACACAACCAACAGTGAGATTATACACTGCAGACACAACCAACAGTGAGATTATACACTGCAGACACAACCAACAGTGAGATTATACACTGCAGACACAACCAACAGTGAGATTATACACTGCAGACACAACCAACAGTGAGATTATACACTGCAGACACAACCAACAGTGAGATTATACACTGCAGACACAACCAACAGTGAGAGGAGGATCCCGCAGGAGAGGCTGCGGGATCCAGTAATTCAGTAGAACTACGAAGAACCTACGAAGTTCAGTAAAACTTCGGTTTCAACTCTTTTTACCCTGTCGTAGCTCAGTCGATTAAGGCAGTGTCTGGGATGCTCCCGGACGCAGGTTCGAATCCTCGTCACGGCCCTTGTGGATTTGTTCACACTAAAGATTGTAAAACACCAGACTGTGATATCTGTGATAGACCCAGGGAATAATGTTGATTGCTTGATGACCAGCGGTAATATAATACAGTGTATAGTAGATACATACCGACAGGGAGAGAGCATAGGCCATGTTCAGGTCTTCTTCTTCCCTCAACTTTCTCCACTGGTGCTTGCTTAGTTTCTTTTTGCCCTCATATTGCTGCACTTCCTTGTATTTGTGTTCATCTTCACCTGTTTCTGAAAATAATGGAGTTTGGTGTAGTTCCTGTGGGCTATGCTGTTCTATGAAGCCATTCTTCATATTCCCCTCCTCATCTTTTACCGGCATGTAGTTATACTGATCTTGTGAACCTGCAAAATCTATACGTGAACAGGACTCATTCTTATCAATACCATCATCTATTTCATCATTATCCAAGCTACAACTTTCCTTGATACAATCATCATGCATGCTGCATTTGCAAGCCTTAGTACTACATGCACCATGTCTGTCTGCTCCTGCAGCAGGCCACTCTCTAACACAATTATAGTCTTCTCCCATATTCCCGGAGTCTTGATAACAATTTGCATTATAGCCATCAGTAACTGGTGCAGATTCACTCTCATAAATATATGACCTCAGGAGTTTCTCATGTTTACAAGATTTTGCTGCCCTCTTTATTTCTCTTTCTTGGAGATCTCGTGCCATCTTCAAACTAACGTCGTCCTCTTCCCGAGATTGAGAACAAGCAGAATCTCTCTCCTCGCGTGCCATCTCCTGCCGTGACAGGCGGATAGCATAATTGATCATTTCCTTTTCATAAGACATCATTTGGTTCATCATCGAGTCGTTCTTCCCTTTCTCACACACGTCAAAATCCTCTTCCTGTTGATGGAAATAAATATACAGTACAGTCAAACTCAAGGCTGCATTTGTTTAAGACATAAGAATATATAATTTCATAAGGTACAAATATTTAAACAGTTGAAAGCAAAATAGAGATAGCTGCATATCCTTAGTTTCAAACACAAGCTCTATTTTCTTCTGCCACTTGTATATTATTACTGGCGGCGGTCAGCTTCCCTGGACGGCTGTTGTACCATAACCACATCCACACCTTCCATTAGACCAAGTTGTTTCCTCCCAGCAAATCAGGAAGCAGTATTGGTTCAGACATCAGCACATGGACATACAAGGTCATGGACTGCATATCCAATATCATTTCCATCACAGCTCCACAAGGAGTCACATCCCTCACCTGCCTCGGCACAGCTGCTAACACAACTGCCTAAGGTGTCCTGGCACTATTACTCCAATATAAAGCTATTTTAATTATATGTTCGTGAGAGAGTCGGTCGGCCGAGCGGACAACACGCTGGACTTGTGATCCTGTGGTCCTGGGTTCGATCCCAGGCGCCGGCGAGAAACATTGCGCAGTTTCTTTCACCCTATGCCCCTGTTACCTAGCAGTAAAATAGGTACCTGGGTGTTAGTCAGCTGTCACGGGCCCCTTCCTGGGGGTGGAGGCCTGGTCGAGGACCGGGCCGCGGGGACACTAAAAAGCCCCGAAATCATCTCAAGATAACCTCAAGAAGATTGAGAGCTATTGTGTCTTTAATGTACATCTGTCATGGTGTCTTAAAGAGTTCACTCCCCTTGTATTGTTGAGTCACCATTACTACCTGTCATCTTCACCATACATCATGACTGGCAGTCATCTTCACCACACATCACCTCCCTTACCGTGGGTAGCAATTCTAGTATGGTTATGTTCGTTGGCAAATTCTCAACGTCAACATCTTGGAACGAATGACAAGTAGGGCAACACGGACGCTCACGCCTACCTATCTCTCCTAGAGAGAAAAAATACAGAAATTACCATACAGTACTGTTACAACAATGTATTATATGAACTGGAATACAGAATTTTGTAACCTACTATCATTTTCAATGAGCATTAGAGTCCGAAAAGTTTGGGACCAAACGGTGGGTTGTATTAGTAGTTAAACCATTGTGTCCTATATTTCAAAAAGAATAAATTATGGAAGAAACAGTATATAATTTCCTAAGTTACAGAATTAGATACAATTGATCTATCCCATCTTTCCTGTTAGTTCTTACCCACTCATTTAAAATATTTCATCCATCTACCACTGTTCACATTGTGTATGATTTGTGGCACCTCTGTATCTTAGCTCGAGTCTGTGGCTTCTTGTTCTTAGAACATGGCCACAACAATTAAATCATTATATTTACTATTTGGCCAAATACATACGCTCTTGACTCCACACATATCAGGCAGAAGGGACATGAAAGGGTATGTCATCAGCAAATAGTTATTGTGAGGCATACTGTAGGTCATTGATGTACAGTATAAGAGTATTGAACCAACTGTACTGCCCTGTGGAATGTCAATATTAACTGGTACAGTAGTACATTCAAGTACTGTAGTATCAAAGTAGCACAGCACAAAGTAGAATCATTTGGAGGCGACGAGTCACAATAACGGGGCTGAAGTATGTTGACCAGACCACACACTAGAAGGTGAAGGGACGACGACGTTTCGGTCCGTCCTGGACCGAAACAATCACAATCGACTCGAGAATGGTCCAGGATGGACCGAAATGTCGTCGTCCCTTCACCTTCTAGTGTGTGGTCTGGTCAACTAGAATCATTTACAGAACCATACTGGTGTCTTCACCGAGGTAAGATTGAGTGTATTGTAGAGAGTGATCTCTCGACTCCACAGTGATGTAATCTGACAAGGTAATTCTGGTTAAGTGTCGAAGGCCTTACAAATATCAACAAATACTTATTGTGTCCTCATATTTGTTATATGCTGTGTATATCAAGTCAAGCATATTTATTAAAGCATAATTTGTTAAAGCAATCTCACTTTTTTGGGGGAGGTCTGTAGCCATAGTGGCAAGAGCTAAACTTTACTCCTGCTTAGCTAGGTAGGAGTAAAGCTGTTTGTACGTTAGTTTTTTATAAAGTGGGTAAGATTTATATTAGTCTGTAGTTGTTTACTTCAGTGAAATCTCCACTTTTATGGACTGGGATTACTCTGCTGCGAGCAGCCGTGTCCAACAGCCTGGTTGATCAGACCAGCAACCAGGAGGCCTGGTCGACGACCGGGCCGCGGGGACGCTGAGCCCCGGAAGCACCTCAAGGTAAGGTAGGTAAGTCATTTTAAGGATATCAGGGAAGGTTTAGAGTTCAAGTGATATATTGTAGAGTAAGGCTATTGCCACAGCTCTAACATGTAAGCTTTTTTATACATTATGGTTGCTATTTGTTGTTTTTTTATGCATTATTGTTGGTTGTCAATGCTGTTACAATTAACATCTGCAGAATTTGTTATGGATATACTGTGCTGTATATAAATACTGGTACTAGGTGCCTGAGTTAGTAATTTACACTGATTTAGGATGCTGGGAGTTTATTTGCAACGGTTGTTCAAGTTGATAAAAGCTAATGAATTTAGTATCACTGACTGATAGCATATTTACTCCAATGACCTGTAAAGAATATTGATTTTACTAAAGTTCTTCTTTGATTCCAATATATGAGAAACACAAGAGTGTTTCACATTTTTATCATGTTACCCTTTATTTGGCTAAATTTATTTTCACTACAGATAGTTTTAGCTTTTTTCTTATATACAAGAGTTGTTACATTCTTGTCCAGCCACTAGTACGCGTAGCGTTTCGGGCAGGTCCCTGGAATACGATCCCCTGCCGCGAAGAATCGTTTTTTTCATCCAAGTACACATTTTACTGTTGTGTTAAACAGAGGCTACAGTTAAGGAATTGCGCCCAGTAAATCCTCCCCGGCCAGGATACGAACCCATGACATAGCGCTCGCGGAACGCCAGGCGAGTGTCTTACCACTACGCCGCGGAGACTGTTAAGAGACTTTCTTGCCATTGAAGAGTACCTCTTTGCCGTTTCTTTGGAGACGACCCTTATCCAGTATAACACTTCTCTGTTTTTATTTGTACTAAAATATAAATTTGTTTTGATTTATAATCTAACCTTACAGATAATTTCACATAACCTTTAATAAATACCAAGGCATGACTTGCAGAATGTGTGACCACATTTAGGCAGGAGAAGCGGCCGTTGCTGCCTCGTGTTGAACTTCCTGTTGCACGTACCACAGCACAGCCCTCTGCCGCCCTGCAACACCGCCAACCCACTAAAGAAATTCACTTGGGCTCTGGACTGGTTACAAAATGATCAACTCAGTATTTATAGATGTTCTTGTACACATAAGTAAGGGCACATAAGAAAACCTCAACAACCTATAAATTGTTTGAGAGTGCATGGGTGCATGTAAACATTCAGATCAATGGTCTTCATTTACTGGTTCCCCCAAACCCTCAGGCAGTGAGGGTCTCTTGAGGTTATCTTGAGATGATTTCGGGGCTTTAGTGTCCCCGCGGCCCGGTCCTCGACCAGGCCTCCACCCCCAGGAAGCAGCCCGTGACAGCTGACTAACACCCAGGTACCTATTTTACTGCTAAGTAACAGGGGCATAGGGTGAAAGAAACTCTGCCCATTGTTTCTCGCCGGCGCCCGTGATCGAACCCGGGACCACAGGATCACAAGTCCAGCGTGCTGTCCGCTCGGCTGACCGGCTCCCTGGTCTGATGAGCTGCCAGTGTTCCTTCACTTCCCTCCATAAAGGCAGAGTTGTGTTAGCTCTATTAATAAAATACAAAAATATATATTGCAGGCTAGCTAGAATTGAAGGTGATAAAATATGATATTAATAAACAATTATTTCCCATTAAATTTCAAAACTAATTTAGTAATGTTCCCTAACATTAACCCTCAAACCGCTCGGGGTCCAAATGGAATTAACACCCACACGCGCAACAAAAAAAAAAATTCTAAAAAATTTTTTTTTTCTTTTTAATCTCTTTATTTGTGTTCCCTGAGCACGGGAAAAATAATAAAAAAATTTAATTACACTTACCGTGGACGTAAATGACCCGAGAAGATCGTCGATGACGTCACGCCTGATCTTCGCTGGACTGCTGTGCGCCCGGGGTGAGTCAGGCGCGACGGAGAAGGAGCGCGAGTTGCCGCGAATTTATTTTCGCGTTATTATTTACAGTATCTATGGCGTATTTTACACCCATTTTTTTCACTGGTGTGGTTCAATATGTTCTCACAAGATGATTTATAAACATAAAACTGTTGTCAATGTATATTGTATCCACATATTAGTGTCACAAGTATTTGCACAAAAATGTCTTATTTCACAATAAAATATACTATTTCTTATGATTTATTTCCATTATATACACTCACTTATTCTGTATTTACATGTTTTGGCACCAGTCTTGGACATTTAGAAGTCATCAAGACTGTGATACTCGTTGAAACATCGGACATGGCACAGAGGGACCTGACACGCTGTGCACCAAGTCATCACCATTTTTCTTTTCTGTTCCCTCTTGGTTGTTGACCAGCATACTACACACGCACGCTGGCCTACTGCACGCTTTCCAGTTGGTGGTAAAAACCTGAGATTGTGTGTCAAAAAGGCATCCCTGAAAGCGAGCCTGGGTGTTGGAGCATGGTGCAATACCGGGTTCAGAATGGGCCTCTGTACACCAGGAATTACTTTGCCAAACTTCTGTAGTAATTGTGTTACTACAGTAAAATTGAATGCACGGAAATTACGTTTACCACCTGTTTTGACAAGATACATATTGTAACTGTTCAGCATTGTTACATCAACAAGGTGGAAAAACATTTTCTTGGTCCACTTCACTGTTTTCCGTACACACTCCACTGCCCCCACCATCATATCACATTTATCCACCAAACGCATGTTGATGTTATAGTCCAAGACACAATCTGGCTTATAGATTATTTCTCTGGTGGTTCTGTTCACCTTGCCACTGTCCAGCATTGTTCCAGCATGAATGGTGGTCAACATGTTCACTTCACGCCTGTCTTTCCACCGCACTGAAAGCATTCCACCTGTTTTTCTGAGCTCGCAATCACCAACCTGCATAGCACCTGGAAACACTGGCATTTCCCTTCGTTTTGCCTTCACTGTGCCACACACACCAGTTCTATTATCAAGCAAGAACCTAGTTAGCAAGGGACTGGTATAATAGTTATCTGTGTATAAAATGTGGCCCTTGTTCAGATATGGTGCAAGCAGTGACTTCACAACACTACCTGAGAAGCCATGTTGGTCATTAGCAGGAATGTCTACATTTGTACCCGTATACATTATCATATGTAACACAATTCCTGTTTCACAGTCACAGAGTACAAAGAATTTCAATCCAAATCGGTGGCGTTTGGAGGGAATATACTGCTTGAAGGCAAGACGTCCTTTGAAAAGCACAAGGGATTCGTCAATCACAAGCTTCTGAGCTGGTACGTAGAAATCCCTGTACTTTCCGATAAGTTCATTCAGTACGTGCCTTACCTTCCAAAGCCTATCTTCATCATTCCTGTCTTCATCATTTGCAAAGTGAAGACACCTGAGGATTATTGCAAATCGGTCTCGAGACATATATTTGCCAAACATTGGTGTTGGAACAGTATGGTCTTTGCTCCAATAATGATCGATTACGTGTTTGACACAATGTTTCATCAACATACACAGTGCCAAAAACACATACATTTCACCTACAGTCGTATCTTTCCATCGCTGCAAACGTGAAAAATCGGATAACTCCTCCTCATCAATGAGATCACTCGCATATTTGTTCGTCTCCTGAACAAGATGTTCCATTAGCGGCTCATCAAAATATGCAGTAAAATAGTCCATTTCACACATATCTGCACCTTTATCAGGGAAAATGTCTGTAATTCCAACATCCGAATTATCAAAAACAGGAATTTGTGGAACAAAATCTGTCCCATCACTCCACACAAAAACACCGGGTGTCTTTCTAGAGCCAATAGCGGCACCACGGCGAGGAAACCGTGTACCAGGAGCTGAAGCAGGTCTAGGAACAGTAGGGGCGGGCAGGGATGGTGATGGAAAATTCCTCGATGTTGAGGGTCTTTGTTCCTGTGGTGCCATGCGGTGCCGCATGGCTCGGCCAGATGCTGCTGACGCGACAAATTGTCGCTTGGCAACACCACACACTCCTCCACTGGCACTAGCAAAACTATTTTCCGATTCTAAGTCACTAAAACCGGAAAATGATTCACCTTCTTCAGAATCGTCGAGCAAAACATCAATATCTTGCAAGGGAGCACATGAACTGTGTGGTCTTGCTGAAATTGGGGTGGAGTGAGGGCGAGGAGGCATGGGCGAGATGCTAGGCCTAGCCCTGGTGGAGCCAGCATGTTCACACTCGTCGTCGGTCGTATCCACCTCTGTGGGCTGTGTATAGTCATGATCAAAGTCTGAGTCGTCTATATCAGACTCATCACCATCCTGGAACAAATTACGAGTAATTTCGTCCTCGGTCAGAGGTCTCGAGGAACGTCTCGCTGAGCGGGGTCGGTCGTCGGAACGTGATGTGCTCGCCATGGTGTCCGCCGGGTAACTGAGCTCTGTACACAAAGGGGACCCACGCTGGATTTTTTTCCCAGGCGGGGTTTGTTTATGTTTGGTCGAGGCTTGCCGATGACTACCCCTATCCCAGGCGGGGCGTTTAAATTATAGCGCTAGACACGAAATCATATATAAATGATGTGCGCGGTTCCGGTTTTGTCACTGATATCATTTATATATGATATGCGCGGTTTGAGGGTTAATTTCGTTCTGGATCCTGAAGAGACGTGACAAAACAGTATATTAAATAATTATTTTTGATCAATACCTGATCAACCAGGCTGTGACTTATACGTCAGGCTGCGAGCAGCCGCGTCCAACAGCCTGGTTGATCAGTCCAGCAACCAGGAGGCCTGGTCGACGACCGGGCCACAGGGACGCTAAGCCCCAGAAGCACCTCAAGGTAACCTCAAGGTAGGGCTAATGATTTCAAGATCTTATTGTATACTGTATATATCTAATGTTATACAGTATGGAAAAGAGAGAGAATGATGTCATGGATGAAAATGGAAATGATACAATTTAACAAATACAATAAAATACCAGATGAGAGCAGTTACAGTTGTATTATCTGTATCCAAGTAGTTGGCCCATGTCTTCCCACTGCTGCCCAAAAACCCATAATGCCCACCAACACTGTTGGGTAGAACAAAACTACGAAAATGTCAGAAACACTTTGAACATACATCACTCAAAATTACATGTTGAAACACAAACGCATCTAATGTAAATTAAATTTTTGGGTTACCATGAGTGCATAAATTAAAAAAAATTAAAAATAAAATTCTTTCATAATTATCAAATGTAAAGGATTTTTGTTATTGTATTTGTTCGCTTTTTGTTATAAAGAAAATGTAGAGGACTTAATCAAGAGAATAACATAAGGTGAGCCACCTAGAAAGGTGTATTATGGGATAGTGAGGAGCACAGGTGTGGCACACCTGTGGCACAATAGTGAGGAGCACAGGTGTGGCACACCTGTGGCACAGTAGTGTGGAACAAGACATGGGAGGTGCGGCAGAGTAGTGTGGAACAAGACATGGGAGGTGCGACAGAGTAGTGTGGAACAAGACATGGGAGGTGCGGCAGAGTAGTGTGGAACAAGACATGGGAGGTGCGGCAGAGTAGTGTGGAACAAGACATGGGAGGTGCGGCAGAGTAGTGTGGAACAAGACATGGGAGGTGTGGCAGAGTAGTGTGGAACAAGACATGGGAGGTGCGGCAGAGTAGTGTGGAACAAGACATGGGAGGTGCGGCAGAGTAGTGTGGAACAAGACATGGGAGGTGCGGCAGAGTAGTGTGGAACAAGACATGGGAGGTGCGGCAGAGTAGTGTGGAACAAGACATGGGAGGTGTGGCAGAGTAGTGTGGAACAAGACATGGGAGGTGCGGCAGAGTAGTGTGGAACAAGACATGGGAGGTGCGGCAGAGTAGTGTGGAACAAGACATGGGAGGTGTGGCAGAGTAGTGTGGAACAAGACATGGGAGGTGCGGCAGAGTAGTGTGGAACAAGACATGGGAGGTGTGGCAGAGTAGTGTGGAACAAGACATGGAAGGTGCGGCAGAGTAGTGTGGAACAAGACATGGGAGGTGTGGCAGAGTAGTGTGGAACAAGACATGGAAGGTATGGCAGAGTAGTGTGGAACAAGACATGGAAGGTATGGCAGAGTAGTGTGGAACAAGACATGGGAGGTGTGAGAGTAGTACCTAGCAAGACATGGGAGGTGTGGCAGAGTAGTGTGGAACAAGACATGGGAGGTGCGGCAGAGTAGTGTGGAACAAGACATGGGAGGTGCGGCAGAGTAGTGTGGAACAAGACATGGGAGGTGCGGCAGAGTAGTGTGGAACAAGACATGGGAGGTGCGGCAGAGTAGTGTGGAACAAGACATGGGAGGTGCGGCAGAGTAGTGTGGAACAAGACATGGGAGGTGCGGCAGAGTAGTGTGGAACAAGACATGGGAGGTGCGGCAGAGTAGTGTGGAACAAGACATGGGAGGTGCGGCAGAGTAGTGTGGAACAAGACATGGGAGGTGCGGCAGAGTAGTACCTAGCAAGACATGGGAGAGTACATATCAGGGACTCTTAAGGCAGTCACTGCCAGACACGGATGTTACGTACTAGCTAAATCTCAGTAAGACACACACAAATAAGGCATTCATGCTACACATATTTATAACATACAAGTTAATTTCTGACTGTGGAACAGCATTTATTTTCAATATGCTATTTGAGAAACAATAACTTGAGTTATCACGGTGGCTATGCATAGGTGGGACACCATAAACACCGCCGACATGGGATCATGGCACTGTATACCTAAAATAATGATTTGAATACCTAAAATAATGATTTGAAATGTTTTAAGTACAATTGTTTTCAAAGTTGTAAGTGGCTTAATTTCCAGTGAAAACATTACATACCTCTAACAACCTGTCAATGTCGTCTTTGTAAACATTTATCAGCTTCATGGCCTGAAATAAATAATAAGGGAGTATAAACGTACTGTGACATGTTATCACAATTTTCTTTATTATTTAGAACAAATTACATTTTAACAATTCAATTCAAAGACGTTATTCATAAATGTTTGTACATTTATAGTTGGGGTAGTTTACACAAACTTGCAGTAAATTATTTAGCCAAGAGAGTCATAATAATAACAATATGTGATAAAACCCACAATTATGTATTTGTGAAATTTATGTAAAGAATTACATTAAGTCTTTCGCACTCTCACGAGGACTTTGTCAAGGTCTGAATGTGTGGTCAGGACGAGATTAACATCTTAACGCCTAATCTAGCTGTTGATTAGTCATTGAGATGCCAGTCTCGTCCTAGCCACATCCTCAGACCTTGACACAGCACTCGGGAGAGTGTGAAAGAATTCTTGAGGTTATCTTGAGATGATTTCGGGGCTTTTAGTGTCCCCGTGGCCCCGGTCCTCGACCAGGCCTCCACCCCCAGGAAGCAGCCCGTGACAGCTGACTAACACCCAGGTACCTAATTTACTGCTAGGTAACAGGGGCATAGGGTGAAAGAAACTCTGCCCATTGTTTCTCGTCGGCGCCTGGGATCGAACCCAGGACCACAGGATCACAAGTCCAGCGTGCTGTCCGCTCGGCCGACCGGCTCTGTCAGGTGGTGTCTCATTCTGAGCCCTATATGAGCAGCATATGGTTCATCTTTCAAGGAGTTCAATGTTAGCTGATCGACATCGTCTGTGGTGGCAGAAGAGGTGCAGAATGCCTGTCAGCTACCAGGTCGCGAGCACGAGATCGATTCAATCTCCGTCTCCGCAGCAAAGGGATGTGCTTATAAAGAACCACTTGAAAATCTGACCCTGGGTAAGTGGACATGTTAATGCCTGTGATCAATCAACTAGGAATGTTAAAATATTGCTATAGGCAGGTCAAAAAAATAAAGAGAATTGTACTAAACACAGCCATCAACATACCTGCAGAACTGCATCATTATCTTGTTTGGATTTTGTAACTAGGGACCAAACCTTCACCAAGCCTAATAAAGAAATATATATTAGTACTGTATTGTCAATGCAAATCTTTAGTGCTCAAATTTGTATACCATATTGTATATTCTATTAAAGTATCTTTTCATGTCACACTTTCTGGCAAGCATATTTTATTACATAGGAACTGTGTTTAATATAGTAAGGCAATTCACATGGAGTGTTTTATTAAAATTATGCATAACTGAAACACTATACCTTGCACAACGGCTATGATTTTTGGCAATGCTCCTACGAGTACAGGTGCCCATTGCAGTACTGCTTGCATTGCTAATGTGTTCAGCTGGGATGAAAATTCACAACTTGAATTAAATAGGATAAAAGATGGGGCCTGGAAAAAAAAAAACATTTAATAATAGGAAGCATGTTGTGAATGGAAGTAAGAGAATTTTCTGAAAATTACAAAATATTGCTCTCTGTAGTGCCACTGAGAAACAAATACTGCCCAACACTATATTTCTTTATAAGAGTTTAATGGTATAGTATAGTGCTCTATAAAATGTTATACATTACACTGTAACAATAGCAAGACAAAGGGAAAGCCCTTAACAAGACTAAGGCTTGTCAAGAGCTTGTTCTCTCTCATAGTAGGGTTTCTTAGCACAGTTGGCCTTGCTCTCTCTCATAGTAGGGTTTCTTAGCACAGTTGGCCTTGCTCTCTCTCATAGTAGGATTTCTTAGCACAGTTGGCCTTGCTCTCTCTCATAGTAGGATTTCTTAGCACAGTTGGCCTTGCTCTCTCTCATAGTAGGGTTTCTTAGCACAGTTGGCCTTGCTCTCTCTCATAGTAGGATTTCTTAGCACAGTTGGCCTTGCTCTCTCTCATAGTAGGATTTCTTAGCACAGTTGGCCTTGCTCTCTCATAGTAGGATTTCTTAGCACAGTTGGCCTTGTTCTCTCTCATAGTAGGATTTCTTAGCACAGTTGGCCTTGTTCTCTCTCATAGTAGGATTTCTTAGCACAGTTGGCCTTGTTCTCTCTCATAGTAGGATTTCTTAGCACAGTTGGCCTTGTTCTCTCTCATAGTAGGATTTCTTAGCACAGTTGGCCTTGTTCTCTTTCATAGTAGGATTTCTTAGCACAGTTGGCCTTGCTCTCGAATCACAATTGGAGATCCATGAGTGGCGCTGCCCAATAAACTCGCCCCTCGGGGCAAAATTTAAAATTTAATTGGAGATCCCAGGTTCGTACAGTACAGCCACTAGCACGCATAACATTTCGGGCGGGTCTTTAATCTTAATATTCCCCGGAATACGATCCCGCCAAATCGTTTAACAACCAAGTACCCATTTTACCGTTGGGTAAACAGAGGCTACAGTTAAGTATTTGCGCCCAGTAAATCCTCCCCGGCCAGGATACGAACCCAGGATAAAGCGCTCGCGGAACGCCAGGTGAGTATTTTACTCCTACGCCACAGGAGTAATTAATTGCCAATTAACTGCCATCTAATTAGAGGCAATTAACAAGTCACACCAAAAGCTAGTCATAAAATGTTACAAATAATCAAATTAAGATTTAACAAGTACAGTAGTATCGCACAGCAACAATAAAACAAGGAGTAACAGAAACAATTAAATTATACCACAGCAATATTTGAAGCAGGAAGTGTGTGTTTTACATGCCCGAGTCTGACAACAGGTGACTGGACGATGATTGACGCCAGTGAGGGTGACTGGACAATTACCTGATAAGTGAGGGAGACTGGACAATGGCTTATAACAGTGAGGGAGACTGGACAATGGATTATAACAGTGAGGGAGACTGGACAATGGCTTATAACAGTGAGGGAGACTGGACAATGGATTATAACAGTGAGGGAGACTGGACAATGGCTTATAACAGTGAGGGAGACTTCACAGTGGCTGATAACTGTGAGGGAGACTGGACAGTGGCTGATAACTGTGAGGGAGACTGGACAGTGGCTGATAACTGTGAGGGAGACTGGACAGTGACTTATAACAGTGAGGGAGACTGGACAGTGGCTTATAACAGTGAGGGAGACTGGACGGTGACTTATAACAGTGAGGGAGACTGGACGGTGACTTATAACAGTGAGGGAGACTGGACGGTGACTTATAACAGTGAGGGAGACTGGACGGTGACTTATAACAGTGAGGGAGACTGGACGGTGACTTATAACAGTGAGGGAGACTGGACAATGGCTTATAACAGTGAGGGAGACTTCACAGTGGCTGATAACTGTGAGGGAGACTGGACAGTGGCTGATAACTGTGAGGGAGACTGGACAGTGACTTATAACAGTGAGGGAGACTGGACAGTGGCTTATAACAGTGAGGGAGACTGGACGGTGACTTATAACAGTGAGGGAGACTGGACGGTGACTTATAACAGTGAGGGAGACTGGACGGTGACTTATAACAGTGAGGGAGACTGGACGGTGACTTATAACAGTGAGGGAGACTGGACGGTGACTTATAACAGTGAGGGAGACTGGACGGTGACTTATAACAGTGAGGGAGACTGGACAGTGACTTATAACAGTGAGGGAGACTGGACAGTGGCTGATAACAGTGAGGGAGACTGGACAGTGACTTATAACAGTGAGGGAGACTGGACGGTGACTTATAACAGTGAGGGAGACTGGACGGTGACTTATAACAGTGAGGGAGACTGGACGGTGACTTATAACAGTGAGGGAGACTGGACGGTGACTTATAACAGTGAGGGAGACTGGACGGTGACTTATAACAGTGAGGGAGACTGGACAGTGGCTGATAACAGTGAGGGAGACTGGACAGTGACTTATAACAGTGAGGGAGACTGGACAGTGGCTTATAACAGTGAGGGAGACTGGACAGTGGCTGATAACAGTGAGGGAGACTGGACAGTGACTTATAACAGTGAGGGAGACTGGACAGTGGCTTATAACAGTGAGGGAGACTGGACAGTGGCTGATACCAGTGAGACTTCACAGTAGGTGATAACAGGGAGACTTCACAGTGGCTGATAACAGTGAGGGGAAACTGCACAGTGGTTGACACACAAGGAACACTGGCCAGCCTACACTTGTGATACAGCCAACGGGTGCTGGACCTGTACACACACACACACACACCTGTAACACAGCCAACGGGTGCTGGACCTGTACACACACACACACACACCTGTAACACAGCCAACGGGTGCTGGACCTGTACACACACACACACCTGTAACACAACGGGTGCTGGACCTGTCCACACACCTAACAAGGAACACATATATGACCACGTTCAAGGCATTATAGAGGTGGTAGAGGTGTTGGTATAAGAGGAAGGGGTTGATTAAGGCCTCCAGGGGACCATATAGGCCGCCAGGAGACCATAATGGGTCCAGATAACCACTATAACTCAATCAATTCTGATTGAAATTACCTACTTAAAATTATCTGCTAGATTAAGGACCTGCCCGAAACGCTGTGCGTTCTAGTGGCTTTACAAGAATGTAAATACTGTACTATCCAATGTATTCTCACAAACCCAATGTACCTTCTTGTATATATATATATAAATAAATAAATAAATAAATAAATAAATAAATAAATAAATAACACCTGGTCTGTGACGTCACGTGTTGCTCCCTCACGGCCTCCTGTGCTCTAGCTGCCCCTCACCCACCAACAATAACAAACAGCCCACAACAACAACAGCAACAGCTAAATCAACACAACAACAACAAGTAATAACAGCAGCAGCAGCAGCCCTCAGCAACAGTAATAACAGCAGCAGCAGCCCTCAGCAACAGTAATAACAGCAGCAGCAGCCCTCAGCAACAGTAATAACAGCAGCAGCAGCCCTCAGCAACAGTAATAACAGCAGCAGCAGCCCTCAACAACAATAACAACAGTAGCCCACAACAACAGCTCACAGCAGCAGCAGCAGCAGCCCTCAACAACAGCAGCCTACAACACCAACAGGCCACAAAAATAACATCAGCCCACAACAGCAGCCCACAATAACAGCCCTCAACAGCAGCCCACAACAGCAGCCCACAACAACAGCCCACAACAACAGCCCACAACAGCAACAGCCTACAACACCAACAGCCCACAACATCAGCCCACAGCAACAGCAGCAGCCCACACCAAGGAGGAGGAGCAGCAGCAGCAGGAGGAGAGAAGGTGTCATAATAAAGGAACATGCCAGTAAGTTAGCAGTCCCCGTGATGTAGTGGTTACCTTGAGGTGCTTCCGGGGCTTAGCGTCCCCGCGGCCCGGTCGTGGACCAGGCCTCCTGGTTGCTGGACTGATCAACCAGGCTGTTGGACGCGGCTGCTCGCAGCCTGACGTATGGGCAGGTGGTAAAGACACTTGCCTCGCATTTTGTGATCGCTTTGTCCTGGGTTCGTATTCTGGCCGGGGAGGATTGACTGGGCGCCAATCCTTAACTGTAGCCTCTGTTTAACTCAACAGTAAAATGGGTACCTGACTGTTAAACAATTTTTCGCAGGGTTCGTATTCCAGGGAACATAAAATTAAGGGCTTGCCTGGCCACCATGGAGGTACAGTACTAAGATTAAGCCTTGTTAACATACAGCCTTGTATGTTGAATTATTTTGAGAGAAGTTATGTCCATTCTTTAGTATAGTGACCAATATTTATTGATTTTATTTATTCATGTACAAGAAGTTACAATGGATTGTTAAAGTACATATGCTGGTGGTTGAGTAGTACATTGTTGCAAGGCCACTAGCACAGCTTGAGGACCTGCCCAAAACGTTGAACAAATTTAAAAACATAATCAAAGTGAGGCTTTCCAGCACAAGTTAGAAACACGTCTCCCCGGCTTGGTGCTTTCTTTTGATAATTACGTACTTGCCCGTCAATTATATTTGTAATGTACTGTACAGTACAGTATTTATAAAAAGTACCGGTAACCAATGTAGCTAATTCTTGTTCATAGATACATTGTGGTCTTGGTTTCAGGTGTTTGCTAACCATTGCCTCCAGAAGTCTTGGTTTGATTAAATGTACCACTATCTTTAAGTAGATATGCTCTGCCACTATATTTATCAAACTTACGATTTTACACTTATTAATTATAAGCTGAACCACACTTGCCATTTGAACACAAATATCAGAGACCAGTGACTTTACCCTAGTGTCCGGAGTCCTTAGTTTCACTAAAACTATTGTATTGCATTTTGCAGACTAATATGTACCATAAAGAAAACTCATGTTTTACCAGATTATAGGGTAGAAATATTTATAATATTCACTTCTGTATTTTTGTGTAAACACATATGTTATACTGAGTATTGTTTACGTACAGGTGTATAAAGTGGCTATCCGAGCGCAGCTTGAGAATGTGACAAATTTGCAGGCCCTGGGTGACGACTTCCAGTACTGTATTAAGGTAAATTTGGGTTATCTTTTTGTTTTATGTGATGTATTCCTGGCATCCAAGAATCTATGATTAACATTCCCCGACCTTTCCCCCCAACCTTTGACCACTCTGGCCTACAAAAGCTACAAAATGTTTCTGTGCAGTAATGCGTTTAAATTTTTTTTGGTCATGCTGTATGTTACCAGTCTCGTACTCTTATGACACAAACATGATTAAATGACATGATGATCAAAAGCCAGAGTGGTTCATAAGAAGCTCTACTTGTCTGATACGTTTTCTGTAGCATCGAGACGTACTGTGAGGGCACTATACTGACCATAGTGTGAAGGAGCCGGTCGGCCGAGCGGACAGCACGCTGGACTTGTGGTCCTGGGTTCGATCCCAGGCGCTGGCGAGAAACAATGGGCAGTTTCTTTCGCCCTATGCCCCTGTTACCTAGCAGTAAAATAGGTACCTGGGTGTTAGTCAGCTGTCACGGGCAGCTTCCTGGGGGTGGAGGCCTGGTCGAGGACCGGGCCGCGGGGACACTAAAAAAGCCCCGAAATCATCTCAAGATAACCTCAAGATAACCATGGGCTTTCCTTGTTGGAGAGTTGAAACCATGTCATCTGACAATTGTAGTAATGGTGAATCAGTCAAGGAGAAGAGGAACATTTTATCATAGATAAGAAGGCTGAATCATTAGAGAATCTTGTCCATGGGTAGAAAGGGAAGCAGCTGGTAGAGGAATACAGCATTAGTATAAGTACTGTACTGTTTCTGACAGAAAAGTATTTGAAGCCATTGTGGACTTTATGATAATTATTACAAATAATAATTCATGTTAATTCTTTAGCATAACCAGTGTATTTCTCACAATTAAACATTAATACTTTACTATGATTACAGTGTGATTATACTGTAATACTGTCTTGTAATATTATTTTCATGTTATAAATGAACATTCAGTAGACTGTAACACATTTTAATGCTGTATTTTCCAGACCAGATGCAACTCGTGCAATGAAGTGAGTGAAAAATGGCAATATGTGTCTGCTGCCGAGAAGGTGGACGTGCCCAAGTCTCGGGGCACATGTAACATGCTCATCAGGTGCAAACTGTGCAACCGTGTCAACACCATGGGTGAGACAATTACTTTATGCTTTGGTTTATTTTATACGGTATTTGTGAAAGTTGTTTTGTTAAAGAGAATTGCAGAAAACAAGCATCTTGAACGTCTTGTGTTCATAATACTATACGCTCGCTTTGTTTTGATTATTAGTAGTAGTTTTTGATTAGTATTAGTAGTTTTTGAAGTTACAGTATTTGTATTGAGAGAGCTGTAGAGAAGGCGTGTTGTGAGAAACATTATAAGATGTACATATCATTTATGGACAAGGGAAAAATCATATGACAAAGTTAAAAGACCATTAAAAGTATTTATCATTTATAAATATGATTGAGGGGCATTTTTAGAATGATGAGCGTGTATGCAGCTGGCAGAGTGCTGTTAAATAATGTGCTAAATTTTATATTGGAAGCAATTAATGTTTACATATTAATAATGTAATGAATCTGCATGAATTTACCCGAGGGGCCACCATCTGTACTGGCCTCAACAGGGACAGGAGGCCAGTATTCCTAAGGATTTTTTCCAGCACAATTTTAAATTGAAGAATTGTCCTTGCATTTAGTCTTCAGCAGGTAGTACTGTTATGGATTTACCCCCATAGGTGAAAACAATTATTTCCTGTCTAGAATAGTTGAACATGTTATACTGTAATTGTATGAAAGAAGTTATTAAAAGTAGATGTTGACTAAAGTAGTTATGGTGATTGAGAGAGAAGGAAGGTGTGTATGTGAATTAAATGTGAATGGTAAAGTGCTGGAAGTGGGTGATCAGTTTCAATACCTGGGATGTGTCATTGCTAAGTAGAATGTTGATAATGAGATGCCAGTTTCTGTGCGTTACCTCAAAAGCTTCAGTGAGCTTGTGGCACTGCCTCTACAGGGCCACCACAAATTTCAGGATCCTGAGACTTTTCTTGGCCTGCTGGGAGCCAGGAGCAGAATCTGGCTCCTTCAGAGAGTGACCTGCACAAAATGTCAAAATGATAAAACCCCTTTATCATTTATAAATATGATACAGTGCTGTATATGCAGTAAAAGAGTGTTGTATTAATGTTCACTGTATAAAGCAACCAGCTGCTCTCTAAGCAAATGTACATAAACTGCAGCAGATACAAAAAGACAAATGTGGGTTAAACATTATACCTTTAAATACATTGCAGATGTTCTGAGTGACAGAAAGCAAGCATACACAATAGATGATGTTCCCAATTTCAAGGAGATTATTGCCTTTGAGTGCAGAGGCCTCAGCATTGCTTCCTTCAAGTTTAGTGTGAGTTTTGTCATCTATTCTTGTTGAAAGTGACATGATAAACATGATGATAATCTTTGGAAAGTCAACATACAAGCAATATCAAACTTCTACTAAAACAAGAAGCTCATGCTTATTTTCATTGTTGTTATTTTATCTTAATTTAATCTTGATAATGGTCACCTCGTACAGTCTGTTCTCCTGTGTATGTACGCTACACAGGCATAATTTCTCATTGATGCAAATTATGTTTTTGCAGGATGGGTGGCAGTGCGAAGGAGCGGAGAGCAAGACGGCCTTCACGGGGCTGAGTCTGGACGAGGAGTGGTGCGAGTACGATGAGAATGCGAATTGCCCCGTCGGAATTTCTGAGGTTGAGTACAAAATTAATTGATGGTGGTCTCTACTGAAGCTGTGTAACCAATATGGTTTATGTTGCTATCTTTGATATTGAACTACTGAAATGTAATAATCCAATTTAAAATCATTGATGTTGGGTGATTGTTATGCATGTGATAGGTTTTGTACTGTATAGGAATGACTGGCATTACTGCTTGAGGCTTTTACACATGATAATTTGTTATTAAAGTACAGTACTGTTATAAAGTTTGGTTTTTACCTGTGATATTAAGAGCATTAAAGGTTAAGAAATGAGTTCTTCATATAATTCACTCCTTTTTATGCCAGTAAACAGATGAAGAAAGTGCTAAGGTAATTATGAGGAGTAAGTGCTTAGCCAGCATGACCATATAGCACTTGGAAGGTGTATGAGGACGTGGATCTGGGATAGAACGGATAGAATGTATATGAGAACGTGGATCTGGGATAAGATGGGAGGGAGGGAATAAGCTCTAGGATTGAATATAGGATGAAGGGAAGGAGTGTCATCATTTATTTAAAGATTTCATATACCGTATTATTCTTGACCTTGACATGACAGCATCACTAGTAGAACCTGTAGATGAGACTCTTTGTGAAGAACGCTGAGCTTGTACAAAACTGTTTGACTATCGGTGAGAAATGTTTAAGAGTGCTGACACATACTTAAAGCCTGGAGAATATTGAAGAGCAAGTGGCAAACCCAACACAAGAACAACTCAGTATTATTAAGGTTCATCCAATAGTACTAAGTAGAGCAGTGAGGTTACTACTCGACTGTGCTAGGCTCTTGGTCCACTGTGATTAATCCAGGATTTAAGGTTGCCTTGAAAGTTACTACATTAGTGAAGTAAATTGTCAGTTCAAATAATTTACCAGTCTTGGTTCCATAGAATTGTGTTGGTTGACAAGACAACCTGACCCACCAATCCTTCCTGGTATACCGCTGTCCTCCTCGAGTTACTTCCAGTCATCACCCGTGCATATGGGTGCAAGGTAATCAAGCCAAACTAAAGTGGAGTTGTTTTTGGGAGGCCAAGGCTGTGGAGCCGAGTGTGTGTACTTTCATGTCGATGGTATGAACGACAAGGGCAAGAGAGAAGAATTTAAAGTCTTTTTTATAGACATGATAGACATTGTAATGGGAAAGGTAAATGCAAGAACTGTGAAAACTGAGAGGTGGGAGGGTTTGAGGGGTTTAGTTATGTGTTCATAAATGCATGAAAATTATAACAAAGTTTTGTTTGTATTGGAGAGTGAGAGAGTATGTAAGAGTGTTTACATACTCTTTACATCATCAAGTGTTTATGCAAGAATGATACAAGTAAGATAGGTAAAGAGAGAGAGATGCATGTGTAAGTGCATGTATCCCGCTATGTATAGGGATATGAACAATATATCCTGAACATGATATGATCAATTCTTCAATAGTACATATTGTACTCACCTAGGTGGGAGACTGTATTGATGTCCTCTTACTGGCTGCTTTGAAGAACATTGCAATAATTACTGTACCTTGATTATAAGGCGGAAAATGTGCATCAAGTGCATGGAACTATTCGTACTATCAGGAGTTAAATAACAGATCTGTAAATAATATCAAGTTTATTCTCAAAGTGTGAGAGATCTTAACATATAAAAGTGACAGTTTTAATTAAGTACAGTCTCCGTGGTGTAGTGGTAAGACACTCGCCTGGCGTTCCGCGAGCGCTATGTCATGGGTTCGTATCCTGGCCGGGGAGGATTTACTGGGCGCAATTCCTTAACTGTAGCCTCTGTTTAACGCAACAGTAAAATGTGTACTTGGATGAAAAAACGATTCTTCGCGGCGGGGATCGTATTCCAGGGACCATAGGATTAAGGACTTGCCCGAAACGCTACGCGTACTAGTGGCTCTACAAGAATGTAACAACTTATAACAACTTATGTTATAACAAGTTATAACAACAACTTATCGTTGTTATAACCAAGTACACATTTTACTGTTGCATTAAACAGAGGCTACAGTTAAGGATTTGCGCCCAGTAAATCCTCCCCGGCCAGGATACAAACCCATGACAAAGCACTCGCGGAACGCCAGGCGAGTGTTTTACCACTACACCACGGAGGCTAATGACTTCCTGACTCCGAATAAACATTCACCAACAATTTAGCTGAAGGTTTTGCATTTAAATAATAACTTGCATTATACTTTAAAGATTATCTTGCAGTGAACAGTTATGATCTGGAGGTTATCAGTCATTCATTTATATATAATTAGCTGGTCATTAATACTCTTACATTTCTATATATAATTAGCTGGTAAAGATGAAACCGTATTCATTGTTAGGAGCATCAGTTCATTCTTGTCACACCACAAGAGAATCAAATCCTGATGAACTCAGGTCTAGCATTATACAACATTGTACCCTAATGGGCTGAGGTCTAGCATTATACAACATTGTACCCTAATGGGCTGAGGTCTAGCATTATACAACATTGTACCCTAATGGGCTGAGGTGTAGCATTATACAACATTGTACCTTAATGGGCTGAGGTGTAGCATTATACAACATTGTACCCTAATGGGCTGAGGTCTAGCATTATACAACATTGTACCCTAAAGGGCTGAGGTCTAGCATTATACAACATTGTACCCTAATGGGCTGAGGTCTAAGATTATACAACATTGTACCTTAATGGGCTGAGGTGTAGCATTATACAACATTGTACCTTAATGGGCTGAGGTGTAGCATTATACAACATTGTACCCTAATGGGCTGAGGTCTAAGATTATACAACATTGTACCCTAATGGGCTGAGGTGTAGCATTATACAACATTGAACCCTAATGGGCTGAGGTCTAAGATTATACAACATTGTACCCTAATGGGCTGAGGTCTAGGATTATACAACATTGGACCCTAATGGGCTGAGGTCTAGCATTATACAACATTGGACCCTGATGAGTTGAGGTCTAAGATTATACAACATTGTACCCTAATGGGCTGAGGTGTAGCATTATACAACATTGAACCCTAATGGGCTGAGGTCTAAGATTATACAACATTGGACCCTAATGGGCTGAGGTCTAGCATTATACAACATTGGACCCTAATGGGCTGAGGTCTAGCATTATACAACATTGGACCCTGATGAGTTGAGGTCTAGGATTATATAGATAAGCTAGCTAGTATCTGGTTCAGATAAGGTCTCTGAAGTTGGATAATCATGGTAACATGTACAAATAGTGGTCAGATAACCCAGGAATACACTTGAAAATAACAAGATGAACTGGTAGCGCCTGTCCAATTTAGTTTGGCGTATCAGAAAATCACTGAACTGTACTTCAAATTTTAGTACAGTATAAATTTACCTCAGCCAGATGAATAGGTTGCAAAAATTTAGCCAACTTATCATAGTGCAAGCTAACAGGTTCTACAGACACTTATATTTTGCCATTGTGTGTGTATCTTAAGGGTGAAGTGAACCCCTCAACTCTTATAGGGAGCCGGTCGGCCGAGCGGACAGCACGCTGGACTTGTGATCCTGTGGTCCCGGGTTCGATCCCGGGCGCCGGCGAGAAACAATGAGCAGAGTTTCTTTCACCCTATGCCCCTGTTACCTAGCAGTAAAATAGGTACCTGGGTGTTAGTCAGCTGTCACAGGCTGCTTCCTGGGGGTGGAGGCCTGGTCGAGGACTTGGCCTCGGGGACACTAAAGCCCCAAAATCATCTCAAGATAACCTCAAGATGTAGTCGAGAGTTGAGGGCCATTTTGGTGAGGTGGAGGTACAGAGGAGAAGACTTATGTCGCTGTCATGTTGGACTCGGGACAATTCCTACCGGTGAGGTTCTGAGTGGCATCGTTGGTGTCACTGTTGTTTGGCTGCATAAACTGCATCATGACGATGAAGTAGGTGATGACGGCACTCATCACCTGCAGATAAAACGGGTGATTCTCATAGAAGTTTACCTTGGATTGGAAAAGTGAACTACAACAGTGCATAATAATTCTGACTGTATCCCTTTGCCTTATCACAAACTATATCATTCCACCCACTCCAATCACTCAACACATCCTAAATAACACACTCCAGTACCACAGCATATCTTAAACAACACACTCGAGATGCTGAGCACATCCTAAACAACACACTGCGGCCACTGAGCACATCCTAAACAACACACTGCGGCCACTGAGCACATCCTAAACAACACACTTAAGCCACTGAGTACATTCTAAACAAGACACTCGGGCCACTCACAGTAATGATGAAGGGACGATTGATGATGAAAAACTTGCTACCGGTGATGTAAACAGGCGACCCTGTCAGTGCCATCCACAGTTCCTCCTTCTGTGGAACACCATATACACTGGTCATAACTTATACTCATTATCTATAACAAACTATTTTTGTTTCACTTAATTAGTATCCATTCAATTTAAGGACCTTTGAATTAATGTTCCCATTATTCGATGCTTGAATTTGAGATCAATAACTGGAGCCTTATTTATAGAGTCATTGACCAGTTGCCTTCATAAGTATAAGTGATAATGCATTGTGTTAGGGGGGACAGGTAGCCACTGTATATATACATGTTAAGCTTATATAGAGGTCCCCCCAGGTCAAATTACTGACCCTTCCCAGGATGCGACTGAGCAACAAGCCTGGGTACCTACTACTGCTAGGTGAACATGGGCATTAGGTGGTAGGAAATGTGCCCAACCATTTCTGTCCCACCCAGGATTTGAAACTGGAATTCTCGACTGTGAGTCAAGAGCAAATCCAACCGTACTACCAGGACTATGATTTAATAAGTTACAGACACTAACACCTTTGGGTTTTAGCGCAGCTCCGGATTTAGTGAGTACAGTATAGTCCCATTAAATCGTTAATGGTCGTTAAATTAAGTGGATACTAAGAGTAATTTTTTTGGATTGGCAGAGAAATAAGTGAACTGACTTACATTAAACTTGTCTCTGTCAGGAGCATCAAAGGGAATTCCCCGACGTAGAATGTCAACACTCTCGTCTGCCTGATATGGAAGGCAGAATCAGGATACAAAATTTCTTTAAAACAATTATACATTTCTAATTATTTTCCACCAGTTTAATAATTAGGCAAGTTTGAAATAATATCAGTACTATACATTATAAATCACGTTATCAAAGAAATTATACCAAGATTGTTGTTCATGAAAGGTGTTTTATATAATAACAAATTTACTTAATTTCTTAGCAATTCTCTTTTGGCTGTCCCATGAGGCAAGATTGTATAGACGTATGAAGAAGGGAAATATGAAGTTAGATAGGGCAACATTTTATGTACCAGTATGGCAGGAGTCCGTGCAAAGCTTCCTGCCAAATCATGACAGCTTGGGAGCTAAAGGTAAAAGCTGTCAAATCATACTCAAAGCATTTACAAGCCCTTTTTGTCAACACTGAGATCACCTTTGATCACAGATCAAAGGTGATCAATTACTACAGTGCTTGTTGAGCAGGTTACTCTTTCTGAGTAAACTGACTTGTTCAGTAATTTCTGAAGTAATTTCCGAGTAATTTCTGACTTGTGATCTTGTGGTCCTGGGTTCGATCCCAGGCGCCGGCAAGAAACAATGGGCAGAGTTTCTTTCACCCTATGCCCCTGTTACCTAGCAGTAAAATAGGTACCTGGGTGTTAGTCAGCTGTCACAGGCTGCTTCTTGGGGGTGGAGTCCTGGTTGAGGACCGGGCTGCGGGGACACTAAAAAGCCCCGAAATCATCTCAAGATAACCTTCTGTCCCCAGATAGCAGCATCTAAGGCAACAGTACGCTCCATCTCACTCGCTCTTATGACATTCATCCTGTCATTCTTGTGAAAAGAGCAAGTACAGTAGTGAAGCATGAAAGTTAAATGGCTTGTTCATCAATTTAAACTCTGTTTCTTCATACTATAAGTTCACACTTATATGTGACACTTGACATGTGTGTAGTTACAAACCTTGTGTTCCGTGGTATCTCGTGTTTGTAGTCAGTATTGCTCAGCTGTGGATTGGCTAGCGTGCATGTGCCATTTTCTCATTGTCCTCTGCAAGCTTCTCCTAGGCTGAGATCATCGGCACTGAGCATCAATTACCATTTTACCAAATTGTAATTTACCGGAATGCCACCATCCATCCAGTAGCCTCGACAGGGACAGGAAGCCGGCAGCTTGTTGAAGATCTCCCCCTCCCAATTCTTCCTGATGTCTTTTTCCAACTGGATTTTGAACCACAATAATGTCTTGACATTTACAACTTTGGTGAGTACAGTTCCCATTTTTTTTCATACACAGTTGAATACAGAATCAGATGACTTCTCGCTCCTCATTTCTGCTAGCATACTAAGAACTTTTCCCTTCCCATAGCTCAAGGTAAGTAAGCCTTACCCACTAGTTTTTCCTGGAATCCGACCCACCAATCTGTTAACAATAAGGTACCTAATTACTTCTGGGTGAACAGCGGCTAATAGTTAAGGATTGGCATTTAGTCAATCCAACCTGGCCAGGACTGGAACCTAGAGACATCTCTCACGAATGTCTCTGCATCGCCAAGGTTTATAACCCTGTGGGTGAAAAAGCATCTCCCGTTTTCTGTCCTACATTGTGTTTACTAGTTGTGTTTTTTGCGGGGGTTGAGCTTTGCTCTTTCGGCCCGCCTCTCAACTGTCAATCAACTGTTTACTAACTACTTTTTTTTTTTTTTTTTTTTTTTCCCACACCACACACACACACACCCCAGGAAGCAGCCCGTGACAGCTGACTAACTCCCAGGTACCTCTTTACTGCTAGGTAACAGGGGCACTTAGGGTGAAAGAAACTTTGCCCATTTGTTTCTGCCTCGTGCGGGAATTGAACCCGCGCCACAGAATTACGAGTCCTGCGCGCTATCCACCAGGCTACGAGGCCCCTGTGGCTTGCTGAGCTTGAAGCTGTTACCCCCTTAATTGCATTTCATTTGACCTTTTGAAGAAGTGGTCTGGATTAATATCCTCAAACGTGTTCAGTATTTTATAGGTCTGGATGAGATCCACCGAGTCATGTCTGGCTTTCAGCATTGTTAGTCCTGTAGCCCTCAACAATTCCTGGTATGAGAGTTGACTTAGTCCCGAGATTATGTTTGTTATTCTGAGTTATATTTTCTCCAGAACAGCTATTATGTTTTGAAGGTGAGGTCCCCATGCTTGAATACAACACTCCTAATGGGGATGCACCAGACTTGTACACTTGAAGAACCACTTTCTTTTTCTTGAAGTCAAAGGTTCGTTTAATTATTCCAATATTTTTTTTTTCTGAATTTCATACTTGTGCAACTGTCAATGACTGGTGAATCAAAATTCCTAGGTATTGATATGATGTTGATATGACAGCTGTATGGTAATGTTGGTATGACTGCTGTATGGTAGTGTTGATATGACTGCTGTACGGTAATGTTGATATAACTGCTGTATGGTAGTGTTGATATGACTGCTGTATGGTACAGTTGGTGATATGACTGTAATTTCCTGTACTTTAGCGATCTTTGCTATACACTTTACCCACTACACTCGGTAAACTATTCTGTTGCGGTCTTATACTCGCTGTGTTCACTATATGTATACAGTGGTATGATCATTGCTCTTTTTCAGTCCTCTTCAACAGTATAGAATAAGCCAACATAATACTACACCTGGACCATATTAGGATCACACCCAGACCAAACTAAGACCACTAACATCACACTTACCACCTCCTGAACACCAGCAGCTGAGAGTGAAACCTGGATGAAGACAGCTGTTGTCTGCAGTGTGATGAGAGCCGTGGTCACTACTCCGTCGGGGGTGTAGCTCTGAGACCCCAGGCGGTACGCTAGCAGGTACAGCTCCGTACACATGATGATAACCTGTGATACACACACCGAGCTCAGGTACAGATATAAGTATGTATAGTACAATTTGATCTCCTACATGTTAAGGTGTTCTTATTTATAATTCATAAAAATGAATAGAACATCTGCTCAATTAAAGGGCTTTTGGTCAGTGTTTCCAGAATAAGTTGAAGCTTAAGTGCTGTACTTAATTTTTTTCATGAATGGATTTATTCACACTAATATTACATGAATCCTGTTTTTGTGTTGCGTTTAAGACAATTAAATCTTTCCTTTCACGTGGGATATTTAAATGGCTAAATTATCAAAATGAAGCTTATATTTCTCTTAATCATAATATAATAATTAATTGGTTTTATTGGGGGCCAGGCAGCCTTAGTATATGCTTGAAGTTATCTTGAGATGATTTCGGGGCTCAGCGTCCCCGTGGCCTGGTCCTCGACCAGGCCTCCTTTTTGTTACACATCCCCATTAAGCAACCTGTAGCAGCTGTCTAACTCCTAGGTACCTATTTACTGCTGGGTGCACAGGGGCATCAGGGTGAAAGAAACTGCCCATTTGTTTCCTCCTCCACCGGGGATTGAACTCGGAACCTCGGGACTACGAATTCCGAGCGCTGTCCACTCAGCTGTCAGGCCCCTACATACCGTATGTACAATACTTTAGGCTTATATTAAAGTCTGAATTACTGACCCCCTTCCCAGGAGCAACTCCACAACATTTGCCTAACTCCCGGACACCTATTTACTGTTAGGTGAACAGCTGCATTAGTTGAAAGGAAATATGCTCAACCTGGGTACGTTTCCTTTCAACGAATTTTCCCAGTTGGTTTCCTGTCCTGCCTGAGAATCGAATCTGGGATCCATAATTGTGACTCAAGAATGAAATGAACTATATAACATGATAAGGTTTCATGAAGTGGAACAATGCACATACGTGCACAGTGAGTTCGTGTGAGGAAGTTAATGTTATGCGTACTAGTCACTTCACCGGTCAAGTCATGGGAGCCGGTCGGCTGAGTGGCGCCGGCAAGAAACAGTAGGCAGAGTTTCTTTCACCCTATGCCCCTGTTACCTAGCAGTAAAATAGGTACCTGGGTGTTAGTCAGCTGTCACGGGCTGCTTCCTGGGGGTGGAGGCCTGGTCGAGGACCGGGCCGCGGGGACACTAAAGCCCCGAAATCAATCATCTCAAGATCTCAACATAACCACCGTGGTCTCTCATATGCTTCGTAGGTTAAATAATGGAGGTGATGAACATGGGAGAAGCTTAAGGCACTTATCCTGGGCGGGAAGAGTGTTGCCCCCAACACCCAGAGGATGGTACTGACCGTGGAGCCGTAGTAGCACTGTAGCATAGGACCAAAGATGCGTTCAGTCTCTCGGATGAGACAGACCAGTTGATAGTGGCTCTGAACCAGCAGACCAAGTCGGCCTTGAGGGTAGTCGTGACAATGCCATATGTCTGTAGAATAGATTGTGCTCACATTAAACACCCGCTGCTGACCCAGACTCAACGTCTCTCTCTCTCTTACAAAAATGAAACACAACACATAATTCTGTGCTTTATGTTACACGTACACGTAGACTCTCACAAGTCGAGCCTGGCCTCGGGCCGGGCTTGGGGAGTAGAAGAACTCCCAGAACCCCATCAACCAGGTATCAACCAACCAGGTACACGTACCGGTACTATTATTTCACAAGTAAACCAATATACTGTGGGGTTCACATCAACAACAATTACAAATGTAATAGCAAGAACACATTGATGAATAAATATATTCATTTAATGTAAATTTTGTACTGTAAAGTGAGATGTTAAAGAAATTTCAGAGAAAAAAATGTATTAAATTGGTCAAGTTTACCTTCTAGAGCACTGGAGAGCTGATGGTTCCAGGAGATGAGAGCATTCTTGAGCATGTTGCAGTTGGTGGTGAAGTAGAAGAGTGATCCCTTGAAGATAGAGAAGAGGTGGAGGCAGACCACACATGTCACCACCCTCAGGAGCTGTGAAAAGTACAATAAAAGACAAAAGAGGTGGAGATAACCTACATAATTCACCACCTGCAGGAACTGGAGAAGATACAGTTCAGTGATATTGAAGTCTTACAAAGAGATCTACATGAACTCCTCAAATGGTCGGAAGACTGGCAAATGTTTTATAATATTGACAAATGCAAAAGCTTGCATGTGGGAGCATAGCAACCCACACCACAACTACCAAATTAATAACATTCCATTACAGCGGATTGATGAAAAGGAGCTTGGAGTCACCATCCACCACTCACTGAAAGTTGCACAGCAGGTAGGGGGCAGCAGTCAAAAAAGCTAACCAAACCCTTTGGATAATCAAGCATAGCTTTGACTACTGTATAAGAAAAAGAAGGTAGTGATTCAGTTGTATAAGTCTCTAGTGCATCCTCATCTGGATTACTGTACCCAAGCATGGAGACTTCATCTTCAGGAGGATATAGCTGCTCAGAAGAAAGTGCAACACTGGGCAACAAAAATCATTACAGAGCCAAGTCATCTCTCGTATCAGGGAACAGTTGAGGGCCACAAGACTAACAACACTACAAACCAGGCATGACAGGGCAGATCTTATTGAAACATAAAACACTGTACTGAACAATTTGGAGAATGTAGATCTGGACAATTTCTTCAAAAGATCAGATGTAACAATTTGGAGAATGTAGATCTGGACAATTTCTTCAAAAGATCAGATGTAACACAAACAAGGAACAACGGTTTCAAGCTCAATAAGCCACAATGTTGGACTGTAAACAGGAGATGCTTTTTCACCCATAGGGTCCCGGTAGTATAGTTAGGGGTCCCAGAAGCACAGTCGGGTTTGTTCTCGACTTACAATTGAGAATTCCGGGTTCGAATCCCAGGCGGGACAGAAGTGGCTGGGCGCATTTCCTATCACCTCATGTGCCTGTTCACCTAGCAGTAATTAAGTAGGTACTGAGGAGTTAGTCAGCTTGTTGTGGGGCTGCATCCTGGGCGGGGTCAGTAACTCGACCTGGGGGGGGGGCTTCGATATGTATTAGTAATACTGTACAGCCTAACGTGTATTAATACACTCTGGCTGCCTGTCCCCCCAACACAATGAATTATTATTATTATTATAAACCCATGGAACCACCTGTCTGGAGTGTTGCCACCTAGTCTCATTACCTTAGACTTCTGTGCAGGTATTTTTAGCCCTAAAATGCTGCATTCAGCTGTTACTTTATCTAATGCCCCTTGTACTTTATGTAAAAGTGAAGGACCTGTGACTACTAATGCTATATCATCAGCATAGCTTAGCAATGTAGCCCCTTCTGCAAATGTCATGGTAACGAGGTTTTCCATGAAGACTAGGACTGAGGACTCCTCCTTGTGGAGTCCCATTCTCATGCAAGTGGTAGTCCAACACTTGTCCTTGCAACTTTACTCTGGCATACCTGTGACTTAAGTAATCTTAAAGCCATGCTAGCATATTTCCTTTTATACCTTTTTACTAAGGTGTGTAAAATTGCTTGCGGGCTTGTAAGTTCGAATGCTTTTTCTAGATCAAGGAAGATCACTTAAAGGTATTCCTTATTCCGACTTTTACCCAGTTATTCATTCCTCCATCATTGCCCATTGGCAGGGTTGTTGGTCTTCTGTTACTGGTAACAAACTGCGTACTCTTAACAATAGTGTGCCCCTGTGGCCTTCCTCCTACCTCCGTAACTGGCGGTGGGAAACGGCTCTAGCAAGGGTGCATATTGGCTATACGCGCTTAACTCATGGACACATAATGGAACGCCGCTCTGCTCCTTATTGTCCTAACTGCATTGTCTTCTTATAGTTGTGCATATCCTTGTTGAATGTCCTGACTTCCTAGACGAGCGTGTGTCTTGCTTTCCGACCGTCCCCCGCTGTCACTTGTCCCTCGATCAAATTCTTGGTGAATCGGATACTTTTAATATTGTTCACCTTATGCGTTTCTGTTCTCGTACTGGCATCCTTGGTGATATTTAGTGCCCTCTGATTATTCAGCACATTTGATGGTGCTACATAGCCTTCCTGGCTTGATGCCTTCTTTGATAATTACTTACACGTACTTACTTTGTCAAATAATGCTTTGAAACTACTGACGGTTTTTGCCTCCACCACCTTCTCACTTGACTTGTTCCAACCATCTTCCACTCTATTTGCAAAAGTGAACTTTCTAATATGTTTTTCGGCAGCTTTGTTTCCTATTTGAATCTATGACCTTTTCGGTCTTGAAGTTTGAACAGTTCTTTGTGTGTGTGTGTGTGTGTGTGTGTGTGTGTGTGTGTGTGTGTGTGTGCGTGTGTGCGTGTGCGTGTGTGTGTGTGTGTGCGTGTGTGTGTGTGTGTGTGTGTGTGTGTGTGTGTGTGTGTTGGTATCTCCTGGAATTACCTTGGTGATGGCAGGAGAATGGTTGAACCAATGTTTGGGTATCAGGAGAATGATGTGGGCCACTCCGTCGAGGCCGTAATTGACAACGTCTGTGGCTTCCATTATGACGATTATCAAAATGACGATGCAAAACAGGCACAGAAATCCCACTTGTACCCGAATTACTAGGTACACCCGCTTGATTGGGTCCAGGTCAGCGGCGGCCACCAGGTTGTTCCACCTGTTGAGGACTCTACACACTCGCCAGCCAGAGTACAAGCCATTGAGCACCTGAGTCCACGCGTTCACCAGATTTCCTGCAATGATGACGGATATTATCACCTGCACGTCGAGGATGTTGGTCTCCTGCGGCAAGTTGCGAGTGTCTTGGTGGGTGAACATAGTCACTATGCCCGCCACGGCTGTCATCATCAGAGCTGTGAGGTACACGGCTGTCGCCACAACCTGTGTCACCATCACGCTTGTCCACTTCATCAAGTACTGCCCTTTACTGACGTCGTATGTGTATGGTATGGTACCCAGTACCCACAGGAAAGTCCTAAGGGGCATGAGGGGCAGATGAACCGTGTTGGGGATGACTGGGGCAACTGGGGTGTGTGGACTTTCCGGGGCTGCCAATACACTCATGGTCTCCAGTTCCTGCCTCATGGACTGCATACATCCATTATCTGCTTCACACAACCCAAACGTCTTGTCTCTTCTCTTCTCTCTCATCTTTCTCCTCAAACTTGACGGACTGACGATTGTTGCTGCCCACTTTTCTTCTGTCCGCCCGTGTCCTGCCGGACCAGACACCCAGCCCCCATCACCGCAGAGCCTGAGATCATGCATAAGGAATCAATCGACCTGCATCAATTTCCGTCCTAGATGAGCTACACCTCTACAGTGGCGGCCAACACGTGGCACACGGGCAGGTTCTGACACGCAGCAGCGTCTATAGTGACACCCAAGACACCTCTGAAAGGCTGAGGCTCATCCATCCACGGCTTGAGCTCTCCCGCTACTGGGGCTCTTCATCCATCCACTATAGGGCCGGTTGTCTCCCCATAACCTCCCTGGTTCCCTCTCCCCCCAAGTTAGCCCATCACACCCATTCCTCCCCATAAAAGCAGGCTGGTAATGGTCAAGTTGCGGTAGTTAATCATACCATTGTCCAGACTCTCGCTAACTCCCATGATATCAATCACTAGTACGCACTAACACCTTGGTCCTCGTTGCATGATGGTTATTGCACATGCAAACTGCACCATTAGTCAGGCAGTCATGCAGCACAATGGCCAGATGTCTCCCGACTTCCCCCTCCCCCTCTCAGGGTCACGTTCAACAGGGGTCCCTGGTGTCTCTTCTTCCCCCCCTCTTCTCAAGTATGTACGTTGAAGAGCAACGTACGTATAATACATATGTACATATAATGTACATATATGTATAAACATTAAAATAAGCACGCATGAATGTTCTAAGCTTAATCTAAGCACATAAACGTATAATACTTTTTGTCTGGAGTAGGAAGCCGGTGTTCAGACCGTCCTCATAAACTAAGGCCAACGTCCATTCCATGCACCCGCCAAACCCGCTATTTATGAAAACAGTTTACACACGACTCTCAACTGATTTCGTTCGAACACTTCCGGAACAAGTGCTTCACTGATGAATTTTGTTCGAACCACAACGCTATAAATGCTTCACCCACGTACAACGAATACAAATAATCGCCAACAGAACCTAAACACTTAGCCTAACCTAACCAATGCCTAAATATGCACAATATGCTAATATGTAATAATATATTAATTATTTATATTATTATTATAATAATAATTGTTGTATTTAATAATTATCACTTCTACTTGGTCTTGAAGGAGGCCGGCCTCGGGTGAAAGAGGGCTCTGACGATTTCTGTCAGGAACCCGTAGGTGTGGGACCGGGACGTCCACCTCCTGGGGCTCGTGCAGCCCCCCAGGCTCTGCTTCAGGAGGCTGGGGTCGTTCATGCCCTTGCTGTGGTGGTTCTTCTCCGGCCCCGACCACGGCGGTCTCCAGGTTTGGAGTCCCAGCGCCTTCTTTCACCAACTTCGAGGTCATCCCCGGAGTTTACAGTTCCTGCGACGGCACTGGAACCAATCGTATCAGCGTTTGCCTTTTCATTTGAGACTTTCGGCGCCGTGGAGAGGGGTGACCTGCTGCATGGGTAACAGCTTCTCCTCCATATCAACCTACCCTGGCTTTACGCCCTGGAGAGGCCACTCCAGACCAACAACCAGAGCGCAACACCATTGTCTCCTGAGACTGACGGACGCCTAATACTATAATAATATTAATTTATATTTGAGAACATTTCTATTTTGAATTAACAGCATGTTAAAATGCTATATCAACATGCTGTTAACTCAAAATAATTCATGTTGTTGGGGTCGACCGTTGGATGGAATGAACATGGACTGAGAACGAGTTGCTGTGTTTATATGAACTTTAGGCTTGTAGTGAAGTCCCCGCCCCCCCCCAGGGTTGAACTGCTGACCTCCCCAAGATGCAACCCAAGAATATTGCCTAACTCCTGGTGGTACCCACCTTAGCCACCAGTACCCACCAGTACCCACCAGTACCCACCTTGGCGAGGGCAGGGGAGTGGGTGGTCCAGTGTGGCGGGAACAAGAGCATGCCCTCGGCCACACCGTCAAGAACATGGCCGACGATGGCGGGGTATTCTACCAGCGTCATGATGAGGGCGGCCGCCCAGAAGGAGGCGAGGAAGGTGATCTGTAGCAGCACGGAGGCGCGCACGCCCCTACTGGGGGCTAGGTGGGCACTAGCCATCAGGCTGCCCCACCTGTTTAGCAGCCCACACATGCCTCTTCCTGCCCACACTATGTTCAACAACTGTGCCCAAGCGTTCACCAGACACTCCGACAAGAGGATGACACCAGTAAGCCTGACGGCGTGGATATTGGCGTCATGGCTGGGCTTAGTGTCGCAGGTGAACAATGAGACGAGCCCCAGCACTGTACTCACCAGCAGCAGGCTGGTGTACACAGCTGTCAGGAGCGTCTTGACCGCCGGCCAGCTGCACCACAACAGCTGGTAGTGACACCTGGAGGCGTCATAAGTGTAGGGCATGGCGCCGAGCGCCCGCATGGCGGCACGCAGGGGCCGCAGACCCGGCTGTAAGGTGTTATTCACCCACTCTGCGTCTGCCTCCGTCAGGGGCACCAACACCCCCAGAGTCTCCAGCACCTCTTCTGGGGTTCTCCCAGAGTGGTGGAGAGTGAGCGTGCAGGTGTGTGGCGTGGTGCTGGCGTGTGCCCCGGGGGCAGGAGGCAGTAGTCGGCGTGCTGCCCACTTGACCCCACCGGAGGAGTGCTTGTGAGGGGCAGACACAGCTGCCCTCGTCATGGTCGCTGGCACAACACTGCCCTCTCTCCTCCTCCTCCTCGCAACATCCAGAGTAACACCTCGCTGTTTACCTCTGATGCTATACACACACTCCACACTGTTTACCACCACAACTACACAATAACAGCATCAACACAGCAGCGAGGGGAGGATGCGAGCCCCCACCAGCCCAGCAACAGTGATGGTGAGCCCCCACCAGCCCAGCAACAGTGATGGTGAGCTCACAGCCCCCAGCAGCAGGTCAGGGGGAGCCATAGACCCCAGCAGCAGGTCAGGGGAGGCCATAGACCCCAGCAGCAGGTCAGGGGGAGCCATAGACCCCAGCAGCAGGTCAGGGGGAACCATAGATCCCAGCAGCAGGTCAGGGGGAACCATAGATCCCAGCAGCAGGTCAGGGGGAGGCCATAGACCCCAGCAGCAGGTCAGGGGGAACCATAGATCCCAGCAGCAGGTCAAGGGAAACCATAGACCCCAGCAGCAGGTAAGAGGGAACCATAGACCCCCAGCAGCAGGTCAGGGGGAGCCGGGAGACCTCCCCAGCTCCTCTCACCTTTCTCTTCGTGGGTTCATGTGAAGTGTTTATGGAGGTTCTTTCTTTACCGCCCAATATTGTCTTGTTATCAGTATATTCCCCTCCCCCTGTCCGTGGTCGCTCTCTTTGTCCGGCCATACTCAGGTACTCAGGGCGTGGGGGGCGCCATTGGGGGGGGCGTGGGGGGCGCCTGTGGGGGTGTAGGAGAGTCATGTGTATAGAGGGGTATGAGGGGGTGGCGAGCGGGACACTGGTGGGTGGAGCCATGCATGACCCTTGACCTATTACTATCATGAGATGCTTCACGGTGGACTTACCTGTGAGGGGTCATGAAGCACGCGTTGGTCCGGCTCAGGCAGCCCTCGTGCACGACACTAACAGTTGAGAGGATCAACAACAAACACAGTCTCTTATAAGGCATTCTTTAATATTATGAGAGGCGGAAGGTAAGTTCAGGCCAGACAGGCAGGAGTTAGGAAGAGTTCCCAGAGTGTGTGTGACGGGTGCACGGTGACAGATAACACAGACTGGTTCCTGTCACCCTGATACTCCCTGTCACCTGGCTCCTGTCACCCTGATACACCTTGGCACACTCGCCTCACAAACATAACTCTCCGAAACATTCACCAAATATGTAGCATTACAAGATATGTGTTAAAACATACATATATCAGTGCGAGCACTTATTTTATCCCACTATATTATACATCTTCCCAGCTTTCACATATGGGTTCAGATACATATAATTGTTTTGACTAATCAACAGTCGAAGCAGCAACAGTATGAAGTCATGAGGTTCACAGGCACCCAATTGGGAGGATGTTGATCCGGATATTTTCTTCAGTAGATTAGATGTAACACGAACAAGGAGCACCCGGGCGGTGAGGGCTGGTAGTGTACCACTACGAACCGTCTCATCTGCCACCTCAAGTTGGTGGCTGTGATTGTTAGACGGAGTGGTTGAGGGTGGTGGTGGTGGCTCCTAGACGGGGTGCTTCAGGGTGGTGGTGGCTCCTAGACGGGGTGCTTCAGGGTGGTGGTGGCTCTTAGACGGAGTGGTTGAGGGTGGTGGTGGCTCTTAGACGGAGTGGTTGAGGGTGGTGGTGGCTCTTAGACGGAGTGGTTCAAGGTGGTGGTGGCTCTTAGACGGAGTGGTTGAGGGTGGTGGTGGTGTCTCTTAGACGGAGTGGTTCAAGGTGATGGTGGCTCTTAGACGGAGTAGTTGAGGGTGGTTGTGGCTCTTAGACGGAGTGGTTCAGGGCGGTGGTGGCCAAGACATCTTGCCCTGACACCGATGGATGTTTGAGCTGCAGAACAATGATGAAGTATGACACCACTGCTCCCACGACCTGTAATACACCACAACCTGTTATACACCTCCGGTCCTAACAAGGAACACTCTACTACAAACAAAGATTTGACGAGATCACCTCAACAACATTGACAAACCAGAGGGGTCATGATCACAACGTATAAGATACTGAAGGGACTGAAAATGTGGACTGAGAGGAAGCAGGAGAGGTGTGAGGTAGAGTGAGCACAGCTTCCAGAGTACATGCCATGAGTGCTCCTCTAGGGCCCGGAGTGAGCACAGCTTCCAGAGTACATGCCATGAGTGCTCCTCTAGGGCCCGGAGTGAGCACAGCTTCCAGAGTACATGCCATGAGTGCTCCTCTAGGGCCCCGGAGTGAGCACAGCTTCCAGAGTACATGCCATGAGTGCTCCTCTAGGGCCCGGAGTGAGCACAGCTTCCAGAGTACATGCCATGAGTGCTCCTCTAGGGCCCGGAGTGAGCACAGCTTCCAGAGTACATGCCATGAGTGCTCCTCTAGGGCCCCGGAGGTGCCACATACTCAAGAGGCAGAGTCCAAGAACTGCACCTGACTTCCTGCAAGCACAGATAAGTAAGAATATGTGCGACGGTCTTAAATATCACCTTTACTGAGCACTGTGTAGCTTTACTGTGACCAGACTTAGTGATGATAAAGTGACGGTTGACATACTCACAGTGATGATAAAGTGACGGTTGACATACTCACAGTGATGATAAAGGGACAGTTAACATACAGTAATGATAAAGGGACAGTTAACATACTCACAGTGATGATAAAGGAACAGTTAACATACTCACAGTGATGATAAAGGGACAGTTAACATACTCACAGTGATGATAAAGGGACGGTTGAAATACAGTGATGATAAAGGAACAGTTAACATACTCACAGTAATGATAAAGGGACAGTTAACATACTCACAGTAATGATAAAGGGACAGTTAACATACTCACAGTAATGATAAAGGGACAGTTAACATACTCACAGTAATGATAAAGGGACAGTTAACATACTCACAGTGATGATAAAGGGACGGTTAACATACTCACAGTGATGATAAAGGGACAGTTAACATACTCACAGTGATGATAAAGGGACAGTTAACATACTCACAGTGATGATAAAGGGACGGTTGATATAGAAGAAGCGACCACCGCTGATGCAGATGGGGGAGGCGGTGAGCGCCAGGGTCAACTCGCCGTACTGAAGAATACACAACAGTTGTACTTGGCTCCACCACCACCCACTGACTACAGTATAAAGTATGGTTATAAAGCAGTATACACAAGACAACAGTGTACCCTCCACCACCCACTGACTACAGTATAAAGTATGGTCATAAAGCAGTATACACAAGACAACAGTATACCCACCACCACCCACTGACTACAGTATAAAGTATGGTTATAAAGCAGTATACACAAGACAACAGTATACCCTCCACCACCCACTGACTACAGTATAAAGTATGGTCATAAAGCAGTATACACAAGACAACAGTGTACCCACCACCACCCACTGACTACAGTATAAAGTATGGTTATAAAGCAGTATACACAAGACAACAGTATACCCTCCACCACCCACTGACTACAGTATAAAGTATGGTTATAAAGCAGTATACACAAGACAACAGTATACCCTCCACCACCCACTGACTACAGTATAAAGTATGGTCATAAAGCAGTATACACAAGACAACAGTATACCCTCCACCACCCACTGACTACAGTATAAAGTATGGTTATAAAGCAGTATACACAAGACAACAGTATACCCACCACCACCCACTGACTACAGTATAAAGTATGGTCATAAAGCAGTATACACAAGACAACAGTATACCCACCACCACCCACTGACTACAGTATAAAGTATGGTCATAAAGCAGTATACACAAGACAACAGTATACCCTCCACCACCCACTGACTACAGTATAAAGTATGGTTATAAAGCAGTATACACAAGACAACAATGTACCCTCCACCACCCACTGACTACAGTATAAAGTATGGTCATAAAGCAGTATACACAAGACAACAGTATACCCTCCACCACCCACTGACTACAGTATAAAGTATGGTTATAAAGCAGTATACACAAGACAACAGTGTACCCTCCACCACCCACTGACTACAGTATAAAGTATGGTCATAAAGCAGTATACACAAGACAACAGTGTACCCACCACCACCCACTGACTACAGTATAAAGTATGGTTATAAAGCAGTATACACAAGACAACAGTGTACCCACCACCACCCACTGACTACAGTATAAAGTATGGTCATAAAGCAGTATACACAAGACAACAGTGTACCCACCACCACCCACTGACTACAGTATAAAGTATGGTTATAAAGCAGTATACACAAGACAACAGTATACCCTCCACCACCCACTGACTACAGTATAAAGTATGGTCATAAAGCAGTATACACAAGACAACAGTGTACCCACCACCACCCACTGACTACAGTATAAAGTATGGTTATAAAGCAGTATACACAAGACAACAGTATACCCTCCACCACCCACTGACTACAGTATAAAGTATGGTCATAAAGCAGTATACACAAGACAACAGTGTACCCTCCACCACCCACTGACTACAGTATAAAGTATGGTTATAAAGCAGTATACACAAGACAACAGTATACCCTCCACCACCCACTGACTACAGTATAAAGTATGGTCATAAAGCAGTATACACAAGACAACAGTGTACCCACCACCACCCACTGACTACAGTATAAAGTATGGTCATAAAGCAGTATACACAAGACAACAGTGTACCCACCACCACCCACTGACTACAGTATAAAGTATGGTTATAAAGCAGTATACACAAGACAACAGTGTACCCTCCACCACCCACTGACTACAGTATAAAGTATGGTCATAAAGCAGTATACACAAGACAACAGTATACCCTCCACCACCCACTGACTACAGTATAAAGTATGGTCATAAAGCAGTATACACAAGACAACAGTGTACCCACCACCACCCACTGACTACAGTATAAAGTATGGTTATAAAGCAGTATACACAAGACAACAGTATACCCTCCACCACCCACTGACTACAGTATAAAGTATGGTCATAAAGCAGTATACACAAGACAACAGTATACCCTCCACCACCCACTGACTACAGTATAAAGTATGGTTATAAAGCAGTATACACAAGACAACAGTGTACCCACCACCACCCACTGACTACAGTATAAAGTATGGTCATAAAGCAGTATACACAAGACAACAGTGTACCCACCACCACCCACTGACTACAGTATAAAGTATGGTTATAAAGCAGTATACACAAGACAACAGTATACCCTCCACCACCCACTGACTACAGTATAAAGTATGGTCATAAAGCAGTATACACAAGACAACAGTGTACCCTCCACCACCCACTGACTACAGTATAAAGTATGGTCATAAAGCAGTATACACAAGACAACAGTATACCCTCCACCACCCACTGACTACAGTATAAAGTATGGTTATAAAGCAGTATACACAAGACAACAGTATACCCTCCACCACCCACTGACTACAGTATAAAGTATGGTCATAAAGCAGTATACACAAGACAACAGTATACCCTCCACCACCCACTGACTACAGTATAAAGTATGGTTATAAAGCAGTATACACAAGACAACAGTATACCCACCACCACCCACTGACTACAGTATAAAGTATGGTTATAAAGCAGTATACACAAGACAACAGTATACCCTCCACCACCCACTGACTACAGTATAAAGTATGGTTATAAAGCAGTATACACAAGACAACAGTATACCCTCCACCACCCACTGACTACAGTATAAAGTATGGTCATAAAGCAGTATACACAAGACAACAGTATACCCTCCACCACCCACTGACTACAGTATAAAGTATGGTTATAAAGCAGTATACACAAGACAACAGTATACCCACCACCACCCACTGACTACAGTATAAAGTATGGTCATAAAGCAGTATACACAAGACAACAGTGTACCCACCACCACCCACTGACTACAGTATAAAGTATGGTTATAAAGCAGTATACACAAGACAACAGTATACCCTCCACCACCCACTGACTACAGTATAAAGTATGGTCATAAAGCAGTATACACAAGACAACAGTGTACCCTCCACCACCCACTGACTACAGTATAAAGTATGGTTATAAAGCAGTATACACAAGACAACAGTATACCCTCCACCACCCACTGACTACAGTATAAAGTATGGTTATAAAGCAGTATACACAAGACAACAGTGTACCCTCCACCACCCACTGACTACAGTATAAAGTATGGTTATAAAGCAGTATACACAAGACAACAGTATACCCTCCACCACCCACTGACTACAGTATAAAGTATGGTCATAAAGCAGTATACACAAGACAACAGTGTACCCTCCACCACCCACTGACTACAGTATAAAGTATGGTTATAAAGCAGTATACACAAGACAACAGTATACCCACCACCACCCACTGACTACAGTATAAAGTATGGTTATAAAGCAGTATACACAAGACAACAGTATACCCACCACCACCCACTGACTACAGTATAAAGTATGGTTATAAAGCAGTATACACAAGACAACAGTATACCCTCCACCACCCACTGACTACAGTATAAAGTATGGTTATAAAGCAGTATACACAAGACAACAGTATACCCTCCACCACCCACTGACTACAGTATAAAGTATGGTTATAAAGCAGTATACACAAGACAACAGTATACCCACGTGGTGCTTGTCCTTCTCAGAGGCAGTATAGGGCAGACCCCGTCGGAGGACGTCCACGCACCGCTCCGCCTGTCACAAGACAACAACACCTTACAAAGATTGTCACTCGACATCGATCCTTGAAGAATACATTGTAAGCGACACATTATTCCCTTACCTACGTATTATCATCTTGCCAGGGAGGAAATATTCTCTGCCTCACACACCTGTACTGTACAGGTGTGTGAGGAGCGCCCTGCCTCAGTTCTCGCACTTTCGTATAGTCAATATTGACTTATTAAATACGTGCATATGTGACATACTAAACATACTAGTTTACCTTGAAAAGCTTCATAGAAAACACCGACCTTACCTAACCTTCTTAGTATGTTAAGATAAGCATCTTATTGCTTCGTAATTACAATTATTACTTAACTACCTATAATAGGTTAAGTAATAATTGTAATTACGAAGCAATAAGAAGCTTATCTTAACATATTAAGAAGGTTAGGTAAGGTCGGTGTTTTCTATGAAGCTTTTCAAGGTAAACTAGTATGTTAAGTATATCACATATGCACGTATTTAATAAGTCAATATTGACTATACGAAAGTGCGAGAACGGCTTGCAATATAGTAAGTTCATTTATTATGCACCCCATACCTCAATCTGTATAAATAAGTAACAGTCACAAGCCAGGAACAGTAACAACACGAGAGAGGAGGCAAGTCACAAGCCAGGAACAGTAACAACACGAGAGAGGAGGCAAGTCACAAGCCAGGAACAGTAACAACACGAGAGAGGAGGCAAGTCACAAGCCAGGAACAGTAGCAACACGAGAGAGGAGGCAAGTCACAAGCCAGGAACAGTAGCAACACGAGAGAGGAGGCAAGTCACAAGCCAGGAACAGTAGCAACACGAGAGAGGAGGCAAGTCACAAGCCAGGAACAGTAGCAACACGAGAGAGGAGGCAAGTCACAAGCCAGGAACAGTAGCAACACGAGAGAGGAGGCAAGTCACAAGCCAGGAACAGTAGCAACACGAGAGAGGAGGCAAGTCACAGGCCAGGAACAGTAGCAACACGAGAGAGGAGGCAAGTCACAAGCCAGGAACAGTAGCAACACGAGAGAGGAGGCAAGTCACAGACAAACACCACTAACTACAGATCATAAATATATTACTACACCCACCATTAACACTAGCGGCCATATCTTATTCATAAAGCACTATGACAAACATGTTTTTACCCCAAGATAATTGCCTAAACGTTAGTAATCAATGGTTCAAAAGTAATACTTAGCAATTATCCTGACCAATAATTACCAACGGTCTCGTGGACCAATCGAAGCAATTCTCAAACCAACTCAATAACAGGTGACTGTGGCGCTCACATTAACTATTTAATTAACCTCATTCGTCCACAGCATATTGGTTAACCATCAATTAGTTCGAGGCAGCGAGCCAAGACATCAGACTGCCATTAGCAGTGTGGAGGCGCAGTGGCTCTCGCTGTAACTAAGGTCTTCTGAATGGTCACCAGCTTCGCCTGGTTACCAGAGGGACCCACGAGGTCTTCTGAATGGTCACCAGCTTCGCCTGGTCACCAGAGGGACCCACGAGGTCTTCTGAATGGGACACAATCCTGATGTCACTAGCCCTGAAGGAGAGAGCAAGGGGTCCCCTGGGACCTGGACGTCACTACCCCTGAAGGAGAGAGCAAGGGGTCCCCCCTGGGACCTGGACGTCACTACCCCTGAAGGAGAGAGCAAGGGGACCCCTGGGACCTGGACGTCACTACCCCTGAAAGAGAGAGCTGCTGGAGAGAGCAAGGGGTCCCCTGGGACCTGGACGTCACTACCCCTGAGAGAGAGAGCAAGGGGTCCCCTGGGACCTGGACGTCACTACCCCTGAAGGAGAGAGCAAGGGGTCCCCTGGGACCTGGACGTCACTACCCCTGAGAGAGAGAGCAAGGGGTCCCCTGGGACCTGGACGTCACTACCCCTGAGAGAGAGAGCAAGGGGTCCCCTGGGACCTGGACGTCACTACCCCTGAGAGAGAGCAAGGGGTCCCCTGGGACCTGGACGTCACTACCCCTGAAGGAGAGAGCAAGGGGACCCCTGGGACCTGGACGTCACTACCCCTGAGAGAGAGAGCAAGGGGTCCCCTGGGACCTGGACGTCACTACCCCTGAGAGAGAGAGCAAGGGGTCCCCTGGGACCTGGACGTCACTACCCCTGAGAGAGAGAGCAAGGGGTCCCCTGGGACCTGGACGTCACTACCCCTGAGAGAGAGAGCAAGGGGACCCCTGGGACCTGGACGTCACTACCCCTGAGAGAGAGAGCAAGGGGACCCCTGGGACCTGGACGTCACTACCCCTGAGAGAGAGAGCAAGGGGTCCCCTGGGACCTGGACGTCACTACCCCTGAGAGAGAGAGCAAGGGGTCCCCTGGGACCTGGACGTCACTACCCCTGAGAGAGAGAGCAAGGGGACCCCTGGGACCTGGACGTCACTACCCCTGAGAGAGAGAGCAAGGGGTCCCCTGGGACCTGGACGTCACTACCCCTGAGAGAGAGAGCAAGGGGTCCCTTGGGACATGGACGTCACTACCCCTGAGAGAGAGAGCAAGGGGTCCCCTGGGACCTGGACGTCACTACCCCTGAGAGAGAGAGCAAGGGGTCCGCAGCTTCAGATAAGAGCAACAATAAAGTGTTGCAGCTGTTGGCTCACTCAACACTTCTCAAGTGCCGCCATAGTGTGTTGACTCGCGTCACCCTCACACACACACACCTGACATGTATTATTATAATCAACAAGCAGTGTTAACATGTTGTTTACATTATGGGACACAAATATGGCCGACATATTGACGACTTTTCCCGCCAAAACACCGAAGACACCGTTAGTACGCCTGGTGAGATATTATAATATTATTGTAGTACACGGAGGGAACAAGTGTTTACTGTGCGTCATCAGGTTTGATGAAGGGGGAATTATTGGCTTCGTTACAACCACCAACGACGTCATTCACGTACAGACGAGGGGGAAGGTCAGCCCTTATGCTCCCAGTATGGTGGCCCGCGGTCCATCAGTGGTGGCCCGCGGTCCATCAGTGGTGGCCCGCGGTCCATCACTGGTGGCCCGCAGTCCATCACTGGTGGCCCGCGGTCCATCACTGGTGGCCCGCGGTCCATCACTGGTGGCCCGCGGTCCATCAAGGTCAGGCCCTTGTCCTCTCTGGCCCTCAGGGACACCAGGAAGAAGGGGCGCGACTAACCTCCTCATACACCCTGCTGGCCTTCAGGGACACCAGGAAGGGACGTGAGGCGTCACTAACCTCCTCATACACCCTGCTGGCCTTCAGGGACACCAGGAAGGGACGTGAGGCGTCACTAACCTCCTCATACACCCTGCTGGCCCTCAGGGACACCAGGAAGAAGGGGCGTCACTAACCTCCTCATACACCCTGCTGGCCTTCAGGGACACCAGGAAGAAGGGACGTGAGGCGTCACTAACCTCCTCATACACCCTGCTGGCCTTCAGGGACACCAGGAAGAAGGGACGTGAGGCGTCACTAACCTCCTCATACACCCTGCTGGCCTTCAGGGACACCAGGAAGAAGGGACGTGAGGCGTCACTAACCTCCTCATACACCCTGCTGGCCTTCAGGGACACCAGGAAGAAGGGACGTGAGGCGTCACTAACCTCCTCATACACCCTGCTGGCCTTCAGGGACACCAGGAAGAAGGGACGTGAGGCGTCACTAACCTCCTCATACACCCTGCTGGCCTTCAGGGACACCAGGAAGAAGGGACGTGAGGCGTCACTAACCTCCTCATACACCCTGCTGGCCTTCAGGGACACCAGGAAGAAGGGACGTGAGGCGTCACTAACCTCCTCATACACCCTGCTGGCCTTCAGGGACACCAGGAAGAAGGGACGTGAGGCGTCACTAACCTCCTCATACACCCTGCTGGCCTTCAGGGACACCAGGAAGAAGGGACGTGAGGCGTCACTAACCTCCTCATACACCCTGCTGGCCTTCAGGGACACCAGGAAGAAGGGACGTGAGGCGTCACTAACCTCCTCATACACCCTGCTGGCCTTCAGGGACACCAGGAAGAAGGGACGTGAGGCGTCACTAACCTCCTCATACACCCTGCTGGCCTTCAGGGACACCAGGAAGAAGGGACGTGAGGCGTCACTAACCTCCTCATACACCCTGCTGGCCTTCAGGGACACCAGGAAGAAGGGACGTGAGGCGTCACTAACCTCCTCATACACCCTGCTGGCCTTCAGGGACACCAGGAAGAAGGGACGTGAGGCGTCACTAACCTCCTCATACACCCTGCTGGCCTTCAGGGACACCAGGAAGAAGGGACGTGAGGCGTCACTAACCTCCTCATACACCCTGCTGGCCTTCAGGGACACCAGGAAGAAGGGACGTGAGGCGTCACTAACCTCCTCATACACCCTGCTGGCCTTCAGGGACACCAGGAAGAAGGGACGTGAGGCGTCACTAACCTCCTCATACACCCTGCTGGCCTTCAGGGACACCAGGAAGAAGGGACGTGAGGCGTCACTAACCTCCTCATACACCCTGCTGGCCTTCAGGGACACCAGGAAGAAGGGACGTGAGGCGTCACTAACCTCCTCATACACCCTGCTGGCCTTCAGGGACACCAGGAAGAAGGGACGTGAGGCGTTACTAACCTCCTCATACACCCTGCTGGCCTTCAGGGACACCAGGAAGAAGGGACGTGAGGCGTCACTAACCTCCTCATACACCCTGCTGGCCTTCAGGGACACCAGGAAGAAGGGACGTGAGGCGTCACTAACCTCCTCATACACCCTGCTGGCCTTCAGGGACACCAGGAAGAAGGGGGCGTCACTAACCTCCTCATACACCCTGCTGGCCTTCAGGGACACCAGGAAGAAGACAATGCAGGTCTGGAAGATGATGATGGTCTGCCAGGCGGCCTCCTGCCCGGCGTACCCTGCACCCGCACCAATACGGTACGCCACCAGGTACAGCTCCAGGCACAGCGTCACCACCTGTGGGGACGGCCACCCTATAATAATAATAATAATAATAATAATAATAATAACATATAATAATGTTTACACAAGAGGAGGAGAGGTCAGGAGGACCACAACTAAGCAAAGCGTTTCTACCAAAACTGACAATAATTTAGAGACAACATATGTATGGGTATAAAAGAGTAAACACTAAATACTACAAGACAAGCTAACATATGTGAGAATGGCTAAAGAATGCAACAAATGATATACAACATGAAGATAGTGTTTAATGATTACACACAGACTTGTACATTATGGAATCTACACTCACACCAAGGGTACTATGCTCTTAAACATCAATATACTGCTAATATTGACAAAATATTAATATCAACAAATTTCTTCTACTTTATGGCAGTTGTGGTGCAAGTTTTCAACAAAAAATGAATTAAGTATTCATTACAAACAGATAAGATCAAATGGCAAAGTTTGCCCTCTAATATATCTTACGCACCATCACTTGTTTTCTTTACCTGTCTCTTGGTCAGAGAAAACTAAAATGTGCAATAATAATCAGGAATAACTAAAATATAAATAATTATTTTGTATCCATGTATCTAGGGACAGACTGTATTACCGTAACATGAACAAATCCACAAGGGCCGTGACGAGGATTCGAACCTGCGTCCGAGAGCATCCCAGACGCTGCCTTACCGTAACATGTCATTAATGTAACATGGAACAGACTGCAGGCGATAAGTCACAATAACATGGCTGAAGTATGTTGACCAGACCACATACTAGGAGTTGAAGGGACGACGACGTTTCAGTCCGTCCTGGACCATTCTTGGTCCAGGACTTGGAATCGACTTGAGAATGGTCCAGGACGGACCGAAACGTCGTCGTCCCTTCAACTTCTAGTGTGTGGTCTGGTCAAAATGTAACAGACTGCATTAGACAAAGTAGTTGTGTTATTAGCCCAAGAGACAGACGAGGCTTGCCACTTATTACTTACACTTAACAGAACAAGTATTTCTGGAATGAAGGGCAGAGGGCCCCTGCCGGTGATAGCCTAACTGTTGTAAAGTGACAACCCGTTCTCGCACTTTCTTAGTCAATATTGACTTATTAAATAAGTGCATATGTGACATACTAATTTATTGTGAATATTTTAGTTTACCTTGAAAAGCTTCATAGAAAACACCGACCTTACCTAACCTTCTTAGTATGCTAAGATAAGCATCTTATTGCTTCGTAATTACAATTATTAATTAACCTATACCTATAATTGGTTAAGTAATAATAGTAATTACGAAGCAATAAGATGCTTATCTTAACATACTAAGAAGGTTAGGTAAGGTCGGTGTTTTCTATGAAGCTTTTCAAGGTAAACTAAAATATTCACAATAAATTAGTATGTCACATATGCACTTATTTAATAAGTCAATATTGACTATACGAAAGTGCGAGAACGGGTTGTAAAGTGAAGATAGACTGACCTGTGTGGCGTAGAAGCACTGTAAGGTGGAGGAGAAGAGGTGCTCCGTCTTGCGCACCATTACCACCACCTGCCAGTGACTCTGCACCAGCTGCTCCAGCTGCACCATCTGACTACAGCCCCACACCGGTTCCTCCACGACATCCCCAGCGCCCTCCCACGCCACTGACACACAAGTCACCAATAAACATATCAAATGGTTTATATTATTATGTATTAATAAACCTATTTTTTGTCCTGCCCGAAACGCTTGGCGTAATAGTGGCTTTAGGCATTGTATGTACTAGCTCTATACACCCAGCAAGTTTTGTAATACACCTTTGTAGGTATGTACCTTGCCTGAATACACCTTTGTATGTATGTACCTTACCTGAATACACCTTTGTATGTATGTACCTTACCTGAATACACCTTTGTATGTATGTACCTTACCTGAATACACCTTTGTATGTATGTACCTTCTCTCAATAAACCTTTGTATGTATGTACCTTCTCTCAATAAACCTTTGTATGTATGTACCTTGCCTGAATACACCTTTGTATGTATGTACCTTACCTGAATACACCTTTGTATGTATGTACCTTCTCTCAATAAACCTTTGTATGTATGTACCTTCTCTCAATAAACCTTTGTATGTATGTACCTTGCCTGAATACACCTTTGTATGTATGTACCTTACCTGAATACACCTTTGTATGTATGTACCTTCTCTCAATAAACCTTTGTATGTATGTACCTTACCTGAATACACCTTTGTAGGTATGTACCTTACCTGAATACACCTTTGTAGGTATGTACCTTACCTGAATACACCTTTGTAGGTATGTACCTTACCTGAATACACCTTTGTAGGTATGTACCTTACCTGAATACACCTTTGTAGGTATGTACCTTACCTGAATACACCTTTGTAGGTATGTACCTTACCTATTATACTTCATGCCAATATTAAAATATGATTGTGTGTACACACTCACACAGGACCTATCATTTATTTATTCTAGGACCTAGAGAAGCCGGCCAAAAATCTCAGACACCCTTGTAACCATCTATATATATTACTGCAGTTAAATATTACATAGCATGCTACTGATATAGTTAGCAATTGCTTCTTAAGGCTAATAACACACACATATATATGACATTAGAGATAATAGGTAGAGTGGAGAGTGCGTGAAGGGAAGGGAACTATCAGGGGGGAAAGCGCCAAGCCATCACGACTATATAGCACTTGGAAGGGGTCAGGATAAGGAATTGGGATGGGACGGGGGGAAAGGAATGGTGGTTAATAACTTGTGGACGGTCGGGGATTGAACGCCGACCTGCATGAAGCGAGAGAGCCTTACCATGGAGGGTGTGGGCCAGCTGGTGCCTCCAGCACTCCAGGACGTTGTGCAGCATGTGGCAGATGGTGACGAAGAGGAAGAGTGAACCTTTGTACACCATGTAGAGGTGTCCCACCACCATACCCACCACCACACGCACCACCTGTGGAGACAACACCTGTTACACGAAGCTCCTCCGCTTGTACAGCGTGTACGGCAACCGTCACATGTGCCCACACCACACCTGTCGACACCTGTTGCTTGTGAATGTCACACCTGTCACTTGCAGGCAGTTGTCATCTGTCAACACCAAACCTGTCCCCTGCCGGCCCACACCTGTGTGTGTGTGTGTGTGTGTGTGTGTGTGTGTGTGTGTGTGTGTGTGTGTGTGTGTGTGTGTGTGTGTGTGTGTGTGTGTGTGTGTACTCACCTAGTTCACCTAGTTGTGTTTGCGGGGGTTGAGCTCTGCTCTTTCAGCCTGCCTCTCAACTGTCAGTCAACTGTTTTTCCCCACACCACACACACCCCACGAAGCAGTCCGTGACAGCTGACTAACTCCCAGGTACCTATTTACTGCTAGGTAACAGGGACATTCAGGGTGAAAGAAACTTTATGCCCATTTGTGTGTGTGTACTCACCTAGTTGTGTTTGCGGGTGATGAGCTCTGGCTCTTTGGTCCCGCCTCTCAACCGTCAATCAACAGGTGTACAGATTCCTGAGCCTATTGGGCTCTATCATATCTACACTTGAAACACGCACACACTTGTGTGTGTGTGTGTGTGTGTGTGTGTGTGTGTGTGTGTGTGTGTGTGTGTGTGTGTGTGTGTGTGAGTGTGTGTGTGTGTGTACTACATGTTCCTGCAGGATGGAGGTGTTAGCTCTTGGGCCCCGCTCTGGGAGACTGACCTGGACCGGGAGAGTGTCCTGGGCCAGCCAGCGGGGGTCCACCAGGAACAGGACCTGGGCCAGGAGGTCCACGATGTCCATCAACATGGCGGGTGGCCCCAGCACAGCCACCACCAGCACCGCCACCACAAAGGCGTACAGGAAGATGGCGTAGACGCATGAGGCGAGACGCAGCCCTCTGGTGGGGTCTAGGGTGGTGCGGGCTGCCAACTGCTGCCACTGGTTAAGGAAGGCGCACAATGGCTGCCCGAGCATCACCAGGTTGAGCACTTCCACCCACGCGTTCAGCAGGCAACCCACGATGATGGCCATGCCCATCAGCTGCACCTCGTGGCTGCCTGAGGCGGTGGCCCGCACCGGTTGTGCCTGCAGGAAGACTGTGGCCAGACCCACGCAGGTGGACACCACCAGACCACTCAGCCACACCAGCACCGCCAGGGTGTGCGCACCGCGCCAGCTGCGCCACCTCAGCTCGTACCGGCGCGAGGCGCAGCTGTACCGGTACGGTACCATGCCCAGGCCCCGCAGCGTCACTCTGATGAGCAGCAGCGGTCCGTGCAGCACGTCCTGCGCCACACCCTCCTCCTGCGGCACACCCTCACCTGCCGCAGGGGCGCTGCTCACAGTCCACACACCCTGCGGCTTGTTGCTCTCTCCATGCGGCTGCCCTGCGGCTTTTGGTGCCGCACGCGGCCTCGACTTTCCCCAACGCCACGGCATCGCTCCCGCAAGCAGCACCAACACCAGCCGTGAGGAGCGACAACTGAGGTATGAGAACTGAGATGTGAGGAGCGACAACTGAGGCGTGAGAGACGACAGCTGAGGCGTCAGGGGCGACAAATGAGGTGTCAGGGGCGACAGCTGAGGCGTGAGGAGCGACAGCCGAGGTGTGAGGAGCGAGAGTAGTGTGAGGGGCGAGCATGAGGGCCCGCGCCTACCCCAGGAGTCTGGGGGTCGACGCCCCACGCCTGCGCCGCTCCGACCCTGGGGGGCGTGGCCTCCCTCCCTTACTTACCCTACAGCACCCTTCCTTCCCTTCCCCTGCCCTTGTTACTGGCCCCAGGGATGAGTGCTGGCCTGACTCACCCTGTGAGTGAACACCCCCGCCCTCACCCTCCTGAACAAGGCCTGCCAACAGGGTGAACAACCTGTTGGGTTGTTCATCCGGGCGCCTACTAACTGCCGTCCGACAGTTCCTGCTCCGTATATAACACCTTCGTTATTCTCCTCAGAGAGCAGGAAGAGCAGCAGCAGCCATTATACCTGCCACATGGCCTCGGCTTTTATGATTTCTCGAAGTTTTCCTGATTAACGGTTGGAGTGAGACTAGGCTACGGGCGCGCCCTCCCATCACGGTGTCCATAATTGTCTAGTTTATACACTTATAGTTGGCTTACTTAACACGAATTTACCGCGAATTATTTACCTAAGCAAATTAAACACAACATTAAATATCTGACGATGAGAATACAATTTAAGGAACAAATATAAACTAATCGTTCAATGAATTGATACCAAAAGCTTCCCTAGCCTCACCGCTTATCACGAGATAACACAAATACCATAGGCTCTTATTTTAAGTTTAAAGATAAAGTGCCTACCCCCCTGTGCTCTAATGTCGTATATATGTATAATTGTTCCAGCTGTAATGCTGGATATATCGGGAGTTCCATTCGGAACTTTAAGATTAGGATACTTGAGTATCTTTTAGGACTGGATTACCATTGTCTAAACCAGCATTTTCGGAGATTAGAAACCATTGTTATGAGTTTGATCATTCTCTGCTGGAATCTGATTTTAAAATTCTGGACACTTGTATGAATGGCCAGTCAGACTTGAGAGTAATGGAATCCTTATATATAAAGGAGCTGCGGCCTCTGTTAAATAGCAACCTTTCGGCTGTTCAATTGTACACTGTATAGGGCACAGTACAGGACCTGTAATTGGATTTATAGTTCATTCTGGTAGTTTAATTTTGTTTAGTTTACCATGTCTTTGCCCTTTCTTACTTATTTTAAGTCTTGACATTGTACATTAGTATAATCTTTTTAGTTAGGATATATAATACATTTTTTGGTATTTAGATTTGTTTAATATATGAGTTTTTATAAGATTTTGGTTAGTACTTTATAATGGTCGCTTATTCTGCTGGCATTTTATATACATTTTTTGTAGAGTTGTAGTCATTATATGAATATTTGAAATAGTGTTTAGTATCTATGTGTCAGCTGTCAAGCTTCCTGTTGATCACTTCACCTAAGTTTAATAGTATTGGTTTGTTTTAGTAGTTATAAAATTCCTCTTGTAATTTAATGGATTTTTGAATTAGCTTTTATCTATGTGACAGTTAATAAGTTTTATTTGTATTGATCACTTTAAGTAAGCTTAAGTGTATTTTTTTAAGCATTTTCCTTTCTTTGATAGACAATTATAGTCAGTATGAGTTCTTTGTTTACCAGTTATTTGATTGTGATTTCTGTTTGTTCTTTTATATCTGATGATGAATACGAGAAGTATTCGAAACGTTATTCATTTTAAAGTAAAGAATCTGAAACAAGATGTTCAGAATATCCCTGGTTTTCCTATTCATCTTAATATATATATATTATATATAGGGGGGGGGGTACCACCTCTGGTGCAATTATAGGGACCCACAGCCTCAGAGAAGGGAACACAGAGCATTCAGGGAAAACTTGCCATTTAACTCTGAATACAAAAGAGTGTTCGCTTCTCCTACCACCCCCTTTTTTATTATGGTGTACACCTTATTATGCAAGGTTATACAGCGACATATCTGATTTTATACAAGAAATATATAGATATCTACCAATGGCAGAACATATTTTTCTGTTCAGCAGTTTTCTAAAAAGTTTGGTGTGTTCAGCTTTGTCAAAAGCTTGTTCTTACTACATCTCTGGGTGATGATATATAAACACAAATGTCTGGTTATCCATTTATTTATAAAATTGAGGCGAGGCTGGCTTTACAGGAGCATTCATAGCAGCAAGCTACAGGCGATGCCGCTTACAGCATGATGAATGCCTGGACAAGTATCCTCCTATACTGATTGATGGACACATGCTGCACGACAATGATATACATGGAATGAATTGCATCACAAATTAAATTGTAGACATTTTAGGTGATCACTTTAATTTCTTTGTTTCTGACGTTATAATTGATTATGAATGACTATAAATAGCGAAGGATGATAGAAAATATATCATAAATCTTGCGAGGAATGATTGCGTGGATGAGAAGTGTGTATGAGACATGTTGGGCGGAGGATGACATGGCTAGTCGACCTCTTCCATCCTAGAGGCATCCTCCTCGTCCCCTTCCAGCGGCGGCATGTCGTCCAGAGGGTTGGTGTCCTCAGGGATCGTGATAGCTTCCTCGTCGTCGATACCAAGACCTAAACTGATCATCCTGTAGATCCTGGCGGCGTGTACCCCGGGGTCCTCCAGGTTGAAGCCGGACGCTAGAAGGGACGTCTCGAAGAGCAGCATGACTAGATCTTTCACAGACTTATCATTCTTATCAGCATCAGCCTTCTGCCTGAGGGTCTCAATGATGCTGTGATCTGGGTTGATCTCCAGGTGCTTCTTGGCAGCCATGTAGCCCATGGTAGAGGTGTCTCGCAGTGCCTGAGCCTTCATGATGCGTTCCATGTTTGCGGTCCAGCCATACTGGGAGGTCACGATACAGCACGGAGAGGTCACCAGGCGGTTGCTCACCACCACCTTCTCTACTCTCTTGTCAAGGATGTCCTTTATTACCTGGAAAAAAGATAAAGTAGATCAGATAACATCAGAGACACTGTTGGAGTGAGGTGAAGTGACATTAGTTAATGAGATGAGATAATACACTTTGCTTTTGTGACTAGGTACGTCAGCTAATTCCTGAACGTATTCTAACTAATAAATAGAACTGAACCTTATACTTTATTAAGTAAAAAATAATTAAACTAGAATGTGGTGGGAGTGAGAAGTACATTTTCTTGATGGCCTCACATTGTATGGTGAGGGATTGTGAGTCAAGTCTCACCTTGCACAAGTTCTCCAGCTTCTGTTTTTGTTCCTCTAACTTCTTTTTCTCCTCCTCGTCATCTGGGAGCTCGAGACCTTCCTTGGTGACCGACAAGAGCTGCTTACCGTCATATTCCTTCAGCTGCTGGATGCAATACTCGTCGATGGGGTCAATCATGTAGATGATCTCAAAGCCTCGCTTCTTCACCCTCTCTACAAAGGCTGAGTTAGCGACAGCGTCACGACTCTCTCCGGTGATGTAATAGATCTGTTTCTGGTTGTCCTTCATGCGGGAGACGTAGTCCTTCAAGCTGCTCATCTCGTCTCCTGATGCTGAGGTGTAGAACCGCAGGAACTCTGCCAGTTTCTTACGATTGGTGGAGTCCTCGTGGATGCCCAGTTTGATATTCTTGGAGAAATTCTCATATAATTTCTTGAATGAATCTTTGTCCTCCATGAGTTCCTCGAAGAGTTCCATGGCTTTCTTCACTAAGTTTTTACGGATAACTTTCAAGATCTTGTTCTGTTGAAGCATCTCACGAGAGATGTTGAGGGGAAGATCTTCAGAGTCAACAACACCAGTGATGAAGTTGAGGTACTCTGGGATGAGTTCCTCACAGTTATCCATGATGAACACGCGACGAACATACAACTTTATCTTGTTCTTCTGTTTACGATTCTCAAAGAGATCAAAGGGAGCACGTCGAGGCACGAAGAGAAGTGCCCGGAACTCCAGCTGGCCCTCAACACTGAAGTGTTTGATAGCCAAGTGGTCCTCCCAGTCATTGGTGAGTGACCTGTAGAACTCTCCGTACTCCTCCTGAGAGATGTCATCTGGGTTGCGGGTCCACAGCGGCTTCGTCTTGTTCAGTTCTTCGTCCTCCATGTATTTCTCCTTCACAGTCTTCATCTTCTTGGCTTTCTCCAGCCCTTTGTCAGCGTCTTCGTCTGCTCCCACGTCCTCCACGTTCGGCATGTCGTCTTTTTTAGCAGCCTCGTCTTCCTTCTCTTCTTCATCGTCATCTGGGATTTGCTGGACGTGTAGAGAAAATATTCACGTTAGTATTGTGACACCACAGACACAATCTCTCACGAACTGTACTAGATCATGAGACACAATCTCTCACGAACTGTACAAGATTATGAGACACAATCTCTCACGAACTGTACTAGATTATGAGACACAATCTCTCACGAACTGTACTAGATTATGAGACACAATCTCTCACGAACTGTACAAGATCATGAGACACAATCTCTCACGAACTGTACAAGATTATGAGACACAATCTCTCACGAACTGTACTAGATTATGAGACACAATCTCTCACGAACTGTACTAGATCATGAGACACAATCTCTCACGAACTGTACAAGATCATGAGACACAATCTCTCACGAACTGTACAAGATCATGAGACACAATCTCTCACGAACTGTACAAGATCATGAGACACAATCTCTCACGAACTGTACTAGATCATGAGACACAATCTCTCACGAACTGTACTAGATTATGAGACACAATCTCTCACGAACTGTACAAGATCATGAGACACAATCTCTCACGAACTGTACTAGATCATGAGACACAATCTCTCACGAACTGTACTAGATTATGAGACACAATCTCTCACGAACTGTACAAGATTATGAGACACAATCTCTCACGAACTGTACAAGATTATGAGACACAATCTCTCACGAACTGTACAAGAATGGAACACCAAAAGGATAGAAGACGTGTTCTCGTCCCAGGTGTTCACAAATTATAATCTTGATCTTAAACTATGGTGAAGGTCTAGCCTTTATGTATAGCACTCTGAACCCCAACTGAGGAAGTGTTTATCCTGACCTCAGAGGTCTCTTACACACCTGCAGCACACCTGTAGACACAACACGGTTCCTACAGACCTACAGGAGACCTGTGGACACCATACGGGTCCTACAGACCTGCAGGAGACCTGTAGACACCATACGGGTCCTACAGACCTGCAGCAGACCTGTAGACACACCATGGTTCCTACAGACCTGCAGCAGACCTGTGGACACCATACGGGTCCTACAAACCTGCAGCAGACCTGTGGACACACCATAGTTCCTACAGACCTGCAGCACACCTGTAGACACAACATAGGACACAAAAAAGTCTAGATATATATACAAGAAAATGTCTGTCTGTTTATCTGCTTGTCCAAGATCAGATGCTTGACGCTAGCCTCACCTAACTTTTAAGGATGACACATGGGTAGTAGGAAACTGCGATAGGCAGGTAGGAGTCGACTCCATTGTCCCCCTTAAAAAGGATTATAATCTCAAGAGAGACCTGAGATAGCTGAAATAGTGGTTTTGTTTTCCATAGAATTTTACAGAAGCTTTGAGCAATACTTCACACACAACATAACCAGAACAATATTTTAACGTTAATACAACGTTGTCAAAGTAACAATGGTGAAAATAACATTGTGTGTTATTGTATGCTGAGAAAGAGAGAGTGTGAGAGGGAGAGAGAGAGAGAGAGTGTGAGAGGGAGAGAGGGAGAGAGAGAGAGAGAGAGAGAGAGAGAGAGAGAGAGAGAGAGAGAGAGAGAGAGAGAGAGAGAGAGAGAGAGAGAGAGAGAGAGAGAGAGAGACAGAGAGAGACACACAGAGAGAGAGAAAGGAAAAAGAAAGACATATTTTTATAAACAAATTATTACTATCATCATCAAACAAGTTAATAATACTAAACCTGAAAGGAAAATAAGAAAATAGTGAATGTGGAGATAATATTGAGAGAGAGAGAGAGAGGAGGAGGAAGGAGTGTGTAGGGAGAGAGACTGACCTTCTCCCTCTCCTTCTCCACCAGGAGCCTGATGGGGTAGCCGATGAACTGAGAATGTTTCTTCACCACCTCCTTGATGCGGCGCTCCTCCACGTACTCGGCTTGGTCCTCCTTCAGGTATAGTGTGATCCTCGTGCCCCGGGATAGTGGGTAGCCTGGAGGGGGACATGGCACGGCTCTAATGTACCTCTCATGACACTTGTTAACAGGCCACACCTGTCATCATACCTCTCATGACACTCGTCACTAGACCACACCTGTCATCATACCTCTCATGACACTCCTCACCAGGCCACACCTGTCATCATGCCTCTAATGACACTCGTCACTAGACCACACCTGTCATCATACCTCTCATGACACTCCTCACCAAGCCACACCTGTCATCATGCCTCTCATGACACCTGTCAGCGCACTTGGATCTGTTAATGCTGCCTAATTACACTTGTCTGGACGTATTCAATTGAAAACCTGTTTACAAAGTTTGGTGTTGGAGGTGTGGGCCACACCTGTCGCAGCTTGTTCTTACTACACAACCTGACACACACACACACACACACACACACACACACACACACAGAGGAGAGGTCCAGGGGTCAGATTCACGAAAGCAGTTACGCAAACACCTACGAACCTGTACATCTTTTCTCAATCTTTGGCGGCTTTGTTTACAATTATTAAACAGTTAAAGAGCTCGGAAGCACCAGGAGGCTGTTTATAACAATAACAACAGTTGACTGGCAAGTTTTCATGCTTGTAAACTGTTTAATAAATGTAACCAAAGCCGTCAAAGATTGAGGAAAGATGTACACGTCCGTAAGTGTTTGCGTAACTGCTTTCGTGAATCTGGCCCCAGGTAGCTGACTAGGGAGAACATAAGATGTAAACAAGTCTATAAGACTCACTTTTGTCGGGCCGGATAGTGAAGGAGCCTCCAGCGGCAGACTCCCAGGTATACTGCTCGTCATCATTGTGTTTGGAGGTGACAACCACCTTGTCGGCCACCAGGTAGGCGGAGTAGAAGCCCACACCAAACTGCCCAATCATGGAGATGTCAGCCCCAGCCTGCAGTGCCTCCATGAACGCCTTGGTGCCAGACTTAGCAATGGTTCCCAAATTGTTAACCAGATCAGCCTTTGTCATGCCTACACCAGTGTCGATGATAGTGAAAGTCCGCTCGTTCTTGTCAAGCTCGATCCTGATAGTGAGATCCTTGCCGGACTCGAGCTTTGACGGATCAGTCAACGACTCGTAGCGGATCTTGTCAAGCGCGTCAGAAGAGTTGGAGATCAGTTCTCGCAGGAAGATTTCCTTGTTGCTGTAGAAGGTGTTGATGATGAGAGACATCAACTGGGCGATCTCCGCCTGGAAGGCGAAGGTCTCCACTTCCTCCATTGTTTCCTCAGGCATCTGTAAGGGCGGGAAAGTTATTATTGACACGCGTTGGTACACACACACAACAGTGTTCCTACACTACTGTATGTGATGTATTATAGCTGTGAGGCACCTGTGTGGTGGGGTCCAGCAGCTGGGGGTGTGTGGTGGGGTCCAGCAGCTGGGTGTGTGTGTGGTGGGGTCCAGCAGCTGGGGGTGTCTGGTGGGGTCCAGCAGCTGGGTGTGTGTGGTGGGGTCCAGCAGCTGGGTGTGTGTGGTGGGGTCCAGCAGCTGGGTGTGTGTGGTGGGGTCCGGCAGCTGGGTGTGTGCTGGGGTCCAGCAGCTGGGTGTGTGCTGGGGTCCAGCAGCTGGGTGTGGGGTGGGGTCCAGCAGCTGGGTGTGTGTGGTGGGGTCCGGCAGCTGGGTGTGTGTGGTGGGGTCCAGCAGCTGGGTGTGTGCTGGGGTCCAGCAGCTGGGTGTGGGGTGGGGTCCAGCAGCTGGGTGTGTGGTGGGGTCCAGCAGCTGGGTGTGTGTGGTGGGGTCCAGGAGCTGGGTATGTGTGGTGGGGTCCAGCAGCTGGGTGTGTGTGGTGGGGTCCAGCAGCTGGGTGTGTGTGGTGGGGTCCAGCAGCTGGGTGTGTGGTGGGGTCCAGCAGCTGGGTGTGTGGTGGGGTCCGGCCCCCACACAGCCTCCCAGAATAGCCCAACAGCGTAGGGGCCGCGTGGACCAGGTCGGGGCGTCTCGCTCACCAAGCGGGAATATAAAAATACAATTGTTGTCGTCGTATTTTACCAAGATGTAACCGTATGGTTTAAGGAGCTCCCTGAGGGAAGTGTGTTTATACTTCATATATATAATTGTCATATATATATATATATATATATATATATATATATATATATATATATATATATATATATATATATATATATATATATATATATATATATATATATATATATATATATATATATATATATATATAATATACAGTATACATAATCTGGTATACATGTTCATATGCGTAAGTATTCACCCAGGGCCTGCACCAGGGTAACTACTCATGACTGACCAGTCCTCCTGGTTAAACTATTGGATAATATACATATTAGTGAAGGTCTGAACGCATATTACTATCCCAATATTAGTCTACATCTAAACTTATCTGTCAATCTTTGTCCCCAAAAGCGAGGTTTCTCACGTTAGAACCTTATTGCACTATATATCATTGTTTTAGATCATAAAATAGTATATGCTTAAATTGTTTTCTTTGAAACGGTCTGAAGAATTTGGTTTTCTGTAAATAAAATGCTAGGGGATACTTAAATAGTTTTCAAATTTCATATTTTTTTCCGTTTGAGAATACACCAAGTTAACCATGGATAGAGACGAGGTAATAACACTAATTCGTGAAGACAGGTGGCAAATTTAGTGCATAAATTACAAAAGCCCCGGTGCTATAATATATAAAACATAGCATATAGGAATTGGTAGCATATATATATTTTGTATATGATTGAAATATCTGTATAAGAGGGTCGACGGCCGCCACGGGACGAGTGTGGGACACACTAAATATATCCCAGAGTGGACCACACTACACACCAGGTGCTATGTGGTCCTGGGGATAGACGGGTCTTATGTGGTCCTGGTGATAGACGGGTCTTGTGTGGTCCTGGGGATAGACGGGTCTTATGTGGTCCTGGGGATAGACGGGTCTTATGTGGTCCTGGGGATAGACGGGTCTTATGTGGTCCTGGGGATAGACGGGTCTTATGTGGTCCTGGGGATAGACGGGTCTTATGTGGTCCTGGGGATAGACGGGTCTTATGTGGTCCTGGGGATAGACGGGTCTTATGTGGTCCTGGGGATAGACGGGTCTTATATGTGGTCCTGGGGATAGACGGGTCTTGTGTGGTCCTGGGGATAGACGGGTCTTATGTGGTCCTGGGGATAGACGGGTCTTATGTGGTCCTGGGGATAGACGGGTCTTATGTGGTCCTGGGGATAGACGGGTCTTATGTGGTCCTGGTGATAGACGGGTCTTATGTGGTCCTGGGGATAGACAGGTCTCAGGTCTGGTGACCATAACTACACCAAAACATTGTTAATTAAGTGACACTGATGCTCACCTTGTATATGTTGGCTAATAAATCACTGAACACTTATGAGGAGCGCGGGAACACGTGCGGGCACCGGGCCGGTTGTGAGGGGAAGCGGGTCTGGCTCCCTCTTAAATACCCGACCACGTGGCCGCCATGTTGGTGCCCGGGCCACGTGCCCGCCATGTTGCTGCCCAGACGCTTCCAGAACTGTGTGTGTTGAGTCACACCTCAACTGTAAATGTTGCTCCCATCATAATGATGTAGAGCACTACCCGCTCCGCTATAATTATATGAGGGATAGTTACTCTTCAGATGAGGGGAGAGCTGGCCGAGGGGAGACAACCCGCCATGGACCCAATCACGGAGGTGCCAGAAACATAATAATAATTGTTTTAACTATTAAATATCGTATCAGTATATAGAGCAGAAATCCAAACAAAAAGCCCAGTTCATACACATTAATACAGTATACCAGAAATTAATCTGTAGTTAAAATGTTGTTAATACTAAATCAAAACAGTTAGTATTAAGGTATGTAAGGAGGGAGTGGGTAAGGGGGAAGCGGCAACTTGGCGGACCTTCTAGACGCTCCCAGAAACGTTGCCGGAAGTGACGTCAGCCTCGCTCACTTCCGCTCTGCTAACTTTACGCGCCATTTTTAAGCGCGCCATATTTAAACGCGCCAAGTGTCAACAATGTTAGGATGCTTGTATCACGAGATATGTAACGACAGGTCTGCGCAGTTCATGTAATGACTTTATAATTTGTTATAATTATAATTCATTGTGTCGGGGGATAAGAAGCCCGAGTGTATTCATACACGTTAGGCTTTTATCGAGGTGCACATGGTACAGTGCATACATACATGGTACATAACACTGCAGGTAGAGGGCGTGCACATGGCTGTAACACTACCACCCATTAAATGGGTGCGGGGGGCATTTACAGGATGGGTATGGGGTCCACTACCACCCACAGGATGGGTATGGGGTCCACTACCACCCACAGGAAGGGTATGGGGTCCACTACCACCCACAGGATGGGTATGGGGTCCACTACCCCTCACAGGATGGGTATGGGGTCCACTACCCACAGGATGGGTATGGGGGTCCACTACTGCTCACAGGATGGATATGGGGTCCACTACCACCCACAGGATGGGTATAGGGTCCACTACTGCTCACAGGATGGGTATGGGGCCCACTACCACCCACAGGATGGGTATGGGGGTCCACTACCCCTCACAGGATGGGTATGGGGTCCACTACCACTCACAGGATGGGTATGGGGTTCACTACCACTCACAGGACGGGTATGGGTCCCACTACCACTCACAGGATGGGTATGGGTCCCACTACCCCTGTGAAGCATGTATTAATAGACAAATCTCCATGTTTTTTGGTCATATGCAGAATTACCTCTACAGCACGTTTCAAACATTCTTCCTTGGATGTATTTTCCTTCAAAATCAATTTGCCAAAAATTCTAAATTGCACTAGACTGCTTCGTAGAACGTTGTATATAGTTAAATAGACTGCAAAAGCAAAAGGCTTAACAATCCTTGGCTTACAAAGGGAATACTGAAATCCATTAACAAAAAACACGACCTTGAGAAGAAGTATAGGTTAGGAATTGTCTCCAAAGAATTCTCAAAGAATTACTCATTATTGCTAACTAAGATAATTAGACGAGCCAAAACTAATTACTACGAAGATAAATTTACTCAAATAAAGAGCAACATTAAACAAACTTGGAGCACAATTTCACAAATATTGGGATCAAAGAAATCTTTAAATAACAAACCGACTCTCCTGTCTAATAACGATGGTCAGCTTTCAGCCTCTGATTCTGCTATTGAGTTCAATAGGTTCTTCTCTTCCATTGGTTCATCCCTTGCAAATGATATTCCATCTTCCAGTACTGACATTAAGGACTATCTTACAGGTAACTATCCACAGTCTCTGTACCTAAAGCCTATTAACTCCACTGACGTCAATGAGATAATCCTTTCCCTTAAAACCAAGTCTGGTGCCCTTGAGGAGATACCAACTTTAATTTACAAAAAAGCCTCCAGATCTTTAGCCCCTGCTATTGCTTTGCTCTTCAACAAGTCACTTGAACTCCAAACCTTTCCAGATATTCTAAAAAAAGCGAGAGTAACGCCTGTCCACAAATGTGGTGACCCCACAGATGTTAACAACTACAGACCTATATCAATCCTGCCAAACTTGTCAAAAATTTTTGAAAAACTTATATACAAGCAGCTTTACTCATATCTAGCCAAACTCAATATACTTAGCCCTTGCCAATATGGCTTCAGACCCAAAAAAAGCACTAACGATGCACTTATTAGTATGCTTAACTCGATTCATACAGCTCTTGATAAAAAGGAGCTCCCTGTTGGGTTATTTGTGGACCTGCGTAAAGCTTTTGATACTGTCAACCACCAAAACCTTCTTCTTAAATTACATCATTATGGAGTCAGAGGACACTCCCTACAATACCTCGAGTCCTACCTTACTGACAGGCTCCAATATGTTTCTGTGAATAATACAATTTCTCCCACCCTACCCATCAACATTGGTGTTCCTCAGGGCAGCATACTTGGCCCTCTCCTCTTTCTCATCTACATTAATGACCTTCCAAATGCCTCCCAACACCTCAAACCAATTCTATTTGCTGACGACACAACCTTCATTTACTCCAGTCCTGACCCTCTTGCTCTAAATGCCACAGTAAATACTGAGCTAAATAAAGTCCATCTTTGGCTAACTGCCAACAAACTCACCCTTAACATTGACAAAACCTTCTATATTCTGTTTGGCAATAAATCCTCTAGTCTTATAAATCTCAAAATAAACAATACCCAAATTTGTAACAAATTAGATGGCAAATTCCTTGGCATTCTCATTGACCACAAGCTGAATTTCCAGGGACACATTCTAAATATATCAAAAAAAGTTTCAAAAACTGTGGGCATTCTTTCTAAGATCAGATATTATGTACCACGCCCTGCTCTGGTGACTCTCTATTACTCCCTTATCTATCCTTATCTCAACTATGGTATTTGTGCTTGGGGTTCTACTACCCAAAATCACTTACGTCCTCTAATTACCCAACACAAAGCCGCTATTAGAACAATATCTAACTCTGGCCCCAGACATCACTCGGTACCCCTACTCAAATCTCTTAATATGTTAGATATTAAGTCACTGCACATTCTCTCATGTGTATTATACATATATAAAACGCTAAACTATAATGCCAATCCTGATCTTAAAAGCTTCATAGAAGGTTGTAACAGAACCCATGAGCACCACACCAGAAATAAATACAGTTTTGATATTCCTAGAGTACGTCTTAATCAAACTAGAAATGCTCTGCAAATCAAGGGGCCCAGAATGTGGAATGACCTTCCCAACCATGTTAAAGACTGTACCTCTCTCAACCAGTTTAAGATAAAAACTAAACACTACCTAATAAATTCCCTGTAATCTACCTCACTCCTCTATTGTCAACCCATGTCTGTTATTTTCTTTTTTTTATTTTCTTTTTTTTATTTTTTTTTTTTTTTTTTTTTTTTTCTTTTTTTTAATCAACACTGTTTGTCAACCTATTGTATTTGTGCTGCTTTTTCAGTCATGTTCCCCTTTTTTTTTATCTTTATTTGTATTTGTTCTCAACATCTTTTATTCTTTATGCTCAATTAGTATTAAGTTCTAGATATTAATGTTTTTCTTGCCCGAAACGCATTGCGTAATAGTGGCTTTAGGCATTGTATGTACTAGCTCTATCTATGTATCAATCCATTAATGTAACATCACTTGTATGTATATACCTTACCTGAATAAACATCTGAATCTGAATCTGAATCTGACTGTACTGGTGTTTAGTGTTAAGTAATCACTTACAGAAAACGGTGCCGGGGTAACTGCTCTAAACATATCCAACCGTTGTCTTCAGTGAACGAGAGCTTTCGCCTATAATAAAGTTTTAAGACATTCCTATACTGGTGAAGACAAAGCATTTTTAATTGCTCAAGTTTAGTTGTTGGAGTTACACATGTTGTGAGCTGTGGTAGAAAAGTTACAAAGGTACATAGACTCCAAATTAACCAGTTTTTATTTATTTAGTTATGAGTAAGTTACACCAATGATGATGAGCTAGTTAGTTTGATAACATGAACAGCGTCTATTAAGTTTTAGTTTAGCCCAGTTAACTAACTTATTAGACCCAATGTTCATGTCAGTCATGCACCCATCCAGTGGACTACAGCCCACGACCCTGTCAGTCATGCACCCATCCAGTGGACTACAGCCCACGACCCTGTCAGTCATGCACCCATCCAGTGGACTACAGCCCACGACCCTGTCAGTCATGCACCCATCCAGTGGACTACAGCCCACGACCCTGTCAGTCATGCACCCATCCAGTGGACATGTGCTATGCCTATGTATGTATCTATGTTCACTTAAGTAGATATTAGTTGCATCCAAAAGTTAACCTGTGATATATGTTGAAGGTCAGACTTCCAAAGGTGTTCTACTGGCTTGTCCACCACCCCCGTGGTAATTGGAGACGGCAGTTACTCATTGGCATTGGAGTCTCAAGCAGTTACCAACTGAAGCCTTATGGGTCCCCTCCCTCCACTTTTGAAGCCTCTCCTTACCATTCACGCCCTCCACCGACAGGTCAGTTTGCCCTTGGCGTTAGTCTCTTATTTGTAAGTTTTCCTGTGCTGCATTCTTTCACGCCATAGCTTTGAGACTTTCGTATTAAAGAATTATTTAATGAAGAATTTTGTTACATGGCCACACTTCCAGCAGCAGGTATGGTTAGTAGTCTACATCATACTTATAATCTTTTAGCATAGATTGCAGACAGACCTAGGCGTGCCAGTCCCATCTCTCAGAGACGATCTGTTCAGGAGGAAATCTTGCTTTGCCAGTTACCCTGTTCTGAGAGACCTGCTTGACGGGGTTCAGAGTTGAACGCCCTAAGCGGACCGGCTCAACTTGTGAGAGCTTAGTCCACCAGGCTGTCTGTTGCTTGGCGGCCCCAAGGCCCATATATCTACCACAGCCCGACACTCCTTGAAAACTAATCTAGTTTTCTCTATGTCCACAGTTGTTCCGGCAATATTTCTGGATGTTTAACAACTGTAGACCTGAGGTTTAGCGTTCTAAATGTACTTATAGCACCCCTACTAGTATTTCATTTACACTTTAGCTTGTTTGGTCTAGTTTTGCTTTTCCAGGTTCTTTATAGATCATTTTTTCCCTATTGACTACACTTGACTTTCCTCAGGGTGTAGTAGTGTCTCCAGTAGTTTCCAAAGGATGTGGGCATACAGACGTTAGAAAGAATATTTTCAGTGTCGGTAGTTAATAAATGGAATGCTTTAGGCAGTGATGTGGTGGTGGCCGACTCCATACACAGTTTCAAATGTAGATATGATAGAGCCCAGTAGGCTCAGCAATCTGTACACCAGTTGATTGATGGTTGAGAGGCGGGACCAAAGCTCAACCCCCGCAAGCACAATCAGGCATAAAGTGAAGGTAACTTGTGACTCGCAGCATAAATTAACTCAGCAGTTCTAGATTCTACTGAAGATTTGTAAAGTTGTGTAGTTTTACAAAGTAACTTGTCAACATTGTAGTATATGATACTGTATACATTTGACTTTTAGAAAATTCTGTTAGACCCTATTCAAGTACCTCTCCACAAGGCAATGTTCATGGGGAGCATGCGTAAATAAAAGTCCTAGTAACTAATTCATTTAATGCAATCTGATCTTCATTAGAGATTGTCCACAAGTATCAACACAAAATAATGCAATTCCAGTACTACGATAAGTTAAAACTCGTTATGTGATCGACACCTTTACTCTCATACCTCTGTATATGGCAAGTTCTCGTAACACCAAAATGCTACACCCAACACGTCTAAGATCTAGTAGTCTCCCTCTAATGCTGGGTTATATAAACAACAGGTACAAGGCAATAATTAACAATCATAAATCTTAGAAAGCTATAGTTAAGAGCATATGATTGCACTTTGCACAATATTAAATCTTATCCAGATTCCAAAAATCCAATTTAAATACTGGCCTGTAGTAGTTATGGCAAGGCAGAGCAGTGCATTCAAAGGTATCCATATTCAGTTTCATATGGAAGTTTAGTTATTTCCATGAATATACCTTTCAACACAGCTGATACAAAGTGATCAACCTAGGAACATTAATTAACAAAAGAAAATAGCAATACTTTCCACAATCCAGTCTAATATGTCACATATAGGAAAACTGAAAAGATTAAGATTCTTATGTTTTTATTACAAAACTTAAGATGTATTGTTTATCAACTAAATATATACACAATGAATAATAAAGAAAAACTCCTATGCAAGAATCTTAACTTAAACTGAATCTGATACACGGAATGAAATGGACCTCAAAATCCCAAACCTCTCTAAGGTTTACAAGAGAAATTGCAGACCGTATGATAATGAGATGAACTTTGGTACTTTGGTTAACAGGATATGCCTTAATCTACTTCTTCCATTCGTGACGCATCATCATCATCTCCCTCAAGTGGGGGCATCTCTTCCACACTACCTTCTGTAGTCTCCTCTGCTGGGGCATCATCTTCCTCAATACCCAGACCAAGCTTGATCATTCTGAAATATAAATATAGTCAAGACTCTCTTCATTCCAACTAAACTCTTCAAGAGTTTCAATATAACATCAGGAGAAAATGGAATCACGGTAAATCATTTAATAAGCGGAGTGTTATCATCACGGATAATAAAAGTAACTAACGCTACTAAAAGTTGTAGCAACTATTTGACAAATTAACTGCTAGATAAATTTCATCAATCTAGTAACTAAAGGCTCACCTGTAAATACGTCCAGCATGCACACCAGGATCCTCTAGAGTAAACCCTGAAGACAAGAGGGCACTCTCGAAGAGTAGCATGACTAGATCTTTCACAGACTTATCATTCTTATCAGCATCAGCCCTCTGCCTGAGGGTCTCAATGATGCTGTGATCTGGGTTGATCTCCAGGTGCTTCTTGGCAGCCATGTAGCCCATGGTAGAGGTGTCTCGCAGTGCCTGAGCCTTCATGATGCGTTCCATGTTTGCGGTCCAGCCATACTGGGAGGTCACGATACAGCACGGAGAGGTCACCAGGCGGTTGCTCACCACAACCTTCTCTACTCTCTTGTCAAGGATGTCCTTTACTACCTAAATTCATAAAATGGGAGTTAGCAGTGATATGAAATAAATCTTAAAGAGCACCATAAATTTTTAGAGAAATTTGATAAACATCCAGTAATTTTTTTTTAATAAAATAACCAGGGCAAAATGTGGATTTGTGGGGCTTTGCCAAGAGGTTTAAGAGCAATAAATCCAAAATTAAAAATGTAAGTTTGCAATGCGAGAAGTCTTATACATCTATATTTGGATTTTAATGTAATGAATCTCATATTGCAGAAAAAGCCTAGGTAGACAGTGAAAAACTTTAATTGGGATCCAAACAAATTATTAAGAAAAAGTAATCTTAAACTTACTTTGCAAAGGTTCTCCAGCTTTGATTTCTGTTCCTCAAACCTCTTCTTTTCCTCCTCATCTTCAGGGAACTCTAGACCTTCCTTTGTAACAGACACCAGTTGCTTTCCGTCATATTCCTTAAGTTGCTGTACACAGTACTCGTCAATGGGTTCAGTCATGTAGATTACCTCAAAGCCACGTTTCTTAACTCTTTCTACAAAGGCAGAGTTGTGCACCTGCTCACGAGTCTCGCCCGTAATGTAGTAAATATGCTTCTGGTTCTCCTTCATGCGAGAGGCATAGTCCTTCAGCGAGCAAATGTCGTCACCTGAAGCAGAAGTGTGATAGCGCAAAAACTCTGCCAGCTTTTTGCGGTTCGTCGAATCCTCGTGGATGCCCAGCTTGATGTTCTTAGAAAAGTTTTCATAGAATTTCTTATAGTTGTCCTTATCTTCAATTAATTCCTCAAATAACTCTAGTGCTTTCTTTACCAAGTTTTTGCGAATTACCTTCAAGATCTTGTTCTGTTGGAGCATCTCACGAGAGATGTTCAGGGGAAGATCTTCAGAATCCACCACACCATTCAAGAAGTTCAGGTACTCAGGAATGAGCTCCTCACAGTTCTCCATGATAAAAACGCGACGAACATAGAGCTTTATCTTGTTCTTCTGTTTACGGTTTTCAAAGAGATCGAAAGGAGCACGTCGGGGTAGGAAGATCAAGGCCCGGAACTCTAGCTGGCCCTCTACGCTGAAGTGTTTTACGGCCAAGTGATCCTCCCAGTCATTAGTGAGAGACTTGTAGAACTCTCCATACTCTTCTTGAGAGATATCGTCGGGGTTGCGAGTCCAGAGTGGCTTCGTCTTGTTCAGCTCTTCATCTTCAGTGTACTTCTCTTTTACAGTCTTCTTTTTCTTGCCGCCTTCTTTCTTGTCGGCGTCCTCGTCTTCGCCGATATCTTCAATCTTGGGCTTCTCTTCTTTTTCTTCCTTGTCTTCTTTCTCTTCTTTTTCCTCTTCCTTTTCTTTCTTTTCATCTTCCTTTTCTTCCTCTTCATCATCAGACACTTCCTGAAATTATTATTTTATTAGTTATTTTATTTAAAATTAGTTAAAATTATTTATTTTAATTTTATAATTAAAATGATAAAATTTAGTTAAAATTATTTTATTTACCAACTTGACAAACAATATATAACACTGAGCTAGTAAATTGCATCTGCAGAAAAAAAAATGCATTATATTTAGATCAATAAGAAGCAAAACTTGCCTTGTCCCTCTCCTTCTCTACCACAAGCTTGATGGGGTAACCAATGAACTGGGAATGTTTCTTAACTATCTCCTTGATGCGTCGCTCCTCCAGGTACTCCGTCTGGTCTTCCTTCAGGAACAGTGTGATCATTGTACCTCGACCCAATGGCTCCCCTGAAAAATAACACTGGTTAAGAGGCATTTCCATTAAGGACACATTTAAAGTGAACAAATTTATATTGGGAGCCGGTCGGCCTAGCGGACACCACTCTGGACGTGTGATCCTGTGGTCCTGGGTTTGATCCCAGGCGCCGGTGAGAAACGATGGGCAGAGTTTGTCACCCTATGCCCGTTACCTAGCAGTAAAATAGGTACTTGGGTTAGTCAGCTGTCACGGGCTGCTTCCTAAGGTTGGAGGCCTGGTCGAGGACCGGGCCGTAAGGACACTAAAAAAAGCCCTGAAATCATCAAGATAACCTCTAAGATTAAACCTATCAAGGAAATGGAAAACTTTACCTCTTATTTACCATAAGAATCTGGCAAATTCCTATGACAAGCACATTTCACATGCTCTTACCATAAAATGAACGAATGTGAAGCCTACATGTATAAATTATGACGAACATTTCCTTGCATGCAGGATTCGGTATAAAGATCAGTTGCAATTATTCTCCTCTAGTGCAAAGTGGGATTGTGGTCTTAACAATATTTATGTAAACTTTCCTACTAAAAACCTGAAAATTAAATTATAAAAGCTTTCCTAAATAGTTTTGTGCAGTACCTCATTCAGAGGTACAGTAACATTTCTTCTCTTGCCTTTGTGCTACCGAAAATTACAAATTAGAAGCAACACAAACCCAAGAAAGTCTTACTAAATGTAATTATGAGGCTGTAATTAAATAAATCATTAACGTAAATTCCAGTAATACAGCCTGGTTCGTTCTCTACTCAAAATCTAGAATTTTGGGTTGGGAATATTTCACGTTCCATTGGGAACATCACGTAATGCTCCTGTTCATCGAGCAGTAAGTAGGTACCCAGTGTGTTCTGGGGTGGCATCCTGGGAGGGGAGTAACTACCATCAAGGGGAACCTAAATAGTTTCAACGTAGCCATAGACTACAATCATTTTTAAATGTTGCCACTCATTGTATTTCCAAAAGTTCCCTGTTGTCACAAATGCCAAATGCCTGTTGTCACAAACTGGCTTAATTTTTACATCTTATTATATAGATATATATAATATTGGCAAGAATATTTTGTCACATACAAATTTCATGGATAGTTGCCTCAAACTTATTTTAACACTTATTGCCCGTGCCACGTGCACACCGCAGACTTTGACGTCATGGGGCTAATGGTGCGAGTGAGCGTGTGGCAAATGTATATACTCGTTTCAACTTTCTCGCCTTAATTCTTGTGCCAAGTCATTCGTTTTGGTATTGTGTTTGCAATTAAATTCCCTGCAGATGTATATGCATATGTCCAAAATCCTGTCGAGACTCCCTGCAGCAAAGCATAAAGTTATCCGTGAACGAGCACCAATTTGCACACCACAATCTAACGTGTATACGCAAAAATTTATGTTATCAAACTGAACGTGTTACAGCGCTCGTTTTGGTATCAAATTGTTTGCAATATAAAGGCACGCATTTTAAAACTTGTCCCATAATAATGGCACAATAGAATTTTAAACATTAAAATTTAAACCCAAAAACGTATTTATAATCGTTCAAGTGTTCTGACCAAGTTTCGTATTACATATTTCATTTTGGTATCAAAATGTGCTTATTTTGAAACTATCCCGAGGTCGATCGGATAAAAAATGAATTTTATACAAATATTTTTGTAGGACGCAAATCTATGTCCACAGCTAGAACTTCAAGAGAAAAAAAAATGGATGTGATCGGTGTCCAACGCAAGCGATAGTGTTAAGCAAAATTTCCTCCTAAAATTTTATTGGCATTAGATGGCAGAAATTTAAATTTATCCTAATCAAAAACCACTTAAAACATTATTACTTAATTCAAAGAATTTTAGAGCAACCCTTTAAACATAGTGACCACAACAAGACACTTACCATGATCAGTACGGACCGTGAAAGATCCTCCTGCGGAAGACTCCCAAATGTATTGTTCATCATCATTGTTCTTAGAGATGACGGTCACCTTGTCGGCCACCAGGTAGGCGGAGTAGAAGCCCACACCAAACTGACCAATCATGGAGATGTCAGCCCCAGCCTGCAGTGCCTCCATGAACGCCTTGGTGCCAGACTTAGCAATGGTTCCCAAATTGTTAACCAGATCAGCCTTGGTCATGCCGATGCCACTGTAAAGTTAAGCAAGTCAACATCTTTGTCTACCAAAGCCAAAAATATAAACGGTAATAAGTTCTTCAGGAAAATAATGTCGACATTACGTGTGGAGGGCTTATGACATTAGGCAGTGTCACCCATCCACACTAGGACGCAAATTATTTCATCACATCAAATTTAACTGAATGAAGGTGACTTAAGTCATTGAAGACATACCTGTCAATTATTGTAAGAGTGCGGTCATTTTTATTTGGCACTAGTTTGATGAACAGCTCCTTGCCGGAGTCCAGCTTTGACGGATCAGTCAACGACTCGTAGCGGATCTTATCCAGCGCGTCAGAAGAGTTGGAGATCAGTTCTCGCAGGAAGATTTCCTTGTTGCTGTAGAAGGTGTTGATGATGAGAGACATCAACTGGGCGATCTCCGCCTGGAAGGCGAAGGTCTCCACTTCCTCCATTGTTTCCTCAGGCATCTACAAAAGAAATTCTCCAAATTATTCCAGCCCCACTATTAAATACAACACATTCCAGCACACCAAATCATTAAATACTTTAAAATTTAACCACAAAAGCATTCAACCAAAACAGTAAATTTGTTAGAAAATCTCCTCCAGAACACAGGACCATCTATATAAAGTGAAAATTATCATTCCAAGAGTACAATATTAGCTCAATTTACATGCATTAAACATCATGGGATGTATACAACATCAACTATAAGCACAGGAGGTCTACCAGAGGTGATCCTCGGGGCCACACTATTACACTGCCACAAACATCCACACATTAACTGGATTACATTATGCTGCTTATTATTTTGGACAAACTTCTAATATCTTAATTTGATGCAGCAACTCTTCCAGTTTTAAGAAAATTTTAACCAAATCTTTCATACATTTAAATTAGTTTTGAAAAAACACGAGAGAGGGAAGCAACACGGTAACAAAGCCGGGTACAACACAGCACCACGAGGAGGGAAGCAGCACAGCACCACGAGGGAGGGACGCAACACAGCACCACGAGGGAGGGACGCAGCACAGCACCACGAGGGAGGGACGCAACACAGCACCACGAGGAGGGAAGCAGCACAGCACCACGAGGGAGGGACGCAGCACAGCACCACGAGGGAGGGACGCAACACAGCACCACGAGGGAGGGACGCAACACAGCACCACGAGGGAGGGACGCAGCACAGCACCACGAGGGAGGGACGCAACACAGCACCACGAGGGAGGGACGCAGCACAGCACCACGAGGGAGGGACGCAGCACAGCACCACGAGGAGGGACGCAACACAAAGTAACACAGCAGGAAAACAAAGATACTCACGTCTGGAATGTTAATAGTGGAATGTGTGGGAGTGAGCGTGTATGCTCTACACTGGGGTCGGCGGGACACTGGCGCGGGAATCCGCCCGCGCCACTCTTATTGCCACCCACTCAGGCCCCGCCCCCAATATCGCTCCGCCCCTGAAAACAATGTTGATTTTCTATAATAAGCTTAATAAAGCAGAGAAACCTACTTGGGAAAGAGAAAATATGTTTTTTGTGAGAAGTGGGATAGGTTAGAGTCTCGTGTGGGCGGCGTGGGCGGCGTGGGCGGCGAGGGAGGGCGGCGAGGGCGGCGCTAGTTACCGGAAGGTGACGACGACGGAGGTGAGGCGGCCGAAGGTTCCAGAAGGTTCGAGAAGGTTTTGGCGGGAAGCCTATTGATTACACGTGGTCGGCCGGCACCCCCCTGGCCGCCGCCTGGCCCGCCTCTACCTCTGCTCTACCACTCCTCTACGTGGCCACTACCACTCCTCTACGTGGCCCCTACCACTGCCGCCTCCTGCCTTGGCTCTACCTCTGCTCTACGTGGCCTTTACCACTGCTCTACGTGGCCACTACCACTGCTCTACGTGGCCACTACCACTGCTCTACGTGGCCACTACCACTGCTCTACGTGGCCACTACCACTGCCGCCTCCTGCCTTGGCTCTACCTCTGCTCTACCACTGCTCTACGTGGCTACTACCACTGCTCTACGTGGCCACTACCACTGCCGCCTCCTGCCTTGGCTCTACCTCTGCTCTACCACTGCTCTACGTGGCCTCTACCACTGCTCTACGTGGCCACTACCACTGCTCTACGTGGCCACTACCACTGCTCTACGTGGCCACTACCACTGCCGCCTCCTGCCTTGGCTCTACCTCTGCTCTACCACTGCTCTACGTGGCCTCTACCACTGCTCTACGTGGCCACTACCACTGCTCTACGTGGCCACTACCACTGCTCTACGTGGCCACTACCACTGCCGCCTCCTGCCTTGGCTCTACCTCTGCTCTACCACTGCTCTACGTGGCTACTACTACTGCTTTACGTGGCCACTACCACTGCTCTACGTGGTCCCTACCACTGCTCTACGTGGCCACTACCACTGCTCTACGTGGCCACTACCACTACCACTGCTCTACCTGGCCACCACCACCACTACCACTGCTCTACCTGGCCACCACCACCACTACCACTGCTCTACCTGGCCCCCACCACCACTACCACTGCTCTACCTGGCCCCACCACCACTACCACTGCTCTACCTGGCCACCACCACCACTACCACTGCTCTACCTGGCCCCCACCACCACTACCACTGCTCTACCTGGCCCCACCACCACCACTGCTCTACCTGGCCCCCACCACCACTACCACTGCTCTACCTGGCCACCACCACCACTACCACTGCTCTACCTGGCCCCCACCACCACCACCACTGCTCTACCTGGCCCCCACCACCACCACCACTGCTCTACCTGGCCCCCACCACCACCACCACTGCTCTACCTGGCCCCTACCACCACTACCACTGCTCTACCTGCACTGCCTAAATTCAATTTAATATAATAAGAAGATAGACTGGGAGATAATAAACAGGGAGATTGAAAAAAAAAAATCGAACAGAGACTGAAGCATTCCTATCAGACTGAAGAAAAGCAATTCAAGAAATAAAGACAAACCCAAAATATTTCTTCACATATGGCCAACATGGAGACCAATGACCTCCACAACCCTGGCCAACATGGTGACCAATGACCTCCACAACCCTGGCCAACATGGTGACCAATGACCTCCACAACCCTGGCCAACATGGTGACCAATGACCTCCACAACCCTGGCCGACATGGTGACCAATGACCTCCACAACCCTGGCCAACATGGAGACCAATGACCTCCACAACCCTGGCCAACATGGAGACCAATGACCTCCACAACCCTGGCCAACATGGAGACCAATGACCTCCACAACCCTGGCCAACATGGAGACCAATGACCTCCACAACCCTGGCCAACATGGAGACCAATGACCTCCACAACCCTGGCCAACATGGTGACCAATGACCTCCACAACCCTGGCCGACATGGTGACCAATGACCTCCACAACCCTGGCCAACATGGAGACCAATGACCTCCACAACCCTGGCCAACATGGTGACCAATGACCTCCACAACCCTGGCCAACATGGTGACCAATGACCTCCACAACCCTGGCCAACATGGAGACCAATGACCTCCGCAACCCTGGCCAACATGGAGACCAATGACCTCCACAACCCTGGCCAACATGGTGACCAATGACCTCCACAACCCTGGCCAACATGGTGACCAATGACCTCCACAACCCTGGCCAACATGGAGACCAATGACCTCCACAACCCTGGCCAACATGGTGACCAATGACCTCCACAACCCTGGCCAACATGGTGACCAATGACCTCCACAACCCTGGCCAACATGGAGACCAATGACCTCCACAACCCTGGCCAGCATGGAGACCAATGACCTCCACAACCCTGGCCAACATGGTGACCAATGACCTCCACAACCCTGGCCAACATGGAGACCAATGACCTCCACAACCCTGGCCAACATGGAGACCAATGACCTCCACAACCCTGGCCAACATGGTGACCAATGACCTCCACAACCCTGGCCAACATGGAGACCAATGACCTCCACAACCCTGGCCAACATGGTGACCAATGACCTCCACAACCCTGGCCAACATGGAGACCAATGACCTCCACAACCCTGGCCAACATAGAGACCAATGACCTCCACAACCCTGGCCAACATGGTGACCGATGACCTCCACAACCCTGGCCAACATGGTGACCAATGACCTCCACAACCCTGGCCAACATGGAGACCAATGACCTTCACAACCCTGGCCAACATGGAGACCAATGACCTCCACAACCCTGGCCAACATGGAGACCAATGACCTCCACAACCCTGGCCAACATGGAGACCAATGACCTCCACAACCCTGGCCAACATGGAGACCAATGACCTCCACAACCCTGGCCAACATGGAGACCAATGACCTCCGCAACCCTGGCCAACATGGAGACCAATGACCTCCACAACCCTGACCAACATGAAGACCAATGACCTCCACAACCCTGGCCAACATGGAGACCAATGACCTCCACAACCCTGGCCAACATGGAGACCAATGACCTCCACCACCCTGGCCAACATGGAGACCAATGACCTCCACCACCCTGGCCAACATGGAGACCAATGACCTCCACAACCCTGGCCAACATGGAGACCAATGACCTCCACCACCCTGGCCAACATGGAGACCAATGACCTCCACCACCCTGGCCAACATGGAGACCAATGACCTCCACCACCCTGGCCAACATGGAGACCAATGACCTCCACCACCCTGGCCAACATGGAGACCAATGACCTCCACAACCCTGGCCAACATGGAGACCAATGACCTCCACAACCCTGGCCAACATGGAGACCAATGACCTCCACAACCCTGGCCAACATGGAGACCAATGACCTCCACAACCCTGGCCAACATGGAGACCAATGACCTCCACAACCCTGGCCAACATGGAGACCAATGACCTCCACAACCCTGGCCAACATGGAGACCAATGACCTCCACAACCCTGGCCAACATGGAGACCAATGACCTCCACAACCCTGGCCAACATGGAGACCAATGACCTCCACAACCCTGGCCAACATGGAGACCAATGACCTCCACAACCCTGGCCAACATGGAGACCAATGACCTCCACAACCCTGGCCAACATGGAGACCAATGACCTCCACCACCCTGGCCAACATGGAGACCAATGACCTCCACCACCCTGGCCAACATGGAGACCAATGACCTCCACAACCCTGGCCAACATGGAGACCAATGACCTCCACAACCCTGGCCAACATGGTGACCAATGACCTCCACAACCCTGGCCGACATGGTGACCAATGACCTCCACCCTGGCCAACATGGAGACCAATGACCTCCACAACCCTGGCCAACATGGAGACCAATGACCTCCACAACCCTGGCCAACATGGAGGGTTGGCCAGGGTTGTGTTGGGGTGAGGTGCTGACCCCACCCTTCCAACAGCTCCACGTCACCTCCAGTAAGATAGTGTTGAGCATGAGACATAGAGGCGCTCCTAGGAAGGCTAAGCACTATAATAAGGCCTTAATAGCCATAAATGGTCAAAAATAAAGAAATAGTGTCCGTGTGGATTGTTGCGTCTCCCAGGACGACTGACGACCCTCAAGAATATAGTTACACTCTGTTCTTGGAAAAGAAATCTTCCTGACCTTGACATTCCTGTCATTTGAATCTAAATTTTGGTTTAATATGAATAACTTTATCGGTGAAATATTTTATTAAATATAACCAACATTTGTAGGTTATATATATAAGCTTTTTAAACAATCGCTGGGAAAAGCATGCAGCAGGAGTAATAATATATATCATTATCCAAACGAAGCTTTACTGAAGAAATATTAATATACATAATTTTGTACACCAAATTAATAGTGACAATAATTTGTAATTATTGTCACTAGAGAATGTTATTTCCCGCCAGTTATGGGGTGATGTGGACAGTTTGGGTCAGCTGTTGTTGTTGGTGTGCCTGCAGGTAGGTTGTGTCCGGTGTCCTGCTGTGTCCCTCCCTGTCCTGCTGTGTCCTGCTGTGTCCCTCCCTGTCCTGCTGTGTCCCTCCCTGTCCTGCTGTGTCCCTCCCTGTCTAGCTGTGTCCCTCCCTGTCCTGCTGTGTCCCTCCCTGTCTAGCTGTGTCCCTCCCTGTCTAGCTGTGTCCCTCCCTGTCCTGCTGTGTCCCTCCCTGTCTAGCTGTGTCCCTCCCTGTCCTGCTGTGTCCCTCCCTGTCTAGCTGTGTCCCTCCCTGTCCTGCTGTGTCCCTCCCTGTCCTGCTGTGTCCCTCCCTGTCCTGTTGTGTCCTGCTGTGTCCCTCCCTGTCCTGTTGTGTCCTGCTGTGTCCCTCCCTGTCCTGTTGTGTCCTGCTGTGTCCCTCCCTGTCTAGCTGTGTCCCTCCCTGTCCTGCTGTGTCCCTCCCTGTCCTGCTGTGTCCCTCCCTGTCCTGCTGTGTCCCTCCCTGTCCTGCTGTGTCCCTCCCTGTCCTGCTGTGTCCCTCCCTGTCCTGTTGTGTCCTGCTGTGTCCCTCCCTGTCCTGTTGTGTCCTGCTGTGTCCCTCCCTGTCTAGCTGTGTCCCTCCCTGTCCTGCTGTGTCCCTCCCTGTCCTGCTGTGTCCCTCCCTGTCCTGCTGTGTCCCTCCCTGTCCTGCTGTGTCCCTCCCTGTCCTGCTGTGTCCCTCCCTGTCCTGCTGTGTCCCTCCCTGTCCTGCTGTGTCCCTCCCTGTCCTGCTGTGTCCCTCCCTGTCCTGCTGTGTCCCTCCCTGTCCTGCTGTGTCCCTCAGTGTCCTGCTGTGTTCCTCAGTGTCCTGCTGTGTCCCTCCCTGTCTAGCTGTGTCCTGCTGTGTTCCTCAGTGTCCTGCTGTGTCCCTCCCTGTCTAGCTGTGTCCTGCTGTGTTCCTCAGTGTCCTGCTGTGTCCCTCCCTGTCTAGCTGTGTCCTGCTGTGTCCCTCTCTGTCTAGCTGTGTCCTGCTGTGTCCTGAGTGTCCGACGGTGTCCAGCTGTGTCCCAGGGTGAGGTGGTGATACTAGTGAGACGAGACATCCCCAGGACACGTCCAGGTACCGCCGGGAACACCGTAAATGTTGTCACGTGACCGCAGGTCCAGTGTCGCCCGGCACCGGACCCGAGGCCACCTGTGTCCTTCATAATAATTCATTGTGTTGGTGGACAGGCAGCCAGTATAATAATAATAATGTTTATTCAAGTAAACGTACATACAAAATGAGTTATAAACAGAATGTTGAATTTCCAGATAGTACTATATATATATATATATATATATATATATATATATATATATATAAAATATATATATATATATATTTAATTATAATATGTATATACATACATACACACTATGCCTAAAGCCACTAATTCGCACAGCATTCCGGGCAGGACACAACTTCGCTTTAAATTCTATTATGCCGATGGTAAAATATTTCAAATGAAGCTTATATATCTATCTTTCCTGCTACATACAAAACTCTTACGTTTATTAACAAATCTGCATGAAATAAGCATTGTTCCGAGATAAATATTGCAGTTTTCGAGCTTGACGAGCGACGAAAGCTGCCACTTTTATACAACTACAAATATCTTCGGTTTTACTTATATTTGTCTCGTAGATGTTTTTACATATAGATCCCATTTCTGTCTTTTGACTAATAAATAATTTATGTTTAATAAGTTATCAAGATGTTTAAAGCAATATTCTTTCGGCATTCGTCTGTTCCAACATGGGCGACCCTTATGGAAACACGATACTTAGGTACACCCATCCCATAGTTGGGTCTGAGTCTAACAGGGGTTCGATCATATACATATAGTACACGTTAGGTTTATATCGATGTCCCCCCTCCCCCCCATTCACAGTGTCGCATTACTAACACCCCCCTCCCCAGGATGTAACCCCACAACTCCCAGATTAACTCCTGGTTATCTATCTACTGGTATGTGAACAAAGATATTAGGTGACTGGATACGTACCCAACCATTTCTGTCCCGCCCGGGATTTGCACCTAGAATTCTCAATTGAGAGTGGAGAACGAACCCGACTGTCCTACAAGGACTTAGTAATGACTTTCCTTATACTGTGCACGTCCCAGTGGTACAGTCGGGTTCGTTCTCCACTCATTCGAGAATTCTGGGTTCATATCCTAGGTGGGACAGTAGTGGTTGGGTATGTTTCCTATCTTTTACCTAATGTGCCTGTTCACCTAGCAGTAAGTAGGTACCCAGGAGTTAGTCAGCTTGTTGTGGAGTTGCATCCTGGGCGGGGTCAGTAATTCGACCTGGGGGGAGGAGGCTCCTCGATATAAGCCTAACATGTATGAATACACTCTAGCTGCTTGTTCCCTGACACAAGGAATCATTATTATTATTTTATGTATTATAATTTTGACGTGACAAACTGTGTTGCCAGGGGTAATACTTCTGCAGATCTCTGCTAACAGTTTCACTTTACACATGTTCTCCTTGCACTGTTTTCTTCGCTTCACTTCCCGGTGCTCTCACCAACACCTTGTGTCACGGGGAAACTCGTTTGTCAGTTATATTCGGTGAAAAACGATGATCTAATGGGCCCTTTGTCTTGATGACTCTTGGTCATCATTTGGTCATTCCCCTTATCCTTATCGTACTCCTAATTATCCCCTTATTACTTATTAAGTACTCCCTTATGTGTGTTATTGGCTTTGTAAGAACACTGATATTACGTACACTCTCAACACAATGTACTTTCTTGTATATGAAAATAAAAATAAATAAAAAATATACAGTATGCAGTACAGTATTAGTAAATGTAACCTATAGTGTGTTTCTGGTCATCTAATAATTCTTCATCTTGGCCGTGGTAATTACCTAAGTGTAGTTATAGAATGAGAGCTACGCTCGTGGTGTCCCATCTTCCCAGTTCTCTGTCTCATAAATCTTTGAAACTATAGACGGTTTTGGCCTCAAACACTTTCTCACTTAACTTTTTCCAACCATCTACCACTCTGTTTGCAAAAGAATACTTTCTAATATTTTTTTGGCACCTTTGTTTATTTAGCTTGAATCTGGCTATTAGGTTACCCCGCACTTTTTCAAACCATTGTTCCTTTTGGGGTTTCCTTAGACTGTCATAGATATCTCTAAATCTTGCATTTCCTGAGGGGAGCTCGAACATCTTAACGTCTTGGAACTCTTGGATTTTCTACAATCTGCTTTTGCATCTTCAGTTTGGCCAAAAATTGTTTATATTCTGTCAGCTAACAAATGTAAACACAGAAGATGCCTAATTTTAGCTGTAAATTTTCTTATGTCATATAATTATGTTGTAGAATATTATGATGTAATTCTTCTGCAACATGGTAATTGTTGTGTGATGACCAAATTTAAATCATGGGTAATAATGTTGATACAGGATGGCTGGAGATGGCAAACAGATGACTAAACTGAACTTGGAGCGTGACTCGCCAAATCTGAGCCGAGCTCAGCTTGACTATATGAGGCTCGTCGAAAATCAGGTGAGGAACATATTTTGGGAAGTGAAGCATAGTGCTAACGTTATGTAATCTTTCAGTGGCACTATTTCCTGCATCCCAAATCTGTAAATAACTGGGGGTAAGGGACTTGATCCAGTGCCTGTAATTAGGATAAAAATCACACTGAAGACATCACTTTAAGCATCATCGATGATTCTGTAGTTCTTAAATTTAATACACATACAGTAGTTGTACTATATAATTGAAATGTACTTTTATGGTTAAATCTTTCATATATAGTGTACAGGTTTTGACCTTGTTGTGCAGTGTAGTTGTTTGATAGTAAGTGTTGTGTTATAGCCACACAAGATAAAGTTGCTGGTCTCCAGACACTTCAAGAACCTTGTTTACATTCTCTGTGGACTAAACAAAAGTTATCATAACTTTTGGAATAAATTTAATATATATGAATATAAAGATGAGATTTTCTGTAAGATGACATGAGAATGGATGCTGTATATACAATACCAAAGGATATATTAACTAAAACAGGGCAATGTTGTGTGTGTTATTATGGCATCATAAGAACATAACAATTATGGAGTACAGGAGCAAGCATGTTGGCCTATACTAGCAGGTCCTAGTTACTACCCTGTCTCAACCATGCACTTGTTTAACTTATTCTTGAGTCCTGTGGAGCTGTTTGACTCAATGATGCTAGTCTGCAGGCTCCTACACTCATCCACAACCCTATTCTTAAACCAATACTTTCCTACTTGTATCCCTTTAAAAAAAATCTTATCCGACTTGTATCTGTGTTGGAGGGTGTGACCTGGTCACACAGTGCCCTGTGTTGGAGGGTGTGACCTGGTCACACAGTGCCCTGTGTTGGCGGGTGTGACCTGGTCACACAGTGCCCTGTGTTGGAGGGTGTGACCTGGTCACACAGTGCCCTGTGTTGGAGGGTGTGACCTGGTCACACAGTGCCCTGTGTTGGAGGGTGTGACCTGGTCACACAGTGCCCTGTGTTGGAGGGTGTGACCTGGTCACACAGTGCCCTGTGTTGGAGGGTGTGACCTGGTCACACAGTGCCCTGTGTTGGAGGGTGTGACCTGGTCACACAGTGCCCTGTGTTGGAGGGTGTGACCTGGTCACGCAGTGCCCTGTGTTGGAGGGTGTGACCTGGTCACGCAGTGCCCTGTGTTGGAGGGTGTGACCTGGTCACACAGTGCCCTGTGTTGGAGGGTGTGACCTGGTCACACAGTGCCCTGTGTTGGAGGGTGTGACCTGGTCACACAGTTCAGAACCTGGTTCATATTTCCCCGTGTTTTATGCCCCCGACATGTACCTCTTCATCCTGCATCTCGACCTGTTGCTCAATAGTTGCTCCAGTATCTAGGATGTTATGTGAATTATGAAACGCAGTAGGCCATGTGCAGAGCCCTGCGGCACACCACTAGTGACGTTCATTCTCTGTGGCTCCTTGCTGTTTGCTCCCCCTGTGATTGCACAATCTGATAGCCAAGGGCATTGTGTAATCTTGCATGATGAAATATTGCATGATTAGGCTCAAAAAGAGGCTTTTCATACTGACTCGAAGCTTTATTTAATTGCAGTATATTTTTTTTGCATACTTATGTTTATTGAAAGATTTTTATCATGTTTGTTACAGAACTTGGAGCGGGTACAGAAGCTAGCCAGGTTGAGACGGAACAACATTATTGTGGGCTCAAGCTTAGGACTGGCAGCTCTCAGCATCTATGGCTATGCTATATATTCCGTTAAACAGGAGAAGTTCTTGGATGAATTAGAGTGAGAGAGATGCTACAGCCTTGGTTAAGAGGCTGGCAGTTAGTTGGATTAAATCTGGTATTCCAGTAATGTTATAATTTCTAATTATAATAAATTAGAATTGTGGATTCTCTTGGTTACATTTACTTGTTTTTTCTTGTGTGATGAGATTTATGTAGGCGAGAAAAATGTTCTATTTATAAGACTTTGTAGATCTCGGTTTAAAGTGTATATTATACTGTAGTTTCTTTTATTTATTGATTACCAATAAAGTCATATTGGCTTGGCACGTTTTTCAAGTAATTAAAATTTCTGATTACCTCTGAGGTCTGAATGTGTAGCAAGGTGCCATGAAGGTGGGAATGGAGGAAGAACTAGATATAAGGAGGTCGGTCCCTTTCTCCTTCCAAGATGTGTCGATAACAACCTATTAGATCGAATCATTGTAGGAGAACGTGGGTGATATGTGGGTATGATTGATTCTGTAATGATCACCATGGGAGTGTATAGTGATTGCTATGGTAGTGCATAGAGATTGCCATGGGATTGCATAGAGATTGTCATGGGATTGCATAAAGATTGTCATGGGATTGCATAGAGATTGCCGTGGGATTGGATGGAGATTGTCAGGGGAGACCGATTCAAAATCATTTTGGGTCGCCAAATTTAAAGGCATTGACTAGCATAATGGATAGTTAAAGTGGTGTACACGAGGAGGTGAAGTGTGGGTCATTCAGTAAGGATTGTCTTTAGTGTCACCTGATATGTTTGTTTGATAATGTACTTGTCAGTAGATATTTATCATGTAATAGAATATTGTAGCATATTTGCTAATATATTAATAAAGATGAATAAAATCTTTATCTTTAACAAAATGCAATTTGTCTGATCGGGAATGGTGCTCACGATAAGAGGTTAAACTTGACTTCTTATTGTGTTGTGATATGGAGAGATTTCCCTGTATAAGGATGAGTAGTTGGTATGTTGGGAGCCGGTCGGCCGAGCGGACAGCATGCTGGACTTGTGATCCTGTGGTCCTGGGTTCGATCCCAGGTGCCGGCGAGAAACAATGGGCAGAGTTACTCTCACCCTATGCCCCTGTTACCTAGCAGTAAAATAGGTACCTGGGTGTTAGTCAGCTGTCACGGGCTGCTTCCTGGGGCCTTCCTGGGGCCTTCCAACCAGGCCTGGTTGAGGACCGGGCCGCGGGGACACTAAAAAGCCCCGAAATCATCTCAAGATAACCTCAAGATGTGGCCACTGGAGGGTAGATGCTAATTAGCTGGGGGCAGCTCATTGTTGAGTACAAGTTACCCACGGACCAAAGAGTCTATAATAACTCGTCTAGTGCTGTCCGGCAAAGATTTGCATCACGATTTGCTTGTCTCTGAAATACAGTACATTGTTTGTAAAGAAAAAGAAAATAATAATGATCTATAATAGTACAGTACTATACCGAACAGAACAGTGTTCATCTATTATTATTCTTATTGGTGAGGGTGTTTCCTCAACCTGTTCTCATAGCTGAGCCTTCTCAATTCTGGTAATAATCTAGTTGCAAACCTCTGGACTTTCTCAAACTTCTTTTTTGTGCCTTTATTGTTTTTCTTGACCACACTTATATGTGTCGCTTACCTCCGGAGACTAGCATCGTTACAGCGGAACATTATGCTATTCTCTATGCTCTTTGTCTCTTGCTGTCTCGTTGTCAATCTTCCTTTGTGGTTGTCGTTGACTCTTGCAGTGCCTCGTGGCTCGTGGGTTCTTTAATCCGGTCCATCCAGTGGTCGTCGAGATGTAACATTGGCTGTTTCTTATTTCCAGTAAATTTAAGTCAGTTGAGTCTTGTTGGGTTCCCAACCACATTGGTGTCTCTTTAAATGAGCGTGCGGATGCTGCCGCTAGGGAAGCTGTCTGCTTTTGTCCCATCTCCCGTAAAGGTATTCCTTATTCCGACTTTTACCCAGTTATTCATTCCTCCATCCTTACCCGTTGGCAGGATTGTTGGTCTTCTGTTACTGGTAACAAACTGTGTACTCTTAAGTGTAGTGTGTCCTCGTGGCCTTCTTCCTACCACCATAACCGGCAATGGGAAACGGCTCTGACGAGGTTGCGTATTGGCCATACACACTTAACTCAGTCACTTAATGGAGCGCTGCCCCTGCTTCTTATTGTCCCTCTTATGGTCGTGCATATCCTTGTTGAATGTCCCGACTTCCAGGATGAGCGTGTGTCTTGCTTTCCAACCATCCCTCGCGGTTGCTTATCCCTCGATAGAATTTTTGGTGAATCGAATACTTTTGATATTGTTCACCTTATGCGTTTCTGTTCTCGTACTGGCATCCTTGGTGATATTTAGCGCCTCTGATTGTTCTGCACATTTGCTGGTGCTACATAGCCTTCCCGGTTTGGTGCCTTCTTTTGATAATTACTTACTTCTTTTTTGTGCTTTACAAGGTGTGAGTTCTATGCTGGTACTGCACACTTGAGAAATGGTCCAATATAGACAGTGTGTGAATCTAAACTTGGAGACTTAATAGCCTCCATGTTAGATTCTTAAATGATATTCTTATGTTTGTTAGCATTACATATGTTGATGATATCCTTTTCGCCCAAGCTTCGGATGTTAGTGTAAGCCTATGGAAGTTTGGCACCAGTTCGTGGAAATTTGTTACTGGTGTGCAGTTTTTGGGGGTGACCAGAGATCATGGTTATTGTAAACACATTGGCCAAGTGTCAGTCCACACCGAAGATCCCTGACACCAACACATCTAAGATCTCATCATTGCAAACTCATAATTACTAACTAGTGGCCTGCCAGCCTTGACAGATCTTAACTCTAACTGATAAGGAAAACTTCTGAGTGACATTATGCAGGCTGGTTTAAGATGTAAATCATCAGGTGAGGGATTTATTCTGCAATAGTTTATTGTTTGCATATGCTCGTCCTATGATAGGTTACAGTAAAATTGGGCACCTATTTCAGTTATGACCTATGATAATTTGTCCTCGTGGCTTTTCTTGTATTGCTGAAAAAAAAGTGGGGAATGTCCTTAGCCACACAAGGTTAACAAAGGGCACTTATGTACCAGAATCCTGCCTCCTAACTGTCCATTGTTCAGCAAGTTATACATTTCATAATAAAATGTCTTATGCACAATAACATCACATTAACGTGATGTATCAAAGAGAAAACCAATAGGAGCCAAATTAACCAAGTTATTGTTGTATCTGTAATCCCTAATTATCTCCTTGAAATAAATATTGGTGAAATTATGATTTAAGGTGAGACAAAGACATTAGTATGCATATGTACTTTTAATAGGGTGCTTATCACTGTGTATAACACAGGTACTGAACCATCTGTCTGATGGCCAAGGTTTGGAAACTTGACAATGTTCAGAGAATAAGTTGGTGTGACATACAAGATACTTGTTACAAACATGGGAGACCGGGACATGGGACACAGGGAGAGTTGCCTCAGTGACACTACCCAGGCAGAACATGTGCTTCACAATACTTCTCGAGTGACGTATCATACGTGTAGCTTAATCCAGAAATGTTTAGTTTTCTCGAGAGGTCGCATAATATATAAACCTACATTATGATCACTGACCGTCTACACAAACTTCTTAGTAAAAGACTGTAACAAAGAATTTTGCATTGCTGTCTTGCATACAAGTTCAAGACTGATGTTAATTGTTAAATTATTTGCATTTTGTATTAGTTTACAGTGAGCACATTCTGCTGCTCATGGAAGAGTTGGTTAACCTGACTGTCCTTCCACTTATATGATAGTAAGTTAACTCTTGAAGGGCTTACAAATGAATGCAAAACCTTAGCTGTAATATTTGTTGTTCAAGAACAATTTTGCAGTGGCAGAAAGGCATAAACTAGGTGGGAGGTCTGGCTAACCTGAGCCACCAAGACCTGGGGGCTTGATTATATGCTTTCAATTAATGGAAAACCTGGGCTGGTGGCTAGACTGAAGAGGAACTTGGAAAAGGCGAGTGGTAATGGAGGTTCTTCATACGGAAGTAAAATAAGGTTGTAACGAGCAGATTAGATTCTTTAAAATTATTTTTGTTTGAGCTTTCTCTTTATTGATTTTAATTTAAAACTAGGAATAAAACTTCAGTGGCGAATAAAATAAACAAAGAGAAATTACAAATTATACATTGTTTAATAATTCTTGTAGAGAGTTCTGCACTAGGTGATATAAAATTAAAGTCTAGTTCAGCTAAATTACTTTGTTACTTTGACTAAAAGTTCAATAAGAAGTTGTCAGTGTAGAGTTCAACAGGTGGCAATATTGCCACGTTATCATGGAATACATTGATAACAATAAAGATAACTGCAAAAGCCCTGCTGATCTATGTGAGGCAACTCCTATTCATATCCAATCAAGCTCACTTATATACACACAGTATGTCTAGGGCAAGCTTGAAACAATCCGGTGATCTCACGTCTATTATGTTACCCAGTAATTTCCTCCGTAAATCAACACCCTTATTTCCAGAGTAATATTTACCCAGGTCTTTTTTGAAACTAAACTTTATGCAATTTGTTCCCATTGTCTTGTGTTCTATTATGTGTCAATATATTTAACTTGTTATTAGTATTCCCTTTGCTGTACCCTTTCATTCATTTGAGTACTGTACTTCAGTCATATCACTATTCTGTCTCCTGAGAATGCAAATTAAGCTTTCTTAATTTCTCTTTATAAAGAAAGTTTCTAATTCCTGGAATTAACTTTGTCATTCTACTCTGAACACACTCAAGTAAATTTTCGACCATTCTATAGTGTGTCGACCAAAACTAAACTGCATAATCTAAATGGGGCCTAACAAAGGTAGTTACCTATCTTGTCGTTATCTTGCAACGACTCTAGAGGTCAAGGTCCCTGCGGCATTCTCTGACCTGGCCTTCTGGCCAAGATATAACTGAAGGATATAATTAATATCATATTGCTAATGCTTCTAGATACGAATCTGAGCATCCTATTCCATACGTATAAACGTTGATTAAGATCCCTCCTAACCATGACTCCCAGAATAGGGATGGTATGTTGACAATACCAAGTCTGTTTTGTTTATGTAATTTCCACATATCCATCTGATGTCTGCAACTATCATTTCCTAGGAATTATTTACCTTATATTTATCAGCATTAAGCTGATGCATCTGCCAATCTTTTGTTAATTTTAAAAGCATATTTAAATCATCTTGTAGCAATTTTGAGTCTTCTGACCTTATTTCTTGACCTATTTTTGTTTTTATGTTTGAAAATGATACTGTTCAATCCTTTCTAATTTATATGCTGTATTGTAGAGAGAGAGATACCCCCCTTGGGGTACTCCACCTGTAATGGTGTTCCACTTGGATTTAACTTTATGCAAACCCTCTTTCTCTCCTGGAAATAACCATGCCCTAATCCAACTTAGGATAACCCCTTTAGTTCCGTGCACTTCTAATTTTCTAATAATCTTTTGTGAGGCACAATATCAAAGGCTTTGCTGTATTCAAAGTAAAGAATATCACAATCCACAATAATATACTGAACTTAGGACTGGGCTCAGGTACTGAACATGGAATACTACTTACTATGTCAGGGATTCTTACACTGTACAACTATTTGAGTATAAGTATAATGTACAGATGTACAGTATATGATAGACGAGAAAAACCAAGCTAGCGCCTCTGTTATCTTCCCGTGGTGTTTATATATAGGACAGTACTGTACTTGATTATTATGATTGTTGAGAAAATATTCCATGAATAATTGGATATTTTTGTAGAGAATCATTTTCTGACAGGCATTAAATCAAGAGGAATAATGATTTTTAAATATGCAGTACAGTATTGTATACAACGGAGGTATGTCGGTGAATGTATTGGCAGTTTTCTTTCATGTTAATAACTGTGTTGGTCCTTTGTTGTGGTATGTGTGCAGAGTACCGAGTGGTCGTGTTATGTTGTGGTATGTGTGCAGAGTACAGAGTGGCCGTGTTATGTTGTGGTATGTGTGCAGAGTACCGAGTGGCCGTGTTATGTTGTGGTATGTGTGCAGAGTACCGAGTGGCCGTGTTATGTTGTGGTATGTGTGCAGAGTACCGAGTGGCCGTGTTATGTTGTGGTATGTGTGCAGAGTACCGAGTGGCCGTGTTATGTTGTGGTATGTGTGCAGAGTACCGAGTGGCCGTGTTATGTTGTGGTATGTGTGCAGAGTACCGAGTGGTCGTGTTATGTTGTGGTATGTGTGCAGAGTACCGAGTGGCCGTGTTATGTTGTGGTATGTGTGCAGAGTACCGAGTGGTCGTGTTATGTTGTGGTATGTGTGCAGAGTACAGAGTGGCCGTGTTATGTTGTGGTATGTGTGCAGAGTACCGAGTGGCCGTGTTATGTTGTGGTATGTGTGCAGAGTACCGAGTGGCCGTGTTATGTTGTGGTATGTGTGCAGAGTACCGAGTGGCCGTGTTATGTTGTGGTATGTGTGCAGAGTACCGAGTGGCCGTGTTATGTTGTGGTATGTGTGCAGAGTACCGAGTGGTTGTGGTATGTGTGCAGAGTACCGAGTGGCCGTGTTATGTGTGCAGAGTACCGAGTGGCCGTGTTATGTGTGCAGAGTACCGAGTGGCCGTGTTATGTGTGCAGAGTACCGAGTGGCCGTGTTATGTGTGCAGAGTACCGAGTGGCCGTGGTATGTGTGCAGAGTACCGAGTGGCCGTGTTATGTGTGCAGAGTACCGAGTGGCCGTGTTATGTGTGCAGAGTACCGAGTGGCCGTGGTATGTGTGCAGAGTACCGAGTGGCCGTGTTATGTGTGCAGAGTACCGAGTGGCCGTGTTATGTGTGCAGAGTACCGAGTGGCCGTGGTATGTGTGCAGAGTACCGAGTGGCCGTGTTATGTGTGCAGAGTACCGAGTGGCCGTGTTATGTGTGCAGAGTACCGAGTGGCCGTGGTATGTGTGCAGAGTACCGAGTGGCCGTGTTATGTGTGCAGAGTACCGAGTGGCCGTGGTATGTGTGCAGAGTACCGAGTGGCCGTGTTATGTGTGCAGAGTACCGAGTGGCCGTGTTATGTGTGCAGAGTACCGAGTGGCCGTGGTATGTGTGCAGAGTACCGAGTGGCCGTGTTATGTTGTGGTATGTGTGCAGAGTACCGAGTGGTTGTGGTATGTGTGCAGAGTACCGAGTGGTTGTGGTATGTGTGCAGAGTACCGAGTGGTTGTGGTATGTGTGCAGAGTACCGAGTGGCCGTGTTATGTTGTGGTATGTGTGCAGAGTACCGAGTGGTTGTGGTATGTGTGCAGAGTACCGAGTGGTTGTGGTATGTGTGCAGAGTACCGAGTGGTTGTGGTATGTGTGCAGAGTACCGAGTGGCCGTGGTATGTGTGCAGAGTACCGAGTGGCCGTGGTATGTGTGCAGAGTACCGAGTGGCCGTGGTATGTGTGCAGAGTACCGAGTGGCCGTGTTATGTTGTGGTATGTGTGCAGAGTACCGAGTGGTTGTGGTATGTGTGCAGAGTACCGAGTGGTTGTGGTATGTGTGCAGAGTACCGAGTGGTTGTGGTATGTGTGCAGAGTACCGAGTGGCCGTGGTATGTGTGCAGAGTACCGAGTGGCCGTGGTATGTGTGCAGAGTACCGAGTGGTTGTGGTATGTGTGCAGAGTACCGAGTGGCCGTGTTATGTGTGCAGAGTACCGAGTGGCCGTGTTATGTTGTGGTATGTGTGCAGAGTACCGAGTGGCCGTGGTATGTGTGCAGAGTACCGAGTGGCCGTGGTATGTGTGCAGAGTACCGAGTGGCCGTGGTATGTGTGCAGAGTACCGAGTGGCCGTGGTATGTGTGCAGAGTACCGAGTGGCCGTGGTATGTGTGCAGAGTACCGAGTGGCCGTGGTATGTGTGCAGAGTACCGAGTGGCCGTGGTATGTGTGCAGAGTACCGAGTGGCCGTGGTATGTGTGCAGAGTACCGAGTGGCCGTGGTATGTGTGCAGAGTACCGAGTGGTTGTGGTATGTGTGCAGAGTACCGAGTGGCCGTGTTATGTGTGCAGAGTACCGAGTGGCCGTGGTATGTGTGCAGAGTACCGAGTGGCCGTGGTATGTGTGCAGAGTACCGAGTGGCCGTGTTATGTGTGCAGAGTACCGAGTGGCCGTGTTATGTGTGCAGAGTACCGAGTGGCCGTGGTATGTGTGCAGAGTACCGAGTGGCCGTGGTATGTGTGCAGAGTACCGAGTGGCCGTGGTATGTGTGCAGAGTACCGAGTGGCCGTGGTATGTGTGCAGAGTACCGAGTGGCCGTGGTATGTGTGCAGAGTACCGAGTGGCCGTGGTATGTGTGCAGAGTACCGAGTGGTTGTGGTATGTGTGCAGAGTACCGAGTGGCCGTGTTATGTGTGCAGAGTACCGAGTGGCCGTGGTATGTGTGCAGAGTACCGAGTGGCCGTGGTATGTGTGCAGAGTACCGAGTGGCCGTGTTATGTGTGCAGAGTACCGAGTGGCCGTGTTATGTGTGCAGAGTACCGAGTGGCCGTGGTATGTGTGCAGAGTACCGAGTGGCCGTGGTATGTGTGCAGAGTACCGAGTGGCCGTGGTATGTGTGCAGAGTACCGAGTGGCCGTGTTATGTGTGCAGAGTACCGAGTGGCCGTGTTATGTGTGCAGAGTACCGAGTGGCCGTGGTATGTGTGCAGAGTACCGAGTGGCCGTGTTATTATATAACATCACGTACTATTCTGCTGCCAATTATCGTCCTTCTTGCCTTCTCTCTTTACTACCCGGCCAACTGTTGCTTGTCAAAATACTGCACATGTAAGCATAAATAATTGGTTACACTTGATGACTTATTTCTAACCATGCAAATGATTTCCTGTTTTAAAATTTATTAAAAAATTTCCAAATTTTTAACATTTTACATAATGCTACATTGTACCAAGTAGCTTCATCAGCAGCATCTTCTGTACATAATAAATTTGCCCTATAAGTAACATGTAATTTTGTTCCAGCTATACATGAAGCCTGTCGTGATTCTTGTGTGTTTTTATCAGTTTGAATGTTAAATGCCCCGAGGCTGGTGAACGCCATCTCCAGAGACGGCGGCTCAGTGTCTTCAAACACTTGATACACACAACTTCTGTGCCACTCACCGCTTTACACGTCCTCACTTGCCTCACAAACACAATACAAACACACAATTCTTGCCTGAGTTTAAATCATTAGATAAAAGTATTCAGCATCCAAATTTCGTATACATCTTACATATAACAAGTCTTTATAATATACATATATATATATATATATATATATATATATATATATATATATATATATATATATATATATATATATATATATATATATATATATATATAAAATTTATATATTTATATTCTTGAACTTCTTGATCACAGCAAAAAGACTCCAATTTCATTTAGATACTAAAACTAATCAACTTGCAGGATTTCCTATGGGTTCAACTACACCATCGTCAACTTGTCGTGATATACTGATCTCTGTGCGAGTTGCAAATCGTATCCGTGGGGTTGTAGGAGATGGTACTGGTGTGCTTGTAGTTGTGGTGGCTGGTTGGACAGTTGAGGTTGGCTTGTGGGGAACATTGAAAAAGCGGGTGGTGGCAGCATGTGGTAGACTAGTGGTGGGTGTCCGTACAGACGATAGTGTGTGAGATACAGTGGGCGATGAGATGGTAGGTGGCCGACTCGTTGTAACCTGCAGTGTTGTGGGACGAGTAGTTGCGGCAGGACGAGATAGTATGGTGCTCCCGTTTTCGTCGAGAGGGTTCGATGACCCGGCTGGGTTGCTCTCCTGCAAAACAAAGTATACTTAATTATTCTATATATTTACAGATTTGACTAGTGTGTATATAATATGAAGTGCAATATAGCTGAGTGTTGGTGTGGATGACTGGTGGAGTGTTGCGCTGCTTGTTTGTCCCTCGTGCTATACTGTATTGTGAAGAATATTATAAGAGGCAAGTGATATTTATAAGGCTTTATTCACTAAATTTATTTTACTCGCTAAATTGTATTAATATTTTTTCTCAGCATTGATGCCTCCCCACCTCATGATATTATTCCATTTACCACTGATAATTTGTACAAATTTTTGTATAAACTCTCACTCCAATTCCCTTGATCGCCTCTCTCTGATGCCTCCTCCTGATCTGGACTCCATCAGTCCACTTCTGGCCCATCCTACTGCCTCCTTGACTCAATCTTCTTTGGTAGATTTACCTATGCCCCCTAACTCTGATTTCGCTGAACCTGATCCTCCCTATATACTGTGTTCTTCTTTGCTTTTCTCTTGTTATCTCTGTTCTTGACAACGTCTCTTCTTTAATGGAATATTTGTGGTTTTTGTGCTGTCTTCCATGAACTTCAACTTCTGATCATGCAGTTTTTGCAGCTTTGTGGCTGTCTCCAGGAGCTGATGCTTGGCACTCGTCCTGGGGCCAGATTCACGAAAGCACTTACGCAAGCACTTACGAACCTGTACATCTTTTCTCAATCTTTGGCAGCTTTGTTTCCAGTTATTAAACAGATAATGAGCTCCAAAGCACCAGGAGGCTGTTTATAACAATAACAACAGTTGAATGGGAAGTTTTCATGCTTGCAAACTGTTTAATAAATGTAACCAAAGCCGTCAAAGATTGAGGAAAGATGTACACGTTCGTAAGTACTTGCGTAACTGCTTTCGTGAATCTGGCCCCTGGTCGCTTCCACAGTTACTCCTTTCTCTCTTCCCCTCCAACTTTTACTGGGGCTCCTAACTATACTGTTATCTTAATCTGTAATGGTATTCCCTTTGTCCCCCGTCTTTTCTAGTCGTCTATTCATTCCTCTGCTGCCCATATCTTTATGAATAAATGGTGCATTGTCTGTTCCATTTATCTCTCTCCAAATGCTCCACTTTCTCTTCCTGATCTTAAACACCTGTTGAACTCTTTACTTCTTTATGAGCTAGTGCTCCTTTTGGGCGATTTTAACTCACTGCCCTCTGGGGAGATGTTCTAACAAATACCTGAGGCTGTCTTCTCGAACCTTTTGTCCTTTCCTTCTTCTTTGCCTCTTCTTAATTCTGGTGAACCAACACATGTTGACTCATGCACTTGCCCCCGTTTTCCTGACTTGATCTTTCTTTCTGCTCATTCTCTCTTTACTTGGATATCACACGGTAGGTTCTTGATGACCAAAACAATGACCATTTCCCCACCTTTTGTCATCTTTTCTTGTCACCCTCTACTCTCCTTCCCAAGGTGGCAGTATGACAAGGCCGACTGGAATCTATTCACCCTCTATGCTAATTTTTATGACGTCTCTGATCTGCCTCTCCCTCGAGCCCTCCTTTTTCATGACACCGCCTTTGACGCTGCTCTCTGCTTTGTTCCTTGCTTAACCTCCCGTGGCACACGGAAGTGTGTTTCCTGGTGGAATTTGGACTGTCCTCGGCTGCCCAATGTGAGCATGCAGCCTGGGAAAAAATATCCCGTCAAAGTGCTATATAGTCATAATGGCTTGATGCTTTCTCTCTTGAAGGTTCCCTTTGACTTTTCCTGTAACACTTTTTCTTCACACTCCCGCTCCATTGCCCTCCTCACAGATGGGTCTACGTCTGTCAACAGTGTAGGCTACTCCGCCGTGTAGCCTACACGAGCTTTTGTTTTCGTATTTGCATGCTTAGTGATATTTAGCAGTTTTTGACTCTGCTGTGACTTTGATGGTGCTACATAGTCTCCCCTGACTTGGTGCTGCCTTTTGATAATTACTTACTGGAGGCCTGAGACAGCTGATATACCCAAAATACACTCAGGACTTTTAAATCTTACACAATACTCTAAATCATTTATGTATGATATGACAGTGGAATAGTTGAGCATCAACAAAATTGAGAGAACTCCAAAATGTGACAACATATATATATACAGTACTCTCATATGTAAAGGAATGATGAAAGTGGAAGAAGTTTAATTTACATTTGTGAAATTTACTCACCTCAGTTACTCCTCCAAGATGAAGATCTGGGAACTTATTGATGGCCTTCACGATGTCCTGATCATCGACGACCAAAACATTGTCGATGAGGTACACAATACCCAAGTTGTAGATGAATGTCTGCGATTGTACCACCTGAGCATTGTTCACCAGTATGCTCTTATCTGGAAAAGAAAATTGGGTGAAAATATATACATATATACATACTGTGAACTTAATTGTTGAACAAACTTGGAAAGGAAATTATGTTGAAAAAGCATTAATTTGCTTATTTAATAAAACGTGTATTTTTGTTGCCGTATTCAAGTGTGAAAACTGTATACAGTACAACAAACCTTTACAACACAGTGCTTGAATAGAAGAGCATTAAAGTTACTGGGTGTGAGGTTCATTTTTGTGCAGTAAGTTATTGTATACAAGTAATGGGTGGCAGGACGTAACTAAACTTCAGAATGGAACTTGCACTCACAAAGGACAGCAAAGTCAGTTTCAGTTGCAAGAAATAAGGCAGTAAAGTACAGTACCTGGTCTCTTAGAGATGGTTATTGTATTGTTCGCAAGATTTTTCAAGGAAAGTCCATCTTTCAAATCTTTCTCGTAAAATCGGCCTCGTACTAGGTGATTGAGCACGAGATTTTCTCGGAGGATCTCGTCAAGTAGGAATGGGTCGGGAGCGTCGGCGTAGAGTGTTTCAGCGATGGCGTTGTCAACGGGGATGAATGCTGTGTACTTCAGTGGGTCTAGATTTTCTGTGAAAAAAAATTTAGAATTTATTTTTGTTTACAAAATATTATGGACTACTTTATTAACATGAACTGAAACTGAAACTTATTTTTGTTTACAAAATATTATGGACTACTTTATTAACATGAACTGAAACTGAAACTTATTTTTGTTTACAAAATATTATGGACTAGTTTATTAACATGAACTGAAACTTTACTACTGGGAGAGGAGAGAAATGTTGTTAGTTTCCATTTAAGAACTTCCTCCATTTTGGCAAAATCTGTATTACAAGACAATAATGGAAATACTGTATAGTAACTACTAGTATTACAAGACAGGTACAGTACATACAATATTTGCAGTTTTCTCAGTCATGTTAAGCTTATTTAATTTTGAAGATTAAACACTTATTTATTGATATTTTTTTAACTTCATGTGAGATACACTAATGGTGCGTACACTGTAAGACGTGTGTGGACAATAATGGAGTGTACACTGTAAGACTATTGTGTGTGTGAACAATAATGGTGTGTACACTGTAAGACTGGAGTCTATAGACAATAATGGTTCATACAATCTTATGGCAAGCACTGATGTTTGATCTTCAATGTTTAAGGAATTGTTAAAGGTGTGAAGTGAATGGCGCAAGTAGACTTCAACGTTCACATCTGGTGAACAGACACGTGTGCACAGATGGATGTAAGCGACTACAATTTGACGTGAATTGTAATTTCATCTTGCATCAAAATTTTATGTTGTATACTGTGAATGAATTAAATATGCTAATTCATAGAAGCCAAGTGATGTACTCTGCTGAGTGGGCACCACTGGTTGAAAGTGACCGACGTTATGTAGTAAACAGAATGTAATGTCAGTCACTTTCAACCAATAGTACCCACTGGGTGGATGGTGTATTTACCGAAGTGGAAGCAAAGTATCATACTAGATGGTGTATACTTTTGTAAAAGCCAAGTATCATACTAGATGGTGTATACTTTTGTAAAAGCCAAGTATCACACTAGATGGTGTATACTTTTGTAAAAGCCAAGTGACACTGGATGGTGTATACTTTCATAGAAGCCAAGTGATATACAGGATGGTGTATACCTTCATAGGAAACAAGTGATATACAGGATATTGTATATACCATCATGTTCAACATCCTCCCAGCGAGTATAAGAAATATTGCCGGATTAACCGTGGACACCTTCAAGAGAAAACTAGATAGTTTTCTTCAAGTGCCGGACCAACCGGGCTGTGGTGGGTATGTGGGCCTGCGGGCCACTCCAAGCAACAGCCTATTGGACTAAGCTCTCACAAGTCAAGCCTGGCCTCGGGCTGAGCTTGGGGAGCAGAAGAATTCCCAGAACCCCATCACGCAGATACCTATGTAGAAGCCAGGTGACATAATCAGGACATGGGGTAAAAGAGCACGACTCTTACCATCATGACCAGGTAGGAGGTAAGCGAGGTTGGTAAGGTTGAGGTACTCTGCGAAGAAGGAGGTCCGGGTCTCATCTTGTAGGTGGCCTAGTAGATGGGAGAGAAACTGGGAGGTGGGCCACGGGTTCCCCAACAAGGGAGCCGTCTCCAAGTCGCCATGCTCTGCTTGCAGTTCCAATACCTGTGTACAAAATTTTAATTGGAATAATGGCCAGTTGGAATTACTGTAGTAAGTAAGGCACTGCCAATGTCAGTCAACCATTGAAATCAGAATAACTATAAATAATCATTTTATGCACATAATTGATTGTATAATACAGGAAGTTTATACATTCAGCCCTCCTGCCTCTACCATTTATCTGCATGAGTAACACGCTCTCCTGCCTCTACCATTTATCTGCATGAGTAACACGCTCTCCTGCCTCTACCATTTATCTGCATGTTGAACACGCCCTCCTGCCTCTACCATTTATCTGCATGTTGAACACGCTCTCCTGCCTCTACCATTTATCTGCATGAGTAACACGCTCTCCTGCCTCTACCATTTATCTGCATGTTGAACACGCTCTCCTGCCTCTACCATTTATCTGCATGTTGAACACGCTCTCCTGCCTCTACCATTTATCTGCATGAGTAACACGCTCTCCTGCCTCTACCATTTATCTGCATGTGTAACATGCTCTCCTGTCTCCACCTTTACTGTCTACATGTAATATGCTTTCCTGCCTCAAACCTCTCTACCATTTCAAGTTTCATATACTGTATGTACAGTATTTTGATATGAGGAATACATGTTGAGGCTGCATATTCTAGGACTGGTAGAATAGGTCGTGCAGATGGTGTTGTGTTTTTACTTATCAATGTTCCTGAAGGTTGTTCTGATGTTTGCATGTTTCAAGTATGGCACTGATGTATCCTATTTGTGTATGCCTTGGGGTAAGCTGCTGTTATGTTTTTTCTTAGATCTTTTTCTTTAGTTAATTTATGGTGGCAATTTTGGGTATATTGTGCACTGTCCTGTCTGTCCCCCCTTTTCTTCACCTAACACTTACTGATACCGGTACTGACTTCCAATAGTCATCTCGGACTACAGTAACTGTGGCAACTTCCTCATCCAATCCATTCCATAATTTATGACTTGCATAAATAAATGGAAAAGATCAGATCTTGAATGTAATGCCATTGGTTCAGATCTACAGAGCATCAACTCTTTTTTTTCTTTTTGTTAAATAGGTTTGGGCACAGCAGTGTGCTGCTGTCCTATTCTCTGTGAAGGATTACAGAATACAGGTCAAGAGGCAGCTATGTTCCGCTAATATTCCTGTCTCACACGATGGTTGGTCATCAGTCTTATAATATCCCTACATGAATGCAATATTGTTGTTATAGACCTCTAGATATCTCATACCATTTGGTCAGAAATCACTGATGGCATTGAAACATGTTAAGTGAATTGCTATACTAGATGCTCTCTTGGAACCTGATGTAAAAAACCAGTTTGCTCAACACTAAAACTACTCTTACTCTTAATTGTTGGAAATAATTAATTGTTTTGATACACTAATTGTAAGTCAATACAATTTTTATTCCATTAACCATTCAAACACATTTTAGTTATAAGTAAACATATGGGATTAACATTTTAGTTTAAAGCAAAAAAAATTGAACTTTCGGAGGTCATTGAAAATGTCAATGTGGGAGGTAATATAAAATGTCAATGGAGGGAGCTATAGAAAAATGTCAAAGCTGCATAGCATGAAGTTCAAAGCCATACTCGCTGCTCCAGGAAGTCAAACATTGTCTAGTGGGTAGTTGGGCCTGCGGGCCGCTCCAAGCAACAGCCTGGTGGACCAAACTCTCACAAGTCAAGCCTGGCCTCGGACTTGGGGAGTAGAACAACTCCCAGAACCCCATCAACCGGGTATAGTAACTTAGTGTGTACTGTATAAGTTTATATTTAAAAAAAATACCATGAAAGCTAAAATTGCAAGATGTGCTTTTGTATGACTAACTTGAAAGAACAGAAGAGTCACACGTTGGGTGTCTTAAGATAAGTTACAGTAGTTTGTATCTTGTTTACAAATGAAATAATATAGTGGGTTGTATGTTGCTGAGATTGATTTGATATGATTAATCATAAACATATGCATATTTATTGCTCTTTTTTACATTAGCTTGGCATATGTTTCTCAAGGACCCCACCCCATTGGACTAGGGTAGGGGGTGACCCCCCACCCATGGTATCGGTCAGGGTATGGATGACCCCCATGGTATTGGGGGTAGGGGTGATCTTAAGTTGATTTAGAGCACAGTTATTTACAATAAAAATGTAAATACTGTATAAATACACATATATCGAGTAGGGAAACTTGCGTGGCATGCCCTCGGGCTCTTCTGGAGACCTCTCTAGTTTAACATTTAAAATGATTTACATGCACTGTTGAAGAGCAACAGTCACAAATTTGCAAAGATACAAAAATAGCAGGAAACAAGAAGCGTCGGTTAGGTTAGGTTAGGTTAGGTTAGGTCAGCCTAACCTAACCTATCATTTACTAACCTAACCTATCATTTACTAACCTAACCAATCCATTACTAACATATTGCCAGGAAGCTTTGTGTAGCTTGTGGTAATTAGACGGACCCTGATAAAGAAACACATTCCTTGTAAAGACACTAACCCGGTCATAGTTGATGAAGAGGAGGTCATTGATGGCATAGGAGCGCCCCCTGGAGAGCTGTGTCTCACTCTCCAGCACCACCTCGACACCATTGGCCAGCAGCTTGCCTGTAGAAACACCATAACACTTAGTACACCTAAACCAAATGACATATATCCCCGCCAAACACACACCGAAACTACGACGTTGGTACAACGTTCGAACAAGTGTTAACACCTAACCAGTTATAACAACCAATATAGCAGGTTGTAACAACGTTCTAATACGTCATAAACACGTTAAGCCAAGATGTAACAACTTTATTACAAGTTGTAACAAGCTGAAAATAGAGACAGTTTCGGTTTGTGTTTCTAGGGATTATTACACCCGGTGACTCGGGTCGAGCTCCTCTTAATACAAAACACTTCTCAGTAATATATATATATATATATATATATATATATATATATATATATATATATATATATATATATATATATATATATATATATATATATATATATATATATATATATATATGCGAACAAGCCTGAATGGTCCCCAGGACAATATGCAACTGAAAACTCACACCCCAGAAGTGACTCGAACCCATACTCCCAGGAGCAACGCAACTGGTATGTACAAGACGCCTTAATCCACTTGACCATCATGACCGGACATAATGAGGTGATAGCCGAAGCTATTTGAACCACCCCACCGCCGGCACTCGGATAGTAATCTTGGGCATAGCATTTTACCAAATCACCTCATTCTTTGGGGCACACGTGAGGAACACAAATGCGAACAAGCCTGAATGGTCCCCAGGACAATATGCAACTGAAAACTCACACCCCAGAAGTGACTCGAACCCATACTCTCAGGAGCAACGCAACTTAAGGATTAAGACGGATTAAGGCGTCTTGTGCATACCAGTTGCGTTGCTCCTGGGAGTAGGGTTCGAGTCACTTCTGGGGTGTGAGTTTTCAGTTGCATATTGTCCTGGGGACCATTCAGGCTTGTTCACATTTGTGTTCCTCACGTGTGCCCCAAAGAATGAGGTGATTTGGTAAAATGCTATGCCCAAGATTACTATCCGAGTGCCGGCGGTGGGGTGGTTCAAATAGCTTCGGCTATCACCTCATTATGTCCGGTCATGATGGTCAAGTGGATTAAGGCGTCTTGTACATACCAGTTGCGTTGCTCCTGGGAGTATGGGTTCGAGTCACTTCTGGGGTGTGAGTTTTCAGTTGCATATTGTCCTGGGGACCATTCAGGCTTGTTCGCATATATATATATATATATATATATATATATATATATATATATATATATATATATATATATATATATATATATATATATATATATATATATATATCCTTTTCCCATGGCTCAAATTATAGAGAACTTACATCGGTGGTGTTGGTAACATAAGTTCTGATCCGGTGTTTAATTAATATTTCTTATCTGAATGCATGCAAACTATCTTACTGTAATCTCCATCCTTCACAATTATAGCTACACTTTCTCATTACAAGTCTCTAGGAGTGAACTTTTATTGTTTTTAGTATTTTTTATATATATATATACAAAGAGTTCTTACATTCTTCTACAATCATTAGCACGTATAGCGTTTCCGGCAATTCCTTAATCCTAATTTTCACACACACACACACACACACTTTTAAATTGCTTTTAAATACATGGATGGTGATATACTAAAGGAATTGTTCATGACTTTGTTAGGCCAAAGCTAGAATATGCAGCTGTTGTATGGTGCCCATATCTTAAGAAGCACATCAACAAACTGGAAAAGGCGCAAAGACATGCTACTAAGTGGCTCCCAGAACTGAAGGGCAAGAGCTACGAGGAGAGGTTAGAGGCATTAAATATGCCAAAACTAGAAGACAGAAGAAAAAGAGGCGATATAATCACTACATACAAAATAGTAACAGGAATTGATAAAATCGATAGGGAAGGTTTCTTGAGACCTGGAATTTTAAGAACAAGAGGTCATAGATATAAACTAGCTAAACACAGATGCCGAAGAAATATAAGAAAATTCACTTTCGCAAACAGAGTGGTAGACGGTTGGAACAAGTTAGGGGAGAAGGTGGTGGAGGCCAAGACCGTCAGTAGTTTCAAAGCGTTATATGACAAAGAGTGCTGGGAAGACGGGACACCACGAGCGTAGCTCTCATCCTGTAACTACACTTAGGTAATTACACACGCACACATCCCCAGGAAGCAGCCTGTAGCAGTTGTCTAACTCCTTGGTACATATTTACTGCTAGGAAAACAGGGGCATCAGGGTGAAAGAAGCTCTGCCCATTTGTTTCCGCATCCGCCGGGAATTGAGCTCGAACCCTTAGGATTACGGACCCTGAGCTCAGCCGCCAGGCCCCCTATATTAGGATATGAATGATAACTCTAGATTAGACAGTACTAAGTGTGTTGATTTTAAAACATACATAGTTTAAACTTTTACAAAATATCAAGTAAGATAAATACCGGTAAATATTTTAATATAAACTATAAATTGTCACTGATAATATTAGACATGTGTTCATACTGCTGGTAACCTCTACAGTAACGACACTAGAGGTATTCTTCCCTACCAACCTGTCCTCTTAAAAACAACGTCGATTTTAGCCGTTTGTCCGTATGGCCGAATTTGGACGTAATTTGAAAATTAAAATAAATTTAGGATTTTTTTTTTCAACAACAGTAAGTTAAGGGTCCTCTGATAGGTTAGGTGGGCAGGAAATTATCATAAAGTTTCAAAACGTTATGAAAAACGTGAATTAAAAGTCATCTGTTCTAACCTTACAGAGTCGGCCGGACGACTCAAACAGAAAACGGAACAGTACGTCACTTTTGTGAGTCAATTTCATTTCAAATTGCGTTCAAATTTGGCCATAGTGCCGCGCATACCAGCCAAAAGTGACGTTATTTTTAAGAGGGCGGGTTGCATTGTGGACCAGTCATGCCCCCCCCCTCCCCCGCCCCTGGGGGCACTATAGTCACCATACATCACTGGTTCAGTAACAGGGTTGTTGATTTGTGGAACCAATTACCGCGTAACGTGGTGGAGGATGGGTGGTCCCTCGATTGTTTCAAGCGCGGGTTGGACATGTATATGAGTGGGATTGGGTGGTTATAGATAGGAGCTGCCAAAGGCTTCCTGCAGTTGCCTTTGTTCTTATGTTCTTATGTAACAGAGTAACATACTGAGATCACACTAACGTGATGCATCAAATGAACAAATCCACAAGGGCCGTGACGAGGATTCGAACCTGCGTCGGGACGCAGGTTCGAATCCTCGTCACGGCCCTTCTGGATTTGTTCATTTAACTGAGTGTTATAATTCCCCCGTCTGTAAAGATTTCAATTTATTTTGGGATGAGACAAGGAGTCAAGTCCATCGTCAAATACTGGGGAGTGAGCCAAGAGGTTAGTTAGTGTAGTTAATTTATTATGCACCTCATACCATTCTTGTGAGCGGTAGTGGAAAGGCTTAGAGGCACATAATTGGCTCGGGGACTGAACCCCACAATTCATATAGCTAAGCAAGTTACAATATAAGTCGTCACCACATCAATGAGTTCAAGATCGACCGCAAGTACATCTTCTAAATTAAGCAACTGACATATGTGGAGAGCTAAGTCCATTCCATGTGGACTCAAGCGCCAAGATGGAGATGAGACTTCCTGCTCGAAGGTGCTCGAGAGCTCCAGTGTATTCTGGGTAATGTGCCAGCCGTGGCGTGATTGGTTGGCGGTGTGAGGTCTTGGTCAGGTTGACCAATGACGTCGCGTCCCTGCAGGAAAATGGGAATTCTGAGTTCACTTGCTAAGTTGCTACCAGGTGTTAGGCTGAGCAGAAGTGCGCGCCAGCAACCCGTCCTCGACTCAAGTCCATTCCATCCAGCGGTCGACCCCACAGACGCATTCATAAATTTTAACATGCTGTTCATTCAAAACAAGAATTTTCTCAAATATAAATTAATATTATAATATATTAGCATACTGTGCATATATAGGCATAGGATAGGTTAGGTTAGGTGTTTAGGTTCGGTTGGTGATTATTTGCATTTGTAGTACGTGGGTGAAGCATTTATAGCGTTGTGGTTCGAACAAAACTCGTCAGTGAAGCACTTGTTCCGGAAGTGTTCGAACGAAATCAGTTGTGAGTCGTGTGTAAACCGCTTTTCATTCATAAACAGGGGGTTAAGCGGGTGCATGGAATCACTTTTGGATCTTTGTTTGGAGGACGGGCTGGCGCCAGAGATCACCAGCTTGGGTGAGGTATAGTCCTCTACACGAGTCAAGTTCGAGCAGCGAGCGTGTGCCAACGAAGGGTTGATCTGTCGGCTCCCGAGGGAGTGTATGGAAGAGCAGTTCTGGTGTGAGGGTGACACCAAGGGCTCGATCACTACACTGAACCAGCGTAACTTCGAGAATTAATTGATGAAGATTAAGCCACCCAAAAGGTGGCACGGGCATGAATAGCCCGTAAGTGGTGGCCTTTTTGAGCCATTATCAGTATCAAGAGCTGATACTGGAGATCTGTGGAGGTGCGACTGCACCCTGCGTGATGGGAGATGTCTCCCGAACTTGGAGAAGCGACACTTGGAGATTTGTAGGACGACCTATGGGTCGTGCAGAACGAGGGCTGAGTAGAGAAGAATGGGTAGCAGTCTGGTCCTCTGCAATTCAACGACAGTTTCCCATACGACAGCGACGTGTTGGGGAGTGTGGAGCCAGTACGTCAGTGTATCAATCTGGGAAGGCCAGTTAATATCGGTCTCAGTCTACCATCGGGGGAGGAACAGAGTGGTAGACGGTTGGAACAAGTTAGGGGAGAAGGTGGTGGAGGCCAAGACCGTCAGTAGTTTGAAAGCGTTATATGACAAAGAGTGCTGGGAAGACGGGACACCACGAGCGTAGCTCTCATCCTGTAACTACACTTAGGTAATTACCTGTTGGACTAGGCGGCATTCGTGGTGGTGTTCAGATGTATACCGCAGTGGGAAGAGCCATTCAACACCTCTACGCTGGGTGTACGAGGAGCTACGTACCCGACAGGGAATCTACGATCTACAGTTACGATGTATAAGGTAGATAAA